GAATGTCTTGCAGGCTGTAAATATACAATCTCTTTGTATACTTTACTTAGAGAAAGAAATAGGTTGTTTTATAGAAATGGGTTACAAACGGGCACACAGTCCACCTGATGGTAAGAGGATGATAAGGCCCATATACATCTACATTTATCCTCCTCAATTTTGACGGCTCCGTGGCGCAGTGGTTTAACAATGAGTTGTTGTGCTGGGGGTCGCGGGTTCGAACCCGCACGGAACAAGTATTTGTATGGCCTACAAATAATTGTTCCGGGTCTGGATGTTTGTCCATGTGTAATATATGTTTGTAACCTGCCCCCACAATACAGGAGAAATTCCTAATGGGGGGCTAACGTTTAAAAAAAAATTAAGTATCAAAATGCAGATGCGACCCCTGAAGGCCAAGATACCTTGTTCCCAGTAAAAAGGGTCTCCGGTTCTCTACACTCACCATACGAAACACAGCAGCCTTAAGCTGTTATTTTACGCCGGTATTCTGTGACAGCGTGGTCCCGGTCGAGTCAACCCATAAGTGCTACAACTAGCTGCAGCGTGCTTCTACCGATTATAAATTATGTGAATATCTCAATCAATAAAGCCTTTCAGAAATTACACAATCAGACGACGCGCCGACGACTTATAAATCGTAATGTAATTTTAACCAGAAATCATTGTAAAATAATCAATAAACAGAATTGTGTCAATGACATAGGTTCATTACATTAGGTCAGCATTTATCAATTGTAAATCAATAACATTTTTAACATTGTTTACGCAACGAAAAACTAGTGAATGTTACTAATATTCACTTTGGTGATATCCAATTAATTATATTCAGAGAGTAATATCATAACAATATTATAATTAATCCATGCAAGGAGTGTGTTTTGATAAATATTCGTGTCACAAAGTCCTGACTCATGTGACTGACTCACTATCAACGGACCGCCCAAACCGCTAGATGTAGACGACACTAAGATAGGATTTTGGGAAATTCAAACCCTTAGAGGGTGAAGTGGGATGTTACAGTTTGTACCACACTTTTTATTTTACGGGGCGACTTCATATATTTGTATGGTAAAAAATTGGGTTATACCATATTCATACTGATTATTAAAAATAATTTTTGTTACATTTAAACTGGAACAATCACTTTATGATTACATTAATACATAAACAATTTTTAATTTTACGAAAATCTTAACTTAGGGTGTTAAGGCTACAAAAACAAACAAAAAAAAAGCAGTCTGCGTGAAAAAAAAATGTGTTTTTAAGATTGTGGTGGTGGCGATACCTTTAAAACGAAATTGTGATATTTTTGGATAGTAGGTACATACTTTGGAACTTTACAAAATCTGTCCCTATTTACTATTTATCCACCCTTAACAGTTAGATCATAAAAATTGATATTTGGGCGCAATATGACGGGAAATATTAAGAGTTCCAAGTAATATAATAAGCTTTGACTGGATTTTTGAAGGATACAAGTAGTAATATTAAAAATTTTGTACAACTGACTTCAATATAAATAAAATGAGAACATCATCAATGCAGTCGAAGTTAATTAAATACGCATTATTAAGGATACCTCAAAAACTATGAGAAGCACCAGCTTTCAATTAAAAAAAATATGACAACTTTGTAGTTACCGTTATCGTTACGGTTATAGCCTATTGAAGTCCACTGCTAAACAAAGGCCTCCCCCATACATTGCCATACGGGGGATATTTGCCATAGTTGCCAAGATGGTTGGCAACCGCAGTTTTTTTAATTATTAGTCGTTATTAGGAAAACACTGCTGCCCATCTCCTGATTTGTTTCCCTCTGTCACCTCTTACGGTGCTCACGGGATGATATGGGATAGTGGATATTCTTACACCGCCACTACACGGTAGATATCGCTACTTTTTATTATTTTAATGCACAATTATATTATTATTATAAAGATGTAGCACAATTATTTTTGAGCAAAGACAGCACGATGAATCATCATCTCATATTCCCCTGTATCATATTATAATATTATCATTTTAAGAAATTCAATGCATGAGTAACACAAGTAAACAGCTATTTTTTATCATGCACCCGAACAATGCACAACAATAACTATGCAAGACGAACTATAATGATTTCTTTGTTGAATTCACCCAATGCATTTCAGAGTAATCCGTTGTATTATTTTTAGATATTAATAAATGTAATATTAATGAATGTATAAATAAATATAATACTATGTAACGCTTCGATTACTCTGATGTCAGTATCCGTTGGATGTCGTCAATTGTCGTGTATTGCTGTGGCATTGTACTGAGCTAGGCAACCGAGAGAGACAACTGCAGCCCTGACTGATAAAGCGATTTATTATGAAAAAGTGACCAAAATACATCAGCCTATATTATGGTACTCCCCTGTTGTCATCTAAACTGAACGATTTGTGTTTTTTATTTAAGAGCAATATACTATATTATATTTATGGCTATGTCCTTTTATTTGATTATGTTCGTTAAATTTATTTGCTGGATGGCTAATAACGGCGGTATAACTGTTCAGTTTTAGCAATTTTAGAAGTTTTCTAGTTTTTTATTTTATGGAAAATAAATAAACATATTAGTGGCAGAGATAGGCAGTAGTAAATTGTATCTAAAATGTTTTCTCTAGTCTCATTATCCAGGGAGAGAACAGGGAAATATTTGCCTCCAGACCAGTAGTCAGTTTTAACGGAGACTATCCATCTGCGCAAGACAGTATTATAAAGCACAAGTGTATGTGCAAGCACAGGTGCATTCTTTATTTCTTTACTCTCATGGCGCGTCTCCACCAAAGTTTTGTTGTCAACACAACATTTGCCAACACGTTTTGTTAACAAATGTTTCTGTCAACAAGCGTCTCCACCGAGGGAACAAGCGTATTCCTTTGATGTTGCCGCCGAACATCGAAACAAGTTTTGTTGGCAAATGTTGTGTTGACAACAAAACTTTGGTGGAGACGCGGCTTCATAGTCCGATGGGACGGTAATTCCACACGATCGGATCGGATGAGAGTGAACGGGCGCAGGACCCAACGGCTTTACGTGCTTTCCGAAGAACGAGGATAAATGGCCTACTTTTCTGACTCCGGGCTGCTACTGAGTATTTCTTGACAGAATTACCCACTAACTTATTTTCACCTGACTCGGAATTCGAACCCGAGACCTCATGATCAACAACGTTTGTATAGACTAAACTCCGCCCGGATATCCTTTTAAGATATGCTGATTTATTGTTTTCGCTGGTGTTGTAAGAAAAATATGTAGAAACTTTAAAATCCTAAAGAAACAATAAAAGTAGGTAAGTGAAAAAAAAAAACAAGAAAAATTAATAGTTATGCTTGTACAGTGCTAAAAGGGGCGGATTTATAAAAAGTAAACAATTATTCAAGGCTAGGTTGCGTGAGTCAGCTCAGCCAGCGTGTCGTGTTCGTGTCGCGGACGGCCGGTCGTGGCCGGTCGGTACTGTTTGTCACAGTTTTTGTCATTTATATATACGATACAGGCAGAGTTGTATTATTATAAATAATTTGTATGAAAAACCATTTGAACTGGCATTATGTCAGTTCAAATGGTTTTCAAAGAAAATACTTTTTTTTATTGGCGGTCTAAAGTCCAGTACTCGATTAACATACATCCTATCTCATCCCATCGCAGTACTTTAATATAGATGTCTCGCATCTTTGACGCTGTTGCAGTAGCGGAAATATCCGTATAATAATCCGTTACCGGTAGAATAGAATAGTATAATTTTTGATTCAATATGGATTAAAAAATACTTATTTAAAGTCTTTACAACTGTTTCGGGAAAAAACCCTGTCCTGCAAAGAACCGGCAAGGGACCCAACAGAACTTTTTGTAAACAACAGGGTTATATCGTACTTCAGAATTTACATCAGATTTTTCTGGTATTATCCTATTGTCACATCTTACGAACCCCACGGGACAAAACGGGCCCTTGGGTACTCTTTCGTCGCCAGATCACGACGTGTTTTTTTAATTAAGGTATTGTAATAATGTAGGTATTTGTAATATTTCGTTTTTGTATAGTTACAATTAGTGTTGTACGACACATTAAATACACTATCAATTATCTATCGATATTTTTCAAAATATGTGCTAGCGTTCTCGTGTGCATGAGTATTTGTATAACACAGTCACTGGTGGTAATTGGTAATTTTAAAGATTTTCATTATGAAATTAAGGCTCTTAAGCCCGGTATTGATCATAACTTAAGGTATTATAATTGACTGTTAAAGTAAAAATCTAATGCCTAATGGTATAACAATTCAGAAGTTTAGTTTAAGATTGAATGCGTAGCCTCACAGCAATCTCAATCGGCTTGTGTCTGAAAGTCTTGTTGTGATTCCGCTTTGTTTGCGGTTTTCATTCCGCGATATAATACAAACAACAATCGCAATTGAACATTTCACCCGTGTATGCACATACCTTTTTAGGCACCCCAATATTAAAATTGTGATTTCTCTTGTAAGACTTAACTGAAAGCCATGCTGCAGCTATATTGTAGTATAGTTGTAGTACGAATGAGTCGGCCCGACCGGGAAGGATCACGCTCTCACAGAATACCAGCGTGAAATAGCAGCTTAACGCTGCTTTGTTTCGTATGGTGAGTGTAAAGAACCGCAGACCATTTTTACTGGTAAAGAGGCATTCCATCTATGGTCACGGGTGAAAACGCATCTGCATTTTAATTCTTTATTGAGGATACATGTAGATGTCTATGCGTCACAGCAACCACGTACCATCAGGTGGACTGTGAGCTCGTTTGTCACCCTATCCTATAAAAAAAAAAACAATATAGCTCTTAATGTCAACAATTAAAAAGACAACACTCCAATCAAGAATATATATAAAAATATGTGATGTTTATTTTTTAATTTTTAGAAGCTAATTGTACTTTCCTAAGAACTTTTTAAGTATTTAAAATTTATAAAAACTAATTTTATCGACAAATTTTCAGCGACATCTCTAGCCTACGTGCTCCTCAATGTCCCGGCTAACGCGACGGTTGCGGACGGCAGTTGTAACGCCACAGAACAGTGGATAAAGCTCACGTGGCCCGAGAGCGGTGACTACAGCATGCTACTGGTGTTCACCACCAACGCCACCACCAAGGATTACGCGCTTCATAGCTTAAACGCTACCATCACACCTGACATCCTGGTCAACTCCTGTAAGTAAAAAATTTAATAAATGTGTTTTCTTTCTTTATCGTGGTTTACATACATAAATTTCACAAGGACAATCGTCCAAACTCAGAACAATTATTTGTAGGCCAAACAAGTACCTATTCCGTGCGGGATACGAACCCGCGGCCCTTAGCGCTGCTTACTCATTGCTAAGCCACTGCGCGACGTAACCGTCGTGTGTACCTACGTCAATGGGTTACGAGATAGTGTTTCCTTTTTCGTTCTGTACCCGGATTTACTGTTTATTGATTATGTATTAAAGTTGCAATTCTTCTGCAACCTTATACTCAAATGTGATGACATATTTACATTTTGGTTCTTAAAGGATAGATGTAATAATAATGTCCTCCAGACTGAATTTCGGTCACAGCGGTCAGTCTCAACGGAGACTAGCCATCTGCGTAGGACAAGATTATAGTGCCCAAGTGTATGGGCAAGCACAGGTGCACTCTCTATATCCTCACTCTCATAGTCCGATGGGACGGTAAACCGACACGATCGGAGAGAGATCAGGCGCAGGACCAACGGCATTACTTGCTTTCCGGGGCACGGGAGTGAGTCACCGCCAACTTCGTGACTCCGGGCAGCTACTGAGAATTTCTTGATGGAAAATCTCAATAACTGATTTTTGTTGGCCCGACCCGGGATTCGAACCCGGGACCTCATGATCAGCAGTCGCACTACTACAACCACTAGACCAACGAGACAGTCAAAAGTTGAATAGAGGATAGATGTAGGTGTCTATGGACCACAGTATCCATTTACCGGTAGAACTGTGTGCTCCTTTGGTACTGCTATTTTTTTAGTTATGCTTCTGCCCATCTCCTGGTTTGTCTCCCTCTGTCGCCTCCTACGACACGCACGGGACTATATTATAGTAGTAGATATTCTTATACCGCCACTACAAGACTGGAGGGAAGTTAGCGTAGAACATTTTTTTTTAAATTTAAACTGTATGCCAATCAATTGCCCCTTAAATGCTCCCTTAGAATCCGTAATTGTTCCACGTCTATTCCTAGTAGTTATTTTATAATTAATTTGAAAAAAATCCATTTTCGAAAATTTTATTTTGCTAAAAACATAAAATATTTCCTTTTTTTAAATAAAATGTACAAGGGAGGTGATTTAAAAGCCCAATAAGGCAGAGCAGCGTTTATTTAAAATAACAATTTGTAAATTTTCATTTAAATTTATTTCTGTTGTCGCAATATTGAACTTTGGTTTAATTAAAATAAAATTACATATACGATGGATAATTAGTAATTACATATTTAACAAACTAAACCGATAATTTTTCTTCTTAATATCGAAGAAGATGATGTACTGTGACACATATGTATATAATTTTATATAAATGATTGATATACACAATTTATGTTACACAAAAGTCATTGATGAATAATTGAAATGTTTCCATGTAATACAAAAGTTTCACTTCAATTTTGTGTCTTCACGTTGTTTTTAATATTAATTATTTTTATTATAAATATTGCAAAAATATATTTTTGTTTTTTAATTAATAGAGTAAATTGAGAGCAATTCTTTAAGCAAAAAAGAATTATAATTTAACTAATAGTAACAGACGTGGAGCAATTACGGATTATAATTGAGCGTTTAGGAGAAATTAACTGGTATACAGTTACATTTTAATTTAAAAAAATAATGTTCTACGCTAACTTCCTTCCGGTCACTACACGGTCAATTCGTCGCTAACGCCGCAAAGGGGCGAACCTCAATTTTACAAAAAATTACTGGAGAGCAAGAAAACATTTATTATTCCCCAATTGATTTTTTCATCAAAAAAGTTAATCTTATTTGTAGTTTTCCATTAAGTCTAATATATTTGATTATCTGATGAAAAAAATCTAGTAATCGTGGAATAATAAATGTTTTCTTGCTCTCCTGTATTTTTTAAGAAACATTGAGGTTCGCCCCTTTGCGGCGTCAAGGAAGAATTGATATTTTTATTGCCATAAAAATATTCCCGATCTGGATACATTGATAAAGGGAATTGCTCAATTAGGGTAAGTTGGCTCAAAGTGAATATTAACATTTAATGACTAGGGTTTATAATAGTTTATACCTCAAATAAATGAATTTTAGTAATAAGGTTGCAGGAGAGTGTAAAAATAGTTCATATTTAGCATGTTGTGTAATGCTAAAACTTGTCGCTGAAAAAAGTCATCGTCATAAGCAGATTCAGTGTCCAACGGTAAAGCCGGATATTCAATTGGAGCGGTATCGGAGTCCATTATTACAAAAACAAAAAAAATATTAAACAAAAACAGACAATTAAAAAAAAATTCGATTTAATTATATTTTTTCGTAAAAATACTTTTTACAGAACAACTTTCCGCGTTAAGCCAAGAATAAACAATCCCTATTAAATCTTTCTCTTTTTTTTAACTGGAGTTTTGTAAACGGCTTTAACGATTTCGACGTGATTTAGGGACAAGAAGTTTCACTGATACACATTAACAAGTACACGTGTCTATTAAAATCACAACAATGAACATGAAGTTTTCCCAAGTGATAATAATCGCAAGGATAAAAAAATTACTGAAATAATTTTTTTTAAATAATATAATGAACCAGTAATTGGATAATTAAACGTAAATATGTAGGTACATACGTATGTGCGAGAATAATGAATACAGCCGATAGGTATAATTAACGATAACTTATCGACCCTGTGAGTTAACTAACAAAATGTGGTGTACTGTTATATGCGTACTTACGACTGTGAAACATACATTATGAAAACAATGTAAATAAAAAAATTGATTTTGTTATTTAACTTTCGTTAAATAGTAATTTATTTGTTAACTACAATGACGTTAATTATGTAATAAATATTACGTATTAAGTAATAATATTGTACACTATATTTAAAATTGCAAAAGAGAGAATATACTTCTTGAATGAGTTGTGCAATGGGATGGGCGACCTTATCGACTTTTCCTGAGTCAGACTTGAAATATCTACTAAAAATACTTACTGTCGGCATGTTGCACCAAAAGTAAATAAAATAAAACAATAATCTACATAATTAAAAGTTATATATGGAGCCAAAAAAATTATGACGTTAAAATAAACGGAATTGAAAAGAGACCCTTTTTACTGATAACAAGCTACTCCTTAGTCCTCGGGGATAACAATGCATTTACATTTGGCCTCAATTGAGGATAAATGTAGTTGTCTATAGGCCACAGCATTCACTTACCATTAAGTTTTTTATCGCATACTGGTGTCAAAAGACACGCAGTCCACTCGATTGTAAGTGAGATACTGGAATGCCTCTACACTCACCGTACGAAACAGCAGAAGTACATAAGCCGATATTTTACGCTGGTATTCCGTGAGGGTGTAGTCCCTCCACGGTCGAGACCCATGCCCGGCAGGGAGATGACAGATCGTATGAAGGTTGCTACTTCGCTTTTCTTTGGTGTCCCCGCAGCCCTGAAAAACCCAGTGGAGTTCTGGCACGGTGTGGAGTGGCAGGTGCCGTTGGCCACTTCGTACCGCTGCTCTCCGGCCACACAGCTGAACATGACTGCGGAGATCACCAGCATGGCGGCCACGCTGACAATCTCGCAGCTGCAAGAGGAGGCGTTCAGGAACGCAAAGAACAACAACACCTTCAGCGCCGGTGAGTCGGAACTCTGTACTTTTTGTGAAAATATACTAAGAGTCAACGGTCAATCGTACATTCTTAATTCAGATACTTTTCCGCCTGCTTGAACATTACAGATCACCTTCCGCACATGAAAACTGTAAAGTAAAGTTATAGTCTATATTAGGGTGTTACCACACCAATTGATCGACGGCATTGATCGACGTCGATCGATGTCGATCGATTTCGATCGATTTTTTTGATTGACGCTTTTCCTTCGATAACAGTAGTTAAAGGGCGATCAGTTCTTCATCTGATTTTGTAATTGTTTTTCTAATAAATAAATAAACAACATAAATAAAATCTCTCAAAGTTATTCCACCGTGCCGAAATTTGATATACCAGTGATACGTGTTCGACTTAGAAGGGCCGGTTTTAGGAGGCGACATTTGAAATCGTAAAATATCGGCGCGCGGGGAAATGTTCACGACGCAAATTAATTTCTCAATGAAATACGATATTTCAGTTTAGCTCGTAAAAACTGTGAAGGGAAAATAGAAATAAGAACAGCGTATCAACATTATATTATTAGATAACGTACCTTATTTCCAAAATAAATTATACCTGGTATATCTTATATACACAGAAAACCTTTCTTTCGCTAAACTTTCTGTGTGGCCTGTCATACCGGCTTTCATATCCTTTAAACTAGAATTGATAAGTCCGTTTCTCGGATTTCGACAAAGTTTCATCGCATTAGATTTGTCATAATTACATAGCTAGCATGGACTATTGGACTAATTTGATGTAGGACCAGCCCAGCCAGCCCTGAAGTCAGTAAAACCTGTTACAATAAACATGTCCTGTGGAAAATATGCAAACTAAGATATTAGTATGGGATTTGACAGAAAATGTCAATTTTCCGGAGACTGTGACGCCACGGCTAAGGTTCTTCTTTCACGACAAAGACTTCTTTAAACCTGAGGCTGTCCATCAATAAGACAGTAAAAGTTTTATGCCAAAATTATTCCATCTAAACCGATGTACAAGAAATATTACGTAAAAGGGGACTCGGGCGTAACCTGTTGACTCGGCATCTGGCCACGCCGGCTGGGTTCGATGTCCGGTCAAGGTAGCTCCTTATCTGCGAGGCGACGCTCCCAAGTTCATTTCCTGCGATTTCAAAGCCGAGCAGAGCAATATATTAAACGTCCTGCCCTCTCTGATATCAGCCAGTAGAGTAATTACAAGTTAAACTTTCATCAAGTTATACTGGTTTTGTTCGCCTGGATTATGACGTAAGTGTATTCTAACTGTATTAAGATTAATTATTATTAAAAAACTAATAATGCTACAACAGTGAACTAACAAATATAAGGTATGAATATGTGCAATCGTAAGTATTTGACAGTTCAAGTTCCTACTTCGGCAGACCTACGAAGTGGCAAGTGACTCACAAGTAGACTGTTTTTCTCAAATCAGTTGCAATTTAACCTTATAAAATATACAATGACGATGCGAAAGTTGTGTTCGAATCCATGGCCCACGTAGTATAAAAATTAACGTTATGAGTTAGTGGTGTATGTTAGGGTATGATGAGACTGGCATACATGAAATGTCCCTTAAATGATTGTAGAATTAAAAAAATACACAAGCCCAATACTCTACGGAATAAAACTAGTTTTTACGGATTTTATCGCGTATATTAACTTATTTTATATTCTCGACGTTTGGAGCACTTACGGCACCAATGGTCACTGTCCCCCCGTGACCATGTGAAGTGAGGTGTTCGAAGTCCCAATGCCATAGTTAGTCCGACGGCCCCGCTATTCCTAGTTACAGTGGCGATCATGGTAACGGCGAGGCAGAGGGTGCTAAGAATCTCCGGTGGAGGTTTGGTTTCCACCTGAGACGACTCAACCAGACAAAATTTAACGCACGCACCCCGAGGACTAACGAGAAGATCCTAAAGCTGGAAGAAGAGATAGAAAAGTGCGCTGGAATATTATAGAATTATCTGAGGTCCGAAGAGAGGGACTTCAGATAATCACGCTAATTCTCGAATTCGTCAACTTGTTCCATCACCGGGAGGGTGATCATTGTCCCAAGAAGGTGTCAAATTTATCGTCCATAAGTCTCCCGTTAACAACGTTCCACAGATTGTGAGTGTGTCGACATGGGTTGCGTACCTTATACTCAGAATCACCAAACGGTATTCTTTGAAGGTCATACATGCTTACGCACCAACATCGGCACATCCCGATGAGGAGGTTGAGGAGTTGTATGAGGATATCTCTAAAGCCATGTATTCCTGCAAAACCCACTGGGAGAATTTTACGCAAATCTAGGCACAAGAGAAAACAGTGAGCTGAAGATAGGGCAACGGGCCCCAAGGGGCCAGCAGCTGGCCGACTTAATGGCGAAAGAGGGACTCTTTATGATGAATTCTTTCTTCCAGAAGCGGCCCCACAGGAAGTGGACCTGGTCAAGCCCCAACGGTTCGACAAAAAATAAGATGACCTTCATTATGCTGACTTGACGGCAAATGTTCAGTGACGTATCAGTGATCGCGAGGGTGAAAACTAGCAGCGATAACCAAATGGTTAAAGGCAAACTGAAACTAAACGTTAAGTTTGAGAGGTCTCGTCTAATGAAGTCAACGGTCCGTCCCCCTCGTGCTCTAACCCAAAGTCTCGAAAACTTTCAGCTCGAGTTACAAAACCGTTTTCAGTGCCTAGAAGACTGCAAAGAAGTGGACGATATGAAGGACAAGCTTGTGGAAACTGTCCATGCGGTTGAAGCTAAGTTCTGTAAGACCTGTTGCAGAAGAACACAAAACTCTCAGATTACGCTCTCTATATCTTTGCTGTTAGAAGGGAAATGAAGCTCACCGTCTTCAGCATATTTGACAGCATACACCCAGGCAACTGAACAGACAGATCTTTAAATGCATGCGGCGAGAATTACGCAACAACAATACAGCTCGTATTGAAGAAGCGATCGAGCGGAACCAAGGCTCCAAAGTCTTTGCCAGAGATCTGTCTGTTAGAATGAACTAAACTGTCGAAGCTGAAGACCGAGTGTGGGCAGCATAGTTTCTGGGACACCTGAGATTTTGAGTGAGATTGAGAAACTGTGGACAGATGTACACGTCATCGTTGAAGCTACAAGCAAGTGTTAGTTACGATCCAAGAGCAAGTCTGCTCCGACACTATTCCGATGATATCCCGGACGTCAGTCTAAGCGAGATTAGAATGGCTCTCCAGCACCTTAAAAACCACAAGGTCCCAAACGAGAATGGAATTACAGCGGAGCTTCTGAAAACAGGTGCACAATCGGTAATTAAAGTCCTTCAGAAGCTCTCTAATTCCGTTCTCCATAGTGGCACTACTCCGGAGGCGCGGAGCAGAAGTGCGGTGGTCTGTGGAAAAACGGTAACGCTGTCTTGAAAAACTACAGACCGATTTATCTTCTGAGCCGCGTCTACGTTCTGTTTTCGAGTCATTACGAATAGTCTCGCACGCAGATTTGACGACATCCAGCGTCCAACAAGCCGGTTTCCGAAAAGGCTTTAGTACCATAGACAACACACATAACCTTGGGAAAATTATATAAAGGACCGAAGTGTACCATCCGCTACTTTGCCTTGCTTATGTAGACTATGAGAAAGCTTTTGATTCTGTCGAAATTTGAGCAGTGCTGCGATCCCTTCAGTGGTACCAATTGGACTGTCTGTATATCGAAGTGCTGAAATATTTGTACAGTAGGGCTACTATGGCTATTCAAGTACAGAACTATAGTACAAAATCTATCCAACTGCAGAGAGGTGTAAGACAGACGTTATATCCCCGAAACTCTTCAACCCTGCGTTAGAAGAAGTCTTCGTGCTGCTGGACTAGAAAGGATACGGTATTAATATCAATGGCGAGTACATCACTCACCTTCGATTTGCCAGCGATATAGTCCTTATATCAGAATTGCTGGAAGACCTAAGCACTACGCTCAATGACCTCAATGGTGTCTCCCAACCGATAGGTCTTAAGATGAACACAAACAAACACACAAAACAAAGATCATGTGTAACGTCCATGTCACATCTAAGCCGGTAGTTGGAAGCACTAAGCTCGAAGTTGTTGACGAATATGCTTACCTGGGACAAATAGTCCGACTAGGTAAGTCCAACTTTGACCAAGAGGTCAATCGACGGATTCAACTCGGCTGGGCAGCGTTCAGGAAATTACGACACATCTTCTAGTCAGGTATACCTCAAAACGTCACAACTAGATAGTACAACTAGTGCGTGTTGCCAGTGACGACCTATGGATCTGAGACGTCGTCCTTCACTGCTGGCCGTATGAGGAAGCTCAAAGTCGCTCAGCGAGATATGGAGAGGGCTATGCTCGGCGTTTGTTTGCGTGATAGACTTAAAAACAAGGGTATCCGCAGTAAAATCAGAGTAATAGACATAGCCCAAAGGATCAGAAAGTTGAAGTGGCAATGGGCCGGCCATATAGCTCTAAGAACCGACAACCGATGGGGAAGAAATGTTCCCTAGTGGCAGCCTTGTACTGGCAGGCGAATCATAGGGCGTCTCCCCACTAGATGGGAGTGACGACCTGGTAAGACGTGCAGGAAGTCAGTGGATGCAGGTGGCTCGGGACCGTGCTTTGTGGCATTCCTTGGAGGAGGCCTATGTTCAGCAGTGGACTTGTGAAGGGCTGTAATGAATGAATAATGAAAAGGCAGAGTTTAGGGAATTACGACACATCTTCTCGTCAGGTATATTTCAAAACTTGACAACGAGATTGTGCAGACAGTTCGTGTTTCCAGTGAAGACTTATAGATCTGAGACGTGGTCCTTCATTGCTGGTCGTATGAGTATGCGACTGGCTGGCTATGCTCGGGTTTCTTTGTGTGATAATATTAGAAATGCGGATATTAGCATTAACCGGAGTGACCGTCATACCCCAACGAATTAGTAAGCTGAAGTGTTAATGGGCCGGCCATATAGTTTAAAGAAACGACAACATATGGGGAAAGTAGGTTTTCGAGTGAAAGCCTCGTTATTGGTAGGTGAAGTGGGGGGTGAAACCCCACTAGATAGATGGAGTGACGACCTGGTAAAACATGCAAGTGGAAGTCGATGGATGCACGTGGCTCAGGACCCTGGTTTGTGGCATTCCTTGGGGAATGCCTGTGGATTTGTGAAGGACTGTAAAGATGATGATGATGATGATGAACTCCTGAGGGGGTGAAAAAGAGTGTTAAAGTATGTAATGAATAAATACGTGGTTGTGTGGCAGCGCGCGAGTGCGGCGGCGGGGACCTGCCGGACGCCGTGCCCATCGCGGTGGGCTGCGCGCTGGGCGGGCTCGTGGTGGTCGTGCTCATCGCCTACCTGGAGGGCCGCCGCCGCTCCGCCGCGCGCGGCTACCTCTCCATGTGAGTACAAACTGCAACGTACACAAACACTTGTGTGTACACTGCACTATAGCATCGCGTGGGCTGCGCGCTGGGCGGGCTCGTGGTGGTCGTGCTCATCGCCTACCTGGAGGGCCGCCGCCGCTCCGCCGCGCGCGGCTACCTCTCCATGTGAGTACAAACTGCAACGTACACAAACACTTGTGTGTACACTGCACTATAGCATCGCGTGGGCTGCGCGCTGGGCGGGCTCGTGGTGGTCGTGCTCATCGCCTACCTGGAGGGCCGCCGCCGCTCCGCCGCGCGCGGCTACCTCTCCATGTGAGTACAAACTGCAACGTACACAAACACTTGTGTGTACACTGCACTATAGCATCGCGTGGGCTGCGCGCTGGGCGGGCTCGTGGTGGTCGTGCTCATCGCCTACCTGGAGGGCCGCCGCCGCTCCGCCGCGCGCGGCTACCTCTCCATGTGAGTACAAACTGCAACGTACACAAACACTTGTGTGTACACTGCACTATAGCATCGCGTGGGCTGCGCGCTGGGCGGGCTCGTGGTGGTCGTGCTCATCGCCTACCTGGAGGGCCGCCGCCGCTCCGCCGCGCGCGGCTACCTCTCCATGTGAGTACAAACTGCAACGTACACAAACACTTGTGTGTACACTGCACTATAGCATCGCGTGGGCTGCGCGCTGGGCGGGCTCGTGGTGGTCGTGCTCATCGCCTACCTGGAGGGCCGCCGCCGCTCCGCCGCGCGCGGCTACCTCTCCATGTGAGTACAAACTGCAACGTACACAAACACTTGTGTGTACACTGCACTATAGCATCGCGTGGGCTGCGCGCTGGGCGGGCTCGTGGTGGTCGTGCTCATCGCCTACCTGGAGGGCCGCCGCCGCTCCGCCGCGCGCGGCTACCTCTCCATGTGAGTACAAACTGCAACGTACACAAACACTTGTGTGTACACTGCACTATAGCATCGCGTGGGCTGCGCGCTGGGCGGGCTCGTGGTGGTCGTGCTCATCGCCTACCTGGAGGGCCGCCGCCGCTCCGCCGCGCGCGGCTACCTCTCCATGTGAGTACAAACTGCAACGTACACAAACACTTGTGTGTACACTGCACTATAGCATCGCGTGGGCTGCGCGCTGGGCGGGCTCGTGGTGGTCGTGCTCATCGCCTACCTGGAGGGCCGCCGCCGCTCCGCCGCGCGCGGCTACCTCTCCATGTGAGTACAAACTGCAACGTACACAAACACTTGTGTGTACACTGCACTATAGCATCGCGTGGGCTGCGCGCTGGGCGGGCTCGTGGTGGTCGTGCTCATCGCCTACCTGGAGGGCCGCCGCCGCTCCGCCGCGCGCGGCTACCTCTCCATGTGAGTACAAACTGCAACGTACACAAACACTTGTGTGTACACTGCACTATAGCATCGCGTGGGCTGCGCGCTGGGCGGGCTCGTGGTGGTCGTGCTCATCGCCTACCTGGAGGGCCGCCGCCGCTCCGCCGCGCGCGGCTACCTCTCCATGTGAGTACAAACTGCAACGTACACAAACACTTGTGTGTACACTGCACTATAGCATCGCGTGGGCTGCGCGCTGGGCGGGCTCGTGGTGGTCGTGCTCATCGCCTACCTGGAGGGCCGCCGCCGCTCCGCCGCGCGCGGCTACCTCTCCATGTGAGTACAAACTGCAACGTACACAAACACTTGTGTGTACACTGCACTATAGCATCGCGTGGGCTGCGCGCTGGGCGGGCTCGTGGTGGTCGTGCTCATCGCCTACCTGGAGGGCCGCCGCCGCTCCGCCGCGCGCGGCTACCTCTCCATGTGAGTACAAACTGCAACGTACACAAACACTTGTGTGTACACTGCACTATAGCATCGCGTGGGCTGCGCGCTGGGCGGGCTCGTGGTGGTCGTGCTCATCGCCTACCTGGAGGGCCGCCGCCGCTCCGCCGCGCGCGGCTACCTCTCCATGTGAGTACAAACTGCAACGTACACAAACACTTGTGTGTACACTGCACTATAGCATCGCGTGGGCTGCGCGCTTTGCCTTGATTGGAAGTTAATTTCAGATAAGTATGTATGTAACGTATTTGTCAAAAAACAGTAACTATCGTAAATGAAAAACTACGTGGCGTATTTATCGTGCCAGCTTTTTCGGGATCTACAACCGTAACACAGTTTTTGTTCTAATTTGCTGGTCTATTGTTATACATAGAAGTCTTTGCTTCCAGCCTACATATGTCACAATGATCGCTTATGTGAGCCACTGACAGAATAACAGCGCAGTGGCCATTGCAAGTGGCAACAGGATCGAACAGGTCGAACGACTTTTCGATACCGTTGCAACCTATAGTCCCGTTTTTTATAGAATAAAGGTGACAAACGAGCACACAGTTCACCTGATGGTAAGTGGTTGTTGTGGCCCATAGACATCTACATCTATCTTCGTTTGCAAATTAAAATGCAGATGCGTTGTCAGCCGTGAGGGCTAAGACAGAATGCCTGTTTTCCAGTAAAAAGGGTCTCCGGTTCTCTACACTCACCATACGAAATACAGCAGCATTAAACTGCTATTTTACGCTGGTATTCTGTGAGAGCGTGGTCCTTCCCCGGTCGAGCCGACCCATTCGTGCTACAACTATACTACTAATATAGCTACAGCATGGCTCTACCACGTATAAACTGTCCACTGTTGAACAGAGGCCTCCACCATTGATTACATCATAAGGGGATATTTGTAATAGTTGCCACGCTTGGCAAGCGGGTTAACAGCCGCAGTTTTTTATTTTTAGTCGTTATTAGGAAGATGCTATTTCTCTTGGTTGCCTCTTATGTCAACTATTGGTTGATATGGAGTAGTGGATATTCTTACACCGCCACTATACTGTATCCGGCACCGGGGCTTTTCGTTACTGCAATCCAAATGTGTTAGTGTATATTGTATATGTTTTTTGTTTGTTTGCTATATTCTCAGTAGCTGCCCACCTGCTTGTAAATGGCTACTGACCAATGCCCATGAACACCATTAACATTCTTACTAGGAAGACCACAGTTATGTGATCACTCTTGAGCTTGCGCTATAACGATAAAGCCGTTGGTCCTGTGCCTGATCTCTGTCCGGTTGCGTCGGATAACCCTCCTATCGGACTGTGAAAGTGGACTATGACCATGGAGGAAAAGAGAGCGCACATGAGCTTGCGCGTTTACTCGGGCACTAAAATCCTGTTGTGCGCAGATGGCTAATCTGTTGAGACTGGGCGCCGTGACCGAAACTCGGTCTGGAAGAAATACTTCTCAGAGTTATCATTATTATTATTAGAGAATATATGTACCCTTCAAAGAAGAATTGATATATTAACTAATAAGAAATGTCTCATTGCCAGTTAATGATGGTTCAATCCACGTAGACGAACTGTGCGGGACATCTGCTAAATCGGACACATTATGCATGATAAGTAGAGTATTTTATAGTCTGACTCGTTAATTTATATAAAAGTGTATATTTTTATACGTGGTAGAGCCACGCTGCAATTACATTATTGTTGTATATTATGGACCGGGAAGGACCACGCTCTCCAATATTAGCGTAAAATAGCAACTTAATGCTGCTGTTTTTCGTTTGGCGAGAGAGTTGTGAACCGGAAATTCTTTTTACTGGAAACCGGGCATTCCTTCTTAGTCCTCAACTAGATTCCTAGTCTGCACCTAGATTGTTAATTGAGGATAGATGAAGGTGTACAACCTCCAATTACCGTCAGGTGGACTGTGTGCTCGTTTTTCTACCTTCTTCTATAAAAAAAAACATCTCTGAAAATGTGTGACAATAAAAAAATATCAAGCACGCTTTTGGTGGACGTATTGAATTGAATACGTGTATTTGATCACTAGTTCCCATCGCTTAATTTACTCTGCATCTCTGCATTTATACGACATCAGTCTTTTGACCCGACGTCAGAATGTTTCATTTTTTTTAACTATTACTATATCAGCCCATTAAGAGTTTACTGCTGAACCCTTAAATTGTCTCTTAGGCGGGGATATTTGCCATAGTTGACGGCTTATCAACCGCAGTTTTTCTTTATTTAGCTGTTATCAGCAAGTTGTTGCTGCCCATCTCCTGGTTAAATTTCCCTCTGTCGTCTTATAGGCCTCCCAGAGGAATATGTAGTAGTGGATATTCTTACACCGCCACTACACGGACTTTTTTACTGTTACTTTAGAGTTCAGCGAGAATCCCTTTTAGGGTTCCGTACCCAAAGGGTATCCAACCCTATTACTAAGCCTCCACTGTCCGTCCGTCCGTCCATCCGTCTGTCTGTCAGCGGTCTGTATTTCATGATCCGTACTAGGTAGACAGTTGAAATTTTCAGAGAATATGTATGCCGCTATACCAGCAAATATAAAAATCAACATAAACCAGCCCTACCAGAAACGTGTATTATGATGGTACGGAACACTTCATTTGCGAGTCCGACTCGCACTTGGCCGGTTATTTGTAACATTGTAATCTAGAGCAATGGTGGATAGAAGATGGTTATAGATGTTTTATTTTACGAAGTCGTTCGAGCCTTACTCTGCTGCTTTCAAGAGGACATAACATTTATCTTTTCAATTCTCTGCGAAAAACTTCTACGTTTATTTTTTTTCCTTTCTGACGGTACTCGATAGTCATTTTTAACTTTGGCTTACACATACTAAAACAATGTGTATGTGCACCTACACTATGTGTAAGACCAAAAATAAAAAATTCTAATGTTTTTGATTGATATGAAACTTATTTCTTTTTCAGGTAAAACGTGACCAGAGTGGGTTCCGTAGATAATGTAATAAATATAGAGAAACAAATAAAAAAAATTCGTATTTGCGTCCGTACATCATAGGCAACGGCGCGCATGTCGTGGTCGAATTCGCCTACACCATTCCCAAATCCCTTAATGAAATCCATGATGGCGAGTAGTGTGAGAATTGCTCAAGATTGAATATTTGTTGAACGTAATGTTCAGAATATCTGAACATTTTTAAATAATGTGAAATATGTCTGTCATTAATTTACTTTAATGATTTGGACGTAGAAGATAAAGACATACTTAAACGTCGCAGAAATAACCCTATTAATTAAATTTATTGATTGCCTCGAAAGTTCCAAATAAATGAAATCGTTAAAAAAGAAAACATAGATGTACGTCTTATTAAATTTATGAATTATATGTATAATTTTTGATTAATTACTACATATTAAATTTACCATTAATTCCAATAAAATATCATTAAACCATAACATTGTAGACATTTTACCTCCTATCCTGATTATGTTTTTATAATTTTTTTTACGAGTACTACAAAGCGATCTCTAAATTTTTATTTTATCGCGAGCGGGAGTAATGGACAAAGATCATTGATTAAGAAAACAAATAAATTTGTTCTTCTAGAAGTAAGAATAAGTGATTATTATTATTTTGTATGGTAAGTAATACTCGTATTATATGTACATTTTATTATGTGCCAATTCAATTATAGTGCAGTGTATAGTTCTTGCAATTCACGAAGTCGAGCGGGCTTTACTTGTGTTTAAACGTGTACATGCACGTTGCGTTAGTGTGCGTGCGTGCTTTTCGTCTCACGCACACTTTAGCACGTATACAGATACGTGTTTACCACAAGTAAAGTCCGCTCGACTTCGTGAATAGCAAGAACTATACCTGCGCTCTTTCATTCCCGTTTTTATTTTTTATTTTAATTCAATATACTTACCGATAACAAGCTATGGATTTTTAAAAAGCACGGGAAAATAATCTTATCCTTTTAAATGTTTTATGATTTATTTCTTTATTTTTTAATATAAAAATTTTGATGAAAATTTATAAAATAATTTACTTTAAAATGCTGATTCAAAAACTTTCTACTTGTTGCTGTTTGCTCTGTTAAGCCTAAGTATTTTTTTTTTATTTGACGTTGATTATTATGAGTAAAGCGGCTCGTGTAAAGTTCAATTATTTGCCATTCTAAAAAAGTAATATTTTACTCTCGCTGGTAGAACTTTGACGTTTTGAATTGACAACATTTTTTTTAACGGTGTTATTATTAATTTTATTTCGTAAATTAACTGTTTTAACGCGATGCAAATTATTATAAAATAAAATAGGTGCATAGATTGACACTGAAAGAGTATATATTGCATAGAAATGTGATGTCATTTAGTAGTTATAATGTGAGATGGGTAGAATATTTTTCTTTATCAATTAATATTGTATTTTTAATCTGAACAAGTAATCGTTTTCACGATATTTTTTTTTGTATCCAAAGATTGTCAATAAATTTTTAAACCATTTCAAATAATATCCTTCAAAGTGATTTTAATTTTAATGTATCATTGCATTTGCCTTTGATAAGACTAAGTGTAATTAAAACAGAAATATAGCTTCATTGTAACACTGTCCCTGTGTAATAGGTTAATATAATTATGAAGTTTATTGTAAAGAATAAAGACTTGCTGGGTGATTAAATTGTTGTTTTACATCTTTTACCGGAAACCTGGAGTTTTGTCTTCAAAAAGAATGCATTCAAGTTGTTTACGTTGCTACAAGAGTCCAATTTGACGTGGTAATTGAATTTCCAATCCACCTTCTATCCCAGAAGGTGGATTGGAAGTTCAGTCGTTTTGAACGCTCTATCGCGATTCAAATGTATACAAACTTTGCCTGTGCAATAAATTCCAAATATGTATATCATAGAATTGGAAAGAAGGCGGTTGGTGCTTATTTAGACGGTTTTATATTGCAACATTTGTAAAATATTAAAATCTATACTAGTCAGCACCAGTTGTTGTCGTATGCGTCATAGATGGCCTTTCGGCGCCTAGACTCGCGATAGAGCGCTTCTGCTGCTTCTTGTGATGTAAGAACACGTATGAATAAATAAATGTTTTTATTGCCAAATTCGGCTTTTATTTCGAAATGATACAATAAATACGTATTCATTATTATTAACTATAATTATGTACAAGCTTACGATACTTAATATTTACACACTTTAAAACTATTGAACACGACAAAGTGTACTAAAACAACCCGACGAGTGTTACAACTTTGGTGCTTATTATGTTGTTAATAAGTAAGTGGCCTTCATTTATACTATTGCTGTCAAGAAGGAGTAATAATTTTACAAAAAAAAAACATGCGCGAGTGTCGTGGAACACTCAGTTGGAACGAAGTTCCTTTCGTAGTACATATGTTATTATTGATAAACGTATTATATTATTGATTAACAAGTACAAATAAATGAATTACTAACGTCTATTAAAATGAAGCGTCATTTAAAATAATATTTCTTTCATGGCAACATAAGAAAAATGCGAGGGAGATTGATATTATTCCATCTCGCTCGCACTATAGTAAGGGGTCGTGTTGGAAAAATCTTACACTTTTTCTCGCCTAGCCCCATCCGCCAAATTCGTACCGTGCGATAAAGAACTTCATTCCAAAAATAAGAATTAAGATTTTACATAGGTAAATATAAATTAGTTAATAGGTAGTTTTTTACTCGTCGGGGTGATTCATTATATCAATGACACAATCAGATTTGCAGTCATAACTATTAAAGCTGTTCCCTATTTGTTATTATATTACAAAACGTCCCTCATTCGAGTAATTTGACATGTTATCAAGCTCTTAAGAAATTTATCGATTTTACACTATTGATGATTTGCAGCTTTCCACATTATTTTACTAACAGGCAAGTAAGTAGGCAAGCTTTAATATGGTTTTTTTTTTTAAATAATTAGTGTATATATGTGCATAATTTTTCAACCGACTTCATAAAAGGATGAGGTTTACATTTCGAGTGTACGTTTTTTTATGTTACGCGATATCTTCACTAATTGACACCCAATTTTTTAAATTTTTTAATTGTACTTTAGGGGTGTTCCCATATAAATTTGGAGAAAAAAAAATTGCACCCCTAAGGGTGGCAAGAAAAACTTATTTTAGTTCTTTGAAGTCTGCTTATACTTTTTGTAAAAAGTTATAATTGTTCCTTTACCCACTTGACGATTCGCTCGTATTCAACGAATCACAATTAAAAATTATTTAATATACAAGAGCTAACACAAAAACTTTTTTTATTTACAATTTTTATAAACTATTCGAATACTGGTTGCACAAACATATTTAAGTACTTTTAATATATGTACACAATACACAAATGAGTATTTAGTGTTGCTGTGTTGCCAACTTTAAGTAATAGTGATGCCATTAGAACAAAAATATTTACATTATAGCCTCTATCATAGCCTCGTTGTACTTACAAGTAATCATTACAGCTTTATTATTATATATTTTCAATTGTTTATGTGTGTATTAGTAACTAATATAGTTATGTTTAAAAAAATAATTATATATTTTTAAAACAGTGATGTCAAAAAAGATTTACCAACTCGTTGCGGTGAGGCTTTAAAATTTATCGTTAGATTTTTTTTTATTTCCAGTCTACTACATTAGATTGTTGCGAATTATTACATTAATTCATCTCCTTAATTTGTGGCGTTCTTAATTTTTTTAATACACATACTATAATCAGGATCTCAGATCATTTATCATACACATTGATATGGCACGATTATTATATCTACAAAAATAAGGCACTTTTTACTTATACATATTATGATAGATTCAGTACCTACTGACTGTATAGTTAATTGCTCTTATTACAAAACTATAGTCTCGGGTTTAAAGAAGAGTTTGTCATGAAGAAGAAGGTCCTTTAGTCGTTGCGAAATTTCACATTTTGCTATCAAATTCCATAAGTACTATAAATTTTAGGTCGCATATTTTCCACAGGACTTCTTTATTGAAACAGATCTAGTTTATACCTTATATTATTTATAAACAACATAATTTTGTAATGAGACGGATTATGTTTTCAGTGTTAAATAACAATATTCATTATGCAATTAAGCGTCAATATATCGTATCTAGGAATCGATTTCATCATTTTGAGATATGCGAGACGAAAAAGTACCCAAACACACACGCACATACACATAAATGCTTTTAAAACTAGCACTGCCAACTTCCAATTTTAACAGCGCGCAGAAAGATGAGGAAGAGAGAGAGAGAGAGAAAGATGTATTCATGACGTCACGCGTAGACGGCAACTGCTAGCGGTAGAACTGAATACAATATCATAATGTACTTAAATAGTTGAAGTATGCACCTTCTGGTATTTTAACTGTGGACAATACTGGTGTATGATACTTAAATAATATTCTAACTTTCTGCGCGCGTTTTCTACATGAGCTATTGTGTGTATATATTTGAAATAATGCAGTGAAATCTCTTCCACCTTATTGTTTCAATTTAAAGCCAGTCCTATCTTCAAGTTCCTGTGTTCACTGCGGTATGGGACAAGAGTCGAGCAACACGTTATGAAGCGACTCCATTTCGCTCCAGTCTAAAGTCTGACCCGCCACGCTTACGTCGCGGATGCAACCCTTGAAGTTCTCCCGTCCTTCTGCCGTGTCTGAAGCGCCTTCTGGAATTGTGCTTTTTATATTAGTTTGGCGTATTTACTTTTCTATCATCATTTAAACAAAAATGAATATCTTACATTCTAAATTAATTATATTATTTTGACTGCCTCGTGGGCACAGTGGCCGGAAACATGCCAGTTACTGAACCCAAGACCATATGGGCATGGGTTCGAATCCCGGGTCGGGCCAAATTCAGTTATTTGATTTTTCGTTCAAGAAATTTTCAATAGCAACCCAGAATCAGGAAGTTGGTGGTGTTTCACCCCCGTGCCTCAGAAAGTGAAGACATTACCTGATAGAGATCAGTCTTGTGCCTGATCTCTATCAGGTAATGTCGGATTACCGTGCCATCGGGAGTGAGGGAATAGTGCACCTGTGCTTGCGCATACACTTGGGCACTATAATCCTGTCCTTCGAAGATGGCAAGTCTAAGTTGAGACTGGCCGCCGTGACTGCAATTCGGTCTGGAGTAAGTACTTTATTATGTATTATTTTGGATATTTCGATGACGTGGAGTGGTTGCTGTGGCCCATAGACATCTACATTTATCCTCGTTTGCGAATAAGATTGAATGCCTCTTTTCCAGTAAAAAGGGTCTCTGGTTCTCTACACTCACCATACGAAACACAGCAGCATGAAGCTGTTATTTTACGCTGGTATTCTTTAAGAGCGTGGTACTTCCCCGGTCGAGCCGACCCATTCGTGCTACAACTATACTACTAATATAGCTGCAGCATGGCTCTACCACGTCTAAAGTTTTGCACTTTTGCATTAAACTGCACCATTGCGTTTCGGTTTGGGGTTATAGAAAGCCAGTATAATTAAAACCTGTAAGGTATTTCACTATAGTCCTCAGAGGTGACAACTGTTTAAAGTTAGCTTCAGGTATCCATAGACAGTAAGTACACACTATCAAGTGGACTGTGTGCTCGTTTGTCACCCTTATTCTAACAAACCACCCACCCTCTTACATAACTATTTCTGTGTTCCAGTTTGTATGGAGTGCGAATGGTATAGAGAGTCAGCAGTATAATTTCAGGCTGTGAGGCGTTAAATCTCAGCCTTCAGAGGTGGCGACACGTCTATAGTCTTGTTTGTTTGAAGTTGGCTGAAAGTGTCCTGTGCAAGCTCACCGGGCAGCGCGGCGACGTGCAGCGGCGCGGGCGCGTGCGGCGGGGCGGAGGAGGGAGCCGGCGACACGGAGCGCTGCTCGGGCTCCGAGTCCAGCGTCAGTAGCGCGGCGGCGCTCGACACGCGCGCACGCACGCCGTGCCACCTGCCGTCGCACGCTGCGCGCCCGCCCGACGCCAGTGACGTCACGCACGCCTCGCCCACGCTCAGCACCACCTGCGCATGCGCACGCTCCGTCACATTATCATTCAATGACTGCCTCGTTGCTCTAGTGGCCGTTAACGCGATTGCTGATCATCAGGTCCCGGGTTCAAACCCCGGGACGTGTCAAAATTCAGTTAGCGGGTTTTTAATACCTGTAATACCCCTGGTATTGCAGGTATTAAAAATGGTATTCACAGGCGAAGGTCGACACATACCACCAGGTGAGCTGTGTGCTCGTTTGCCCCCTCTTCTATATAAAAAATAACCGATTGGGAAGACAACTTTTCGAGTGGTGGTATCGGTAAGAGAAAAGTTGGGCGCCACTAGGTGATATGACGACTTGGTAAAAGATGCAGGTGGCTGAGAAATGAGAACCGTGTTTTGTGACATTCCTTGGGGGATATCCATGTTTAGTAGTGTACTTGTAATGGACTGTAATGATGATGACGATGAAAAATTTTTGATGTGTCAGTGATATGTGTGTGTCTGGTTCATTTTTGGTTTCCTCAGAATACAACAAACTTTGCTTTTAAGCTAATTCAAATTCGAAGGTTTTGGGAGACTATCTACACGGAGCAGCATCAAAAGTGCGACAAATGTGTTTTAAGATCGTTCCAAACGTCTTAATGACATAGGTCTATGTCCACACATAAGAAGAATTTTATTTATAATGCTCATTCGTGTCATACACATAGGTACATAAATGTCAGTATTAAAGTTGTGTGTACCTACTCTACTTCAACATTATATAAATTAAATTTTACCGCGCCATCTTTGAGCTCCAACACGAAACCGTTGGAGGCAAGCAGCACACCGTTGGGTGAAGTAGAACGAAACTGGAGTTTCAACTCGGCCGATTCCATGTCCTCGGTCCACCATCGAGTCGCCCACACCGCGTAAGCGTCACCTGATCATGATTTAAATGAATCTGAATGAAAAATCAACCATTTTCTACAATATAGTAATTCAATTCAAAATGCCTGAAAGACAAAAGTTATAGACCATAGAGCATAATTAATTGAAAAAGTGGGAAGGTGTAGTTGTAGTTCGCTGTGTAATGGCGGCGCATGTGAATTTACTTCCCCATATCATTCCGTTGGTGTCGTAAGAAGTGACACATCCTGATAACTAAAAACTGCGGTTACCAACCCAAGCCTAGAAACTATGGCAAATATTTCTCCTATGAAGCAATTTTTGGAGAGGCTTATTTGCAGAAGTTGACTTTTAGGCTGTAATGAATCAATAAATGAAATAATTTAATAATGAATACTGGTCATATTCGCCTAAGGCAACATTTACTCAGTTTTAGATATCGCCAAAATGAAGGTGACTAGAATGTGTACTACGCCATAGCATTCCGTTGCGTGACGTACACCAGTGTGGGTGTCGTAAGCGACAGTAAGAAATGAAACAGATTATTAGTGATGCTGCTTATTCTGATAACTAAAAATAATATAATACTGCTTTTGCCAATCGTCCAAGTGTGGTAAATATGGCAAATATCCTCCCTATCAATCTATGGGGGTGATCTATGTTCATAGGTAGATTTTTGTTAGACTGTAATGGATAAATGTTAGGGATGGAAGTGAAATTGGTTTACTTGTAGCCCGCGAGATAATAGAATTCATCACTCCTTATTATTTTGTAGGTGTTGTAGATGCGGAACGTAACACATGTGTTATTTAATATTTAGGATAATATCCTTATCTAAAAAAAAAATTAAAACACCTCCATCCCCTTCGTGATGGTCACGAAGGGGACGGAGGTGTTTTAAATTTTGCCGTAAAGCACCCAAAACGTCGGGAATTAAAAAGAAAATTAAATGCGACAAAATCCATAAAATTAGTTTAATTTTATGTGTAGTATCGTTAATATAAGAAAATCATTATCTTTATATAAATAAGAAGCAAGGTAGAAGGATAACGGGGAGGGTGGCGGCGGGTAGGTTACCGGCGAAGTACGCGGCGCGCTCGATGTTTGGGAAGCACTGGCCGACGCCGCGGTGCGCCTGCGCGTCGCGCACCAGGTCCTCGGCGCGCCCGTTCACGCTCACGCGCCGCACGCACCCCACCAGCCCGCGCAGGCGCACGATCTGCACACGCACACCTATGCCTTACTGCCGTGCACACCATGCCATTGCCCCTTATTTATAACAACTTTTTACGTGGCAGAGCCATGCTGCAGCTATATTAGTAGTATAGTTGTGGCACGAATGAGTCGGATCAACCGGGGAAGGACCACGCTGTCACAGAATACCAGCGTAAAATAGCAGTTTAATACTGCTATGTTTCGTATCGTGAGTGTAGAGAACCGGAGACCCTTTTTACTGGAAAAGAGGCATTACATCTTAGTCCTCACGACAACTTATTTTTTATTTATTTATTTATTCTTTATTGCATTCCTTAATCTAAAAGAATACAAATGGCGGACTTAATGCCTTGTGGCATTCTCTACCAGTCAACCCATGGAGTAGTGAGAATTTGAAGTAGGTGTAGCAATATAGAATAAAAACAAAATAGAAATTTATAATTAATTATATTATATATACATTTTACTAATATATACAATAAATAAACTATAAAATATCTGACAACGCATCTGAATTCTGAATTCGTAATCGAGGATGGATGTAGATGTCTATGGGTCATAGCAACCACTTAGCATCAAGTGGACTGCACCCTATCCTATAAAAATACTCACCATGGTTTCAGCGTAATCGGATAAATAGTATAGGAACATATAAAAGACAAGCAAACATAATACTTAATTTGCATTTTATCTGGGGGCACTACCATGCCCCCGCCAAGTCGACCAAATGAGCGCTACGGCCGTACCATCCTTTTCCCGAGGCAATTCAGGCCTTTTTCGAAACCCTATAACTTCATTGTGGATAAAACTAGAAGCCTGAATTTTCAGTAACCAAGTAGGTATTGTATAAACTCGATACGTTTCAAATTCCAATAATTTTGAACCAGTAGTTTAAGAATTATAGCTAGTCAAAGTTTCTTAATTTTGTCACTCACTCACTGACCGATCATCAAAATTCTAAGGCACTTCTAGCAGACATAGAAGCTTCAAATTTGTAATGACAAGTCAATCTATTTATTTAAAACGTAAATGATTTTCAATATTCATATGGTCACTAAAGATGTTGTTAGGTTAGCTAATTACGTACCTAATAACTTAAGACAGAAGGATCCTTATCCTTAAGCAGGGACTGAATAAATTAACCGATTATGTATACATTTATACATGGATCCCACAACTTTTTACGATAGGATTGAATTGCGCGCTTATTTCAAATTGTGTTGGGTGTGAAAAAATAAACTAGAAATATGTCTAAAAATACTTAGGTATATTTATTTTGTGAAATTGTTATTAATTTTATACGCTACAACCGTTTCTGATTTCTTAAAATAAAATGGTTGTTTATAAAATAAATAAATAAATAATATTTTCGGTAAATGTAATTAGTAGAGAGCAGTAGTGAACAGAATTATGTAGTAGTGCGTAATGCACAGTAGTATGCATTATTATGAAATAATGATTAGTAATATACAGTAGAGAATAATAGTGGGTAGTAGTAGGCAGTTAGCGGGATTTGAGACAATGATTTCATTATTAACTTTTCTGATATTATGAGCGCTAACAATTATTGTAGTATGACATTTTGGCTAGCTCTGCAGTAATGAACGTTAATACGCAGAGAAGAGGAATGCGCAGCAGTGATTTGTAGTATGCGGTAGTGAGCGGTACACAGTACATACGTTATTGGGCAGGTGCGGTACGGCGGCATGTGCGGGCAGCCCGCCCACGTAGAGCCGGGCGGCGCGGGCTAGCGGCGGCGCGCGAGCCGTGGCCGCTGCGCCGCCGCTCTCCAGCACCAGCCGCGACCGCCCCACGCGCACGGACACCTACACATCAATATCAACACGTATAAATCGTCATACATGCTATTGTAATAATATCTTATAACTTCATTGCGTTGCTAGCTATACGTTTTGCTGGCAACGTAAATTTTAACAGTTGCGGTGAAAATTTTAGAGCACCTAATTTTTAAACTTGGAACCTAATTAGCACTTAAAAGCCCGTTAATTTGGGTTTTTTTAAATGCAAATTCCCGACTTTGCGTTGCTGGCGAGACACAACTCCTGTTCGGTGTTAGGAAGCAGTGTCAAAGGTGCATAACCCTTGGTACTGCGATCGCCAATCCACTTATCAAGCGTGGCGATTAAGGCAAAATCCTATCTATAGCGTCGGAGGCCGATGTCCAGGAGACTAACGAACCGATAAAAAAGAAGACACGTTTTATTCAGAGAGAATAATGATGTTGATAAATTATTGTTCTGGCTTTGAAATCCTCGAAAAAATAACTCAATGACCACACAACTAGAATTAATATGAGACTCGTGATCAGCCCCGGCTTCGCACAGGTGATTACTGGAGCGTAGCGAGCGCTGTTGTCGACATCTAGAAATCCACCGGGTCCAATTGTGAGTATAAACCATTCAGAGTTCAAACACACACAAAATGTCATCAAAGTCGCTTCAGCCGTTTAAGATTTCAGTGACAAACCCACGTACACAAGAATTATATACCTATATAAAGATAACAAAATATTACAAAGCGAATATATATACTCTAAATATACTCACAGCTCTCCAGGTGCCGTCAGCAACGAATGCGGCGAGGTTCAGTTCGCGACGTCTTCTGCCGCGGACTATTAGCTTCAGCTTACCCTCGCGGATCATCAGCGCCATGTAATGCTTTGGTTTTGTTTTCGAACCCTAAAATTGTGAACATGTGTATTAAAATTTATATATTCTTAATTATATTCTCGTCTAGCGTCTACTGGTCCCTCCTTAATTCTTTTGTGGGCTTACTACTCTTTATCTACTTCCACTTTCACCGTCCCTCCCAAAACCTTGTCTACTTCATCCAATTCCCGCTTACTCACCGGCAGCAGCAGCAACAGTCCGTCGTGTGCGAAGGTGCGGAAGTGCAGTGCCAGCATCAGCTCGCGTCTCGACGGCAGCTTGAGCGTGGCGTGGCTGCCCGCCACGTCGCCGAACTTCACCGCTCCCGCCTCCACCGTGTACGACGACGTCTGTTCCACGATATTAATCATTTTTAGAAGCTTTGAAGTACCTAATGTGTACTGTGTAGTGATAGCTAATAACATCCACGACTTTTTTGCCACCAGGGCGGGGCCACTTAGATAAAAGGTTAAATATTTGACGAATAATTTTTTTTTATAGAATAAGAGTGACAAACGAGCATACAGTTTGCCTGATGGTAAATGGTTGCTGTGGGCTATAGACATCTACATCTTTCTTCGTTTGCAAATTAAAATGCAGATAACGCATCTGCATTTTAATGTCAGCCGTGAGGACTAAGATCTCTACACTCACCATACGAAACACAGCAGCATTAAGCTGCTATTTTACGCTGGTATTCTGTGAGAGCGTGGTCCTTACCCGGTCGAGCCGACCCATTCGTGCTACAACTATACTATTAATATATGTAGCTACAGCATGGCTGTGCCACGTAAAAAATATAGGGAAATGTTTGGGTAATGTTTCTTTTAGCAAGATTAGTTTTATATTTTATATTAATTAGATTAGAAACGAATTAACTAAACTACAGATATTCTTACAAGTAGAAAAATAAAAAAAAGAGTTAAAATGTGAAAAACATTAAGAAACAAACCACGGAATATAAAAAAAAACAAGAGGAAGTAGCAAAACGTATAATTTGTACTAGGACCATTGTCGTCAAACTCACACATTCGCAAGAAAGGAATGTGTACCGACAATTATATCCAACATCTTCGATCTATCTTCGATTAAGGATCAAAATACTGATGCGTTGTAGTCCACATATATAAATAAATATGTAGCAAGCTAGTAGTCCCTGAGCACTAAGCTGGAATAAGCTAACAGGTAAAAAGGGTCTCCGATTCTTGTCACCCCCCGGCGCTATTGATAATAATTATCTAATTGATGCTGACTTTGGAAATATCAATATTTTGAAGAGTTAGCTACTCTTCAAAATATTAAGTCTTAGCGATATATCTAGTTTTGTTTTTCGAACACTTTTCTGCTGACTCACGACTTAGATTTAAATATTACCGGGATTTAAATCGGAGTTTAGGTATTTAAGACGCAGGTTGAGCAAAATTTCGCGCTAGTCGTTATTTGTGCGGTTTTTAGGAGCTATCTACGTTTTATTTAAAAGACTAGCTGTGCCCGCGGCGTAGCTCGCGTATACAGGTTTTACATAAACAATTTGTCGTTTAGGTAAGAGAATATTAAACGATTTATTTCATTACTGTATCAATAAGTGGTAACTAAATAAATCATTATCATCAAAGTTCTAAGTCGTTTATGATAGAGCTTCTGTGTAAACGACGTGAGAAGTAGGCTTAGCCGGGGTGTACACTAAAAGGTTACGGGGGCTACTAACGCGGGAAAAAGCAACATAGAGTTGGCCATGTGCAAAACAGTCAGTACTGAGGTACACTCCTACAACGCGTAAAGTTTGACCTTGCGCTTTATTTACGGTCATCGCATAACACACGCTCACTGTAACTGGGAACTGAACGCGCTTAAAACTGAAAGGAAAGTTACTTCTTAATAGAGGGTTTTTGGGCAGTGCTGCCAGATAAAAAAAAAACTAATTCAGCTCTAGGACAACACAAAAAGCGCTAGATTTCATGAAAACAGCGCTTTAAAAAAGCCCTAGATTTCGCGCTAAATTAACTACAAACAAAGTTTGTGTTTTTTTATATAATCATAATAAAGAAAACAATATTAAGTTTTTTTTCTGGCAATATTTTTTTGATGTATCAATAATTCGCAGGACATCAACTTATAATTATGGCAATTGCTGTCAACAGTAGTTAGTACTGTACGAACAATAAAAATGTCATTAATTGTTTTAAAGTGCAATGTATTTCGCAACTTAGTTTCAGATGTCAGCATCTGATTGCGGTTGCTACACAGTTTCTTTGTGTTATAACTTCTAAGTAACTTTTAACTTAGCTGTGCTCTAAGCAACTGACTGAAACTGAATAAAGCAAAATAATTGCGTTGCCAAAACCATGAACAAAAACTTTAATAAAGGGGATTTCCCCGCTTATAGACGTCGGTAAAAAAATCAAGTTGATCATCCTAAAGGGGAAGCCAGGAGATCCATAGCACAGGATATCCTAGTTTGGACTCGTCTCCCATGCTCTTTGTTTTGTGGAAAAAATATGTTTGAAAAAGATAAACTGCAATGTACTATTTGTGGGAAAAAATAATAAAGGTCATTATTATTATTATCGGTAATGTGGACTAACAGTGCTGCTATAAAAGAGTTAATAACCCGCTAGTCGCTAAAATATTGAAATGTGTGCTAAATACACCAAAAAGCGCTGGATTAAGCTAGGTGCTAAAATTTCGAAATGCGCGCTATACATTCCAAAAAAGCGCTAAATCTAGTTCCCAAAGCGCTAAAATGGCAGTACTGATTTTGCGTATATTATAAATACAATATCACGACATTTCGTTGCAAAATTTTTATTTTTGGTCGGATTCCGTTGTATGGCTTCGATGGATACAAATTTCTTCAGTAAGTCTCAATACGATTCATCGGCGAAAAATCTCAACACAGCAATTCAGAAAAGTTTGTAATTTGTACAACTCCATCTATTACGTCCTTTGTGTGAGAAAACATCCTTTTTAAATCTCTTTTTGTGTTTTAAGTATAAATATATTAATTATTATGGAACGTTTTTTTTTTACACACAAATCTTTTTATTACTATTTCTGAGATTTTATGGCGCCATTGAACAAATTCGAACCTACATTTCAAAATAATAATCATTACTTTCGATAGAATTAACCAATTTTAATAAAACAAAGATTAAATGTAACTCGAAGATACGCTTTATGATTTTCTTAACGATTTCTTTGAAAATAAAAGATGTTTACTTTAGACGTGATGCGTTCATATAATAACAGACAAATAGACATACAGACAATTCTAAAAATTATAAAATGTTCTTATTTAATTATTTTCAGTTCCCCATAATGATTTTAGCCACCAAAATATATGTGACACAACATGTTATCATCATTTTTATTATATGTATATATTTAAAGAGAGATGGCGCTGCTAACATCAATTCTAAAAATAAAAGAGATTAATTGACGCGATTGATACATTATATAAAACGCAAGAGAACTTATAAATCAGTGTCTGCACAGTAAGCAAAAAATAAAGTTTGACTCTCGCCAAAACCAACGATTTGTTAAAAGCTCTTTTAAAATTTGATTTACCACATAGAGTACTCGGCGGTAAAGAATAAATTGAGTTTGTCAACACGCAATAGGGCAGCGAGTAATATAATAAAGATTAGCAGTAAATATGAAAACTCATCTACAGGAAAAAAACACATTGCAATTGCATTACATTTTCACAACACCACCATCTATCGAAGAAATGGGAAAACTATTGTGTAAACATTTTTTTAAAATTATTAATTACATTTGTCAGTGGATTAGTTTTTTTTATTGTTACCTTTGTTAACAACATCGCCTTTAGAACTGGAACCGTAAGTGTTTTTTTCAGACGTCCACAATTTATTCAAAATAGAAAAATACTCTTTCTACTGGAGCATTTGTACCAGGTAGACATAAAATATATTCGATTAAAAAAATTATGTTGAAGATTTTTGGCTTTGAATACTTCCATCCAACGAGTTACGGGACAATTTTGAGTCCCGGAGCTTTATTTGGGGACAATGGGACAGGTGACCGAGAAAAGGGACAATCCCGTTCAAAACGGGACGTATGGTCACTTTACCTATAACCCGGCGACGGCTCTGTGGCGCAGTGGCTTAGCAATCAGTTGTTGCGCTGGGGTCCGCGGGTTCGAATCCCGCACGGAACAAGTATTTGTAAGGCCTACGAATATTGTTCCGGGTCTGGATGTTTATCCTTGTGCAATTTATGTTTGTAAACTGCCTCCACGACTCCGCGACTTCGCCCGCGTGGAACTTGGATTTCATGAGTTTTAATTATTTTTTTGCGCGGTACCCTAATTCTTTTGTAAAACAAAAGTAGCCTAAGTTACTCCTTATATCATCAGCTATCTGCCAGTGAAAGTCCCGTCAAAATCGGTCCAGCCGTTTCGGAGATTAGCCGGAACAAACAGAAGGTCAGACAGACAAAAATTTTAAAAATTGTGTTTTTGTTATTAGTACTTTTTATACTTTCATATGCACTTAGTAAAAAGCTGTTATTTTAACATTACAAACAGACACTTCAATTTTATTTATTTGTATAGATGTATAGATTATAAAATTTCATAATTAGATAATATACGTATATGAGAATACATAATTCTAATATAATGCAACTAATATACCGAATAAAAAAATTAAAATAAATTTATCGTTGTACGCTCTGTGTATTTCCATAAAATAGTTTATTGATGTTTAAAAAATACTACGTTCGTACAGTAGGTGGCGTCTTACATATTTCTTACGCGATATATTGTAGCGAGTAGTCGGCGGACCGAATGCTCAAAGTCATTCGCATGGAGTAGCCCCTTAAAAGTACTCTTGTATGAAACCTACATGCAGAAATATGTCCCTGCAAAATGTAATAGGATTTTTTTAAGATACCTTGGCGCAGCCGACTTGTTCGGGCTGTGTGTGCAGTGCGTGCGGCTCTACGGACTGTGCGCGTGGCTCGCTCTCCGCGCGGCCCAGCTGAGCGCCGCGCCAAGATACAGCGCTCTCCAGACCGATCAGTCTGCAATGTGCACACAAACCAATTGAATTGTTGTCGACGTTTCATGTATTTGGACTAAAGGTTAGGCTTTAGAGTTCATAATGCGTTTTTATAGAATAATAGTGACGAACGAACACACAGTCTTGATGGTAAGTGAATACTGTGGCCCATAGACATCTACATTCACCCTCAATTACGATTGAAATGCACATGCAATATATCCAGTAAAAGAGTTCCCGTTTCTTTACACTCAGCATACGAAACACAGCAGCATTAAGCTGCTATTTTACGCTGGTATTCTGTGAGAGCGTGGTCTTAACCAAAAAAAACTTTGCCATGTCCCATAGTCTTCTCTACACACCCACGGGTCAAAACCCATGGCATATTAGATATGAAATAAAAGTTATAAATACGTTACAAATAGGGAGGGTTATAAATAAGAAATGCATTACTTGAGCTAAACAGTACTTATTGACTCGTTGGTCTAATGGCCGTAAGCGCGACTGCTGAACCCGGTTTCTAATTTCGGGTCAGGCCAAAATCAGTTATTGTGTTTTTCTGTTAAGAAATTAAAAGCAGCCAGTAGTCAGGAAGTTTTTCAAACCCGTGCCTTAGAAATGCACGTAGAGCCGTTGGTCCTGTGCGTGATCTCTCACTGGTCGTGTCGGATTACCGTCCCATCGGACTATGAGAGTGAAAGAATAGAGTGCACCTGTGCTTGCGCATACACTCGAGCACTATAATCCTGTCCTGCGCAGATGGCTAGTCTCCGTTGAAGCTGGCCGCCGTCACCGGCATTCGGCCTGAAGGACATTATTATTATTATTTGACACTGACTCGGAGTCGACGATGAAGTCGGCGACGGTGCCGGCGAGCCCGGCGGCGGGCAGGCGCGGCGTGCGCAGCGCGTGCGGCGCGCCGGCCAGGTAGTGACAGTAATACTCACTCGGAGTCGACGATGAAGTCGGTGACGGTGCCGGCGAGCCCGGCGGCGGGCAGGCGCGGCGTGCGCAGCGCCGGCCAGGTAGTGACAGTAATACTCACTCGGAGTCGACGATGAAGTCGGCGACGGTGCCGGCGAGCCCGGCGGCGACCAGGCGCGGCGTGCGCAGCGCGTGCGGCGCGCCGGCCAGGTAGTGACAGTAATACTCACTCGGAGTCGACGATGAAGTCGGCGACGGTGCCGGCGAGCCCGGCGGCGAGCAGGCGCGGCGTGCGCAGCGCCGGCCAGGTAGTGACAGTAATACTCACTCGGAGTCGACGATGAAGTCGGCGACGGTGCCGGCGAGCCCGGCGGCGACCAGGCGCGGCGTGCGCAGTGCGTGCGGCGCGCCGGCCAGGTAGTGACAGTAATACTCACTCGGAGTCGACGATGAAGTCGGCGACGGTGCCGGCGAGCCCGGCGGCGAGCAGGCGCGGCGTGCGCAGCGCGTGCGGCGCGCCGGCCAGGTAGTGACAGTAATACTCACTCGGAGTCGACGATGAAGTCGGCGACGGTGCCGGCGAGCCCGGCGGCGAGCAGGCGCGGCGTGCGCAGCGCGTGCGGCGCGCCGGCCAGGTAGTGACAGTAATACTCACTCGGAGTCGACGATGAAGTCGGCGACGGTGCCGGCGAGCCCGGCGGCGAGCAGGCGCGGCGTGCGCAGCGCGTGCGGCGCGCCGGCCAGGTAGTGACAGTAATACTCACTCGGAGTCGACGATGAAGTCGGCGACGGTGCCGGCTAGCCCGGCGGCGAGCAGGCGCGGCGTGCGCAGCGCGTGCGGCGCGCCGGCCAGGTAGTGACAGTAATACTCACTCGGAGTCGACGATGAAGTCGGCGACGGTGCCGGCGAGCCCGGCGGCGAGCAGGCGCGGCGTGCGCAGCGCCGGCCAGGTAGTGACAGTAATACTCACTCGGAGTCGACGATGAAGTCGGCGACGGTGCCGGCGAGCCCGGCGGCGGGCAGGCGCGGCGTGCGCAGCGCGTGCGGCGCGCCGGCCAGGTAGTGACAGTAATACTCACTCGGAGTCGACGATGAAGTCGGCGACGGTGCCGGCGAGCCCGGCGGCGAGCAGGCGCGGCGTGCGCAGCGCCGGCCAGGTAGTGACAGTAATACTCACTCGGAGTCGACGATGAAGTCGGCGACGGTGCCGGCGAGCCCGGCGGCGAGCAGGCGCGGCGTGCGCAGCGCCGGCCAGGTAGTGACAGTAATACTCACTCGGAGTCGACGATGAAGTCGGCGACGGTGCCGGCTAGCCCGGCGGCGGGCAGGCGCGGCGTGCGCAGCGCGTGCGGCGCGCCGGCCAGGTAGTGACAGTAATACTCACTCGGAGTCGACGATGAAGTCGGCGACGGTGCCGGCGAGCCCGGCGGCGAGCAGGCGCGGCGTGCGCAGCGCCGGCCAGGTAGTGACAGTAATACTCACTCGGAGTCGACGATGAAGTCGGCGACGGTGCCGGCGAGCAGGCGCGGCGTGCGCTGCGCGTGCGGCGCGCCGGCCAGGTAGTGACAGTAATACTCACTCGGAGTCGACGATGAAGTCGGCGACGGTGCCGGCGAGCCCGGCGGCGAGCAGGCGCGGCGTGCGCAGCGCGTGCGGCGCGCCGGCCAGGTAGTGACAGTAATACTCACTCGGAGTCGACGATGAAGTCGGCGACGGTGCCGGCGAGCCCGGCGGCGAGCAGGCGCGGCGTGCGCAGCGCCGGCCAGGTAGTGACAGTAATACTCACTCGGAGTCGACGATGAAGTCGGCGACGGTGCCGGCTAGCCCGGCGGCGGGCAGGCGCGGCGTGCGCAGCGCGTGCGGCGCGCCGGCCAGGTAGTGACAGTAATACTCACTCGGAGTCGACGATGAAGTCGGCGACGGTGCCGGCGAGCCCGGCGGCGAGCAGGCGCGGCGTGCGCAGCGCCGGCCAGGTAGTGACAGTAATACTCACTCGGAGTCGACGATGAAGTCGGCGACGGTGCCGGCGAGCCCGGCGGCGAGCAGGCGCGGCGTGCGCAGCGCCGGCCAGGTAGTGACAGTAATACTCACTCGGAGTCGACGATGAAGTCGGCGACGGTGCCGGCTAGCCCGGCGGCGGGCAGGCGCGGCGTGCGCAGCGCGTGCGGCGCGCCGGCCAGGTAGTGACAGTAATACTCACTCGGAGTCGACGATGAAGTCGGCGACGGTGCCGGCGAGCCCGGCGGCGAGCAGGCGCGGCGTGCGCAGCGCCGGCCAGGTAGTGACAGTAATACTCACTCGGAGTCGACGATGAAGTCGGCGACGGTGCCGGCGAGCCCGGCGGCGAGCAGGCGCGGCGTGCGCAGCGCGTGCGGCGCGCCGGCCAGGTAGTGACAGTAATACTCACTCGGAGTCGACGATGAAGTCGGCGACGGTGCCGGCTAGCCCGGCGGCGGGCAGGCGCGGCGTGCGCAGCGCGTGCGGCGCGCCGGCCAGGTAGTGACAGTAATACTCACTCGGAGTCGACGATGAAGTCGGCGACGGTGCCGGCGAGCCCGGCGGCGAGCAGGCGCGGCGTGCGCAGCGCCGGCCAGGTAGTGACAGTAATACTCACTCGGAGTCGACGATGAAGTCGGCGACGGTGCCGGCGAGCCCGGCGGCGAGCAGGCGCGGCGTGCGCTGCGCGTGCGGCGCGCCGGCCAGGTAGTGACAGTAATACTCACTCGGAGTCGACGATGAAGTCGGCGACGGTGCCGGCTAGCCCGGCGGCGAGCAGGCGCGGCGTGCGCAGCGCGTGCGGCGCGCCGGCCAGGTAGTGACAGTAATACTCACTCGGAGTCGACGATGAAGTCGGCGACGGTGCCGGCGAGCCCGGCGGCGGGCAGGCGCGGCGTGCGCAGCGCGTGCGGCGCGCCGGCCAGGTAGTGACAGTAATACTCACTCGGAGTCGACGATGAAGTCGGCGACGGTGCCGGCGAGCCCGGCGGCGACCAGGCGCGGCGTGCGCAGCGCGTGCGGCGCGCCGGCCAGGTAGTGACAGTAATACTCACTCGGAGTCGACGATGAAGTCGGCGACGGTGCCGGCGAGCCCGGCGGCGAGCAGGCGCGGCGTGCGCAGCGCCGGCCAGGTAGTGACAGTAATACTCACTCGGAGTCGACGATGAAGTCGGCGACGGTGCCGGCGAGCCCGGCGGCGAGCAGGCGCGGCGTGCGCAGCGCCGGCCAGGTAGTGACAGTAATACTCACTCGGAGTCGACGATGAAGTCGGCGACGGTGCCGGCGAGCCCGGCGGCGAGCAGGCGCGGCGTGCGCTGCGCGTGCGGCGCGCCGGCCAGGTAGTGACAGTAATACTCACTCGGAGTCGACGATGAAGTCGGCGACGGTGCCGGCGAGCCCGGCGGCGAGCAGGCGCGGCGTGCGCAGCGCGTGCGGCGCGCCGGCCAGGTAGTGACAGTAATACTCACTCGGAGTCGACGATGAAGTCGGCGACGGTGCCGGCGAGCCCGGCGGCGGGCAGGCGCGGCGTGCGCAGCGCGTGCGGCGCGCCGGCCAGGTAGTGACAGTAATACTCACTCGGAGTCGACGATGAAGTCGGCGACGGTGCCGGCGAGCCCGGCGGCGACCAGGCGCGGCGTGCGCAGCGCGTGCGGCGCGCCGGCCAGGTAGTGACAGTAATACTCACTCGGAGTCGACGATGAAGTCGGCGACGGTGCCGGCGAGCCCGGCGGCGAGCAGGCGCGGCGTGCGCAGCGCCGGCCAGGTAGTGACAGTAATACTCACTCGGAGTCGACGATGAAGTCGGCGACGGTGCCGGCGAGCCCGGCGGCGAGCAGGCGCGGCGTGCGCAGCGCCGGCCAGGTAGTGACAGTAATACTCACTCGGAGTCGACGATGAAGTCGGCGACGGTGCCGGCGAGCCCGGCGGCGAGCAGGCGCGGCGTGCGCTGCGCGTGCGGCGCGCCGGCCAGGTAGTGACAGTAATACTCACTCGGAGTCGACGATGAAGTCGGCGACGGTGCCGGCGAGCCCGGCGGCGAGCAGGCGCGGCGTGCGCAGCGCGTGCGGCGCGCCGGCCAGGTAGTGACAGTAATACTCACTCGGAGTCGACGATGAAGTCGGCGACGGTGCCGGCGAGCCCGGCGGCGAGCAGGCGCGGCGTGCGCAGCGCGTGCGGCGCGCCGGCCAGGTAGTGACAGTAATACTCACTCGGAGTCGACGATGAAGTCGGCGACGGTGCCGGCGAGCCCGGCGGCGAGCAGGCGCGGCGTGCGCTGCGCGTGCGGCGCGCCGGCCAGGTAGTGACAGTAATACTCACTCGGAGTCGACGATGAAGTCGGCGACGGTGCCGGCGAGCCCGGCGGCGAGCAGGCGCGGCGTGCGCAGCGCCGGCCAGGTAGTGACAGTAATACTCACTCGGAGTCGACGATGAAGTCGGCGACGGTGCCGGCGAGCCCGGCGGCGAGCAGGCGCGGCGTGCGCAGCGCCGGCCAGGTAGTGACAGTAATACTCACTCGGAGTCGACGATGAAGTCGGCGACGGTGCCGGCGAGCCCGGCGGCGAGCAGGCGCGGCGTGCGCTGCGCGTGCGGCGCGCCGGCCAGGTAGTGACAGTAATACTCACTCGGAGTCGACGATGAAGTCGGCGACGGTGCCGGCGAGCCCGGCGGCGAGCAGGCGCGGCGTGCGCAGCGCCGGCCAGGTAGTGACAGTAATACTCACTCGGAGTCGACGATGAAGTCGGCGACGGTGCCGGCGAGCCCGGCGGCGAGCAGGCGCGGCATGCGCAGCGCCGGCCAGGTAGTGACAGTAATACTCACTCGGAGTCGACGATGAAGTCGGCGACGGTGCCGGCGAGCCCGGCGGCGAGCAGGCGCGGCGTGCGCTGCGCGTGCGGCGCGCCGGCCAGGTAGTGACAGTAATACTCACTCGGAGTCGACGATGAAGTCGGCGACGGTGCCGGCGAGCCCGGCGGCGAGCAGGCGCGGCGTGCGCAGCGCCGGCCAGGTAGTGACAGTAATACTCACTCGGAGTCGACGATGAAGTCGGCGACGGTGCCGGCTAGCCCGGCGGCGGGCAGGCGCGGCGTGCGCAGCGCGTGCGGCGCGCCGGCCAGGTAGTGACAGTAATACTCACTCGGAGTCGACGATGAAGTCGGCGACGGTGCCGGCGAGCCCAGCGGCGAGCAGGCGCGGCGTGCGCAGCGCCGGCCAGGTAGTGACAGTAATACTCACTCGGAGTCGACGATGAAGTCGGCGACGGTGCCGGCGAGCCCGGCGGCGAGCAGGCGCGGCGTGCGCAGCGCGTGCGGCGCGCCGGCCAGGTAGTGACAGTAATACTCACTCGGAGTCGACGATGAAGTCGGCGACGGTGCCGGCGAGCCCGGCGGCGAGCAGGCGCGGCGTGCGCAGCGCCGGCCAGGTAGTGACAGTAATACTCACTCGGAGTCGACGATGAAGTCGGCGACGGTGCCGGCGAGCCCGGCGGCGAGCAGGCGCGGCGTGCGCTGCGCGTGCGGCGCGCCGGCCAGGTAGTGACAGTAATACTCACTCGGAGTCGACGATGAAGTCGGCGACGGTGCCGGCGAGCCCGGCGGCGAGCAGGCGCGGCGTGCGCAGCGCCGGCCAGGTAGTGACAGTAATACTCACTCGGAGTCGACGATGAAGTCGGCGACGGTGCCGGCGAGCCCGGCGGCGAGCAGGCGCGGCGTGCGCAGCGCGTGCGGCGCGCCGGCCAGGTAGTGACAGTAATACTCACTCGGAGTCGACGATGAAGTCGGCGACGGTGCCGGCGAGCCCGGCGGCGGGCAGGCGCGGCGTGCGCAGCGCGTGCGGCGCGCCGGCCAGGTAGTGACAGTAATACTCACTCGGAGTCGACGATGAAGTCGGTGACGGTGCCGGCGAGCCCGGCGGCGGGCAGGCGCGGCGTGCGCAGCGCGTGCGGCGCGCCGGCCAGGTAGTGACAGTAATACTCACTCGGAGTCGACGATGAAGTCGGTGACGGTGCCGGCGAGCCCGGCGGCGGGCAGGCGCGGCGTGCGCAGCGCGTGCGGCGCGCCGGCCAGGTAGAGGCCGCGCGCGCGCGCCGCCAGCCCGCCGCCCGCCAGCGCGCCCGCGCCCAGCCGCCGCTCGTCCGCCCACACCTCCACCTGCAATCACACATTATATATGATAATAGTAGGGGAGCCCATGGTGCTAAACAGGGATTTACTCGAGCGTCGTGGGGAACTATTAGATTTTGTAAATTAGGTAATAGGAACAAAAAAAAATTATATGTATAATGTTTCCCCTTCCAGTGGTCGAGGAAACGTTACAGATTTTGAAAAATGTAAAATCTACTACAAACTACATATTCAAAAATTAATTTTGGAATTTGGGATATTAAGTTAACCTAAAAATGCTCCCATTCATATGCACGATTCGGAAATGACACAAGCTCGTAGCGAATTTTTGAAAATGCGAATAAAATCGCCATATTGAAATACTTGATCGTGTCTGATTATTGTACAAAAGGTTCAGCTTGAGGTCCCAGTTATGGTAGCTTAAAACCTGACTATTATTTTGAGCGATATTTATAATCTGACTGCTAGAAATATTTTTTTATGAATTTTTATGAACATTTTTTTCATAATAACCATAAAACGTGAGTGTGAATGGGTGGGGATGACACGAGAGAGTCAGAGATAGGGGAAAAAGTGAAAGGAAGAGAGAGGCGCGGAGTGGGGTATAGGTACATGCATAGAAATATAAAAAAAGGAGAAGTGGCAAGGAGGCGTGTCTGTGTCCGCACGCTATGATTAAAATGCTCAAGTCAAAGATGTTTTATAGGTCCAGATATCGTGTACGCGCGCTTAAAACGCTTCCATTTCAAAGGCGCCAATATTGGCGTATTCGTTCGATCGTTCCGCCATTACGCCAGCGATGATCGCTGTGAACATACGTCACGCACCGGTGTTTTTAATTTCGCAAAATGATTGTTTGTGCTGTGAAATCATTTAAAAATTACTCTTGGAAAAAAGATAAGGATAAGAACATCACTTTTCAAAAGTAACTATACAATTTTATGGTGTATTTCTTTGTAAAAGAATACGAAAGCTAAATGTCAATACAAGTAATAATACTGCGCAATAATATTCGAGTGTTGCCTAGTCTATGAAATGTTTTTACCATTTTTTAATGTCATTATCAACCACAAAGGTTATCTATATAGGGGTTTTAAACAGTCTAATTTTACAGATTTTACCCAACCTATAGAGTTAAACCGTTTTAAGGGTTAGGGTTGAACTACATCTGGCAGCATGAAATTGCACTTTTCTGTGCTTCTATCCTTTTTGGTCACTCAGAACCGTTATAGTAGTAACCGGTATAGTTCCACTCTCAAAAAGCCGATTGTAAACCGGTTTTCAATGTTTATCTATCAATCTTGACAATTCATACTAATATAATATTATAAATGTGAAAGTGTGATTTTTATGTTTATTTGTTTTTGTCCTTCCTTCACGCAGCAATGAAACGGAGGAATTTAAAAAAATTAAACATTTTGCTATCTCTTGGCTGAAGTTTACGCTTAACCAAACTTACTTTTTTCGTCATTTTACTTAGGATTGTAAAATAATTTAATGTCTTCGTAAAAAGCGGCAATATTTTGTGTTCTACAGTACAAAAGTGTAGTACTCTGTATATATTTAGTAATAATAGATTATAAATATATGTTACATACATAAATATCTACTGTGCTTTTTTATTTATTTTAACTGTTACATTAATTATTGGTTTTATTACATATCTTCAATATTTTAGTGCGATGTTCGTACATACATAAAACACACATAAGCAACCATATCCCCATACACACACACACAAATGCACACGCCACGCACACACATTTTATACTCTTAGAATCAATAGGTACGTCAATAGGAATGAAATATAAAATCTCCCACATTTTTTGGGTAATCGATTCGCACTGTTATTACCGAAGTCACGCACATTAATGCAGCCATGGTGCGTAAGATATGCGCGTCACGTGGTACTCATGCACACATGAATCAGAGACTGTCTTCACTATGAACGTTGCGGTGTGTTAGCAACACGGTATCTGGACCTATAAAACATCTTTGGCTCAAGTTCTGTTCAAATGGCCGCCCCCGTCCCCGCGTATTAGTGTTCTTTCAGCCGTAATCGTGAAACAATATTAGAATGCCGTGTTTTTCAGTGGTTTCTTGTAAAAACCGAAGCCAAAACGAAAACTTTGTAAATCTTGGAATCACTTACCATATGTAAATACAAGTATTTTACTATATTTATCTTTAAAATCATGAATAACAACAAATCGTAAAATATTTCATGCTCTTAATGCGTTATTTTTGTTTACAAATATCAATGCGACTGTACTATTTTATAGGAAATACATTGCTCCTTAACCACTACTTATATATGTCGCAAAGCGACTGAACAAGCAATGTAAATATGACAAAACTATACTTTATTTATGGGAATGCATCGCGTAATACGGCCACTGTATCTTGCGATGAGTTAGTGATGTGCTTGTGCAGATCCACTAACGTATGCTATCGACAACAATGTCGACTGGCGAATTGCTATTATATGTAGTTTATTTTTTCAATTTGTTAAAAACCGTTTCAACCAGGTGGGAAGACTGATGTGACATAATGCTATGTAATTATTTTGATTATTTTCACCGTTTACTACAGTAAATGCGTAACCAGCGATCGTAAAGTAAGCTGCTTAAATAATTAGCTTAATCATCGGTGAAGTGTTTTGGGTTGAATTATAGTATCGTATGCCTTATCTTCGTGCTAATTCCATACCTTTATGTTTTCAAAAGCTTCGAATGCGTTATTATACCTAATTGGCATGGTTCAGAATTCAGATAATATTATTATAGTGACTTTTACTAAAAATAAGGCAATATAATTCTTCTTGCTATATGCTAATAAATGCCATAAACACAAACTCATGAGTTTGTGTTTGTTTTCATATATTTAACAGGATTTTTTATTGTATTAATTTTTTTGGGTTTGGTACTTAATAATTTACGTTTAGCTACATATTGTTTATTTTTATTATAATATTTACTGTGCATATCGTTTTTTATTTAAAAGTTAAAATTAAAGTTACAGCCTATATACAAGTCCCACTGCTGGGCACAGGCCTCCTCTCATTTCTGAGAGGGTTTTTGGGCAAGGAAAGGTCCGCCGCGCTGCCCCAATGCGTATTGGCGAACTTCACATGTCTTCAAAATATTTTTTTTTCCTTATTTGTCAGACATGCAGGTTTCCTCACTATGTTTTCCTTCACCGCCGAGCACGTGGTAAATCAGGACTTAAAATTGCAATTAACAATTTCATTGGTGCCGGCGGGGATTGAACCCGGGTTTCTCGCGTCCTGTGAAACTTACAGCGAGCGCTAACCAACTGAGCTAGCACGGCTTGCTTTATTTTTTATTTATTTTATTTTAAATTTTAGTGCAATTTTAGTGTAAATGGAAGAGAATAGATAACTTTCCAATTTAGTCAATCACTAATGTAGGTATATGTAAAATAAATGGCTTTTGCGCAGCCCAACGATAGCGACTGATATTTTTGTGTGAGTAAATAGTACGGCGCATGGTAAATGCACGCTGTTTTTGTAGGGATACGGTTTATAATTGAGTGTGTAGTACGTTCTGATTTATAAAATACGGGTGTGTTTTACTGATCTGCAAGTGTAGTAGTAGGCGGGTGGTAGGGGCCAACTGGAGACACCGGGTTCCGATACATTTTCAACTATCGGGCATATCTCCTTTTATTATATCTATGGGTACATGCTTTACTCCAGCTGCACGCTCTCATCTTCATAGACGATTTTTAGTATTTCGGATTGTGGCAATCGGCAGATTTTATTTTTTTGTTATTTTTGCATTTTTCCTTCAAAAAGAAAATTCAACCATGTACGAGAATATCAAGAAGCTTTTTTTGCAACTTTATAACCCTTCCACTCCCTTACGTTACGCTCAAATCGTCAGATTTTCTAAATGCACTCTTTTAGCTCGTAATTAACCCACTTTATCTTAATCTAACGCGCTTGAGTATTTCCAAAAAATCCCCTCTTGATCCCCTCTTGGGCTCCCCTACTATAATATATGTACGTACCATGTAGTGGCGATGTAAGAATATCCACTACCCCATATCATCTCGTGGGTGTCGTAAGAGGCGACAGAGGAAAACAAATCAGGAGATGGGCAGCAGCATCTTCCTAATAACGACTAAAAATAAAAAACTGCAGTTGCCAACCCGCTTGCCAAATGTGGCAACTATGGTAAATATCTCCCTCCTTAAATGAGGCAGTCTATGGGAAAACCTTTGTTCAACAGTGGACTTTAATAGGTTCTAGCGCGTTATAGTAAAGTTGCAGCTATATTATAGTTGACCACGCTCGCACAGAATACCAGCGTGATACAGAAACATAGACCTGCTATGTTCCATATGGTGACGAGAATACGACCTGTTTAACTGGAAGTCCTCAAGGGTGACAACGCATCTGCGTTTCAATTCTTAGTCGAAGTGGTTCTGTGCACGCTTACTCCTAAAATTAAAAAATAATTCTATGTAAGACATTGACTTATATATTACTAGCGTAACGATCGGGCCAACCGCGCAACTAAACGGCACAAATGTGCCGGCACTAAAATTACAGTTTAGGGCCAACGCGACTTTAGGTTACGCCAGGGTTGGATTCAGACTCACGAAAAATTGTATATGGAAAATAAAATTATACTTACTATTTGTCCAAAATTGACGTTTCGTGTTATTTTCCCATGCGCCGGGATTTTTGCGTCATGCGTCTAGCGTATCTATACGTTACATTTTTCGGCGTTTTTGTTTTGATTTGAAATAAAATTGCATTACGATATCACGTTCATATCAATATTTTCGAATTTGCTATCGAACATGATATCGTCTTTGTCAGAACGACCGGGATGGTAAAACATCACATGAGAAATCCCTGCCTACCGCCTGTCGTTGTCTGATTTGGTGTTGCCGAACATACACAAATTATGATGTTACCTGTTTGTGTGCGCGTACGATCCGCACCGTGTGTGTTCTGCCATCATTGAACTTTGTACCGTTGAAGCGCAGTCTGAGTTCGCCCTTACCCGCTGCCGCTACCACCTCTAGTTCGCCTGAAATCCAATATTTGACATATTCCTTCTATTACTTCACGTGAAGGTTTTTACATTTATTTATATTTTATGTTTTTTATCAGTCCGCAGCCCAAGTTGTTAGATTTTTACTTGTTTATGTGTCATAAGAGACGACTATGGCAGACCCCAAAAATCTTGTTGATGCGTTAAATTCAACGGTTGACTCTGCGCTGATGAAAAATAGGGGGAGGGGATTAACAACTTTTCTTTAAATGACAACTGGTGCACCCTGCTGATTGACGGGTGAGGTTCTGCAACCGATTCAAGCGGGAAGACTATTTAAAATGTCTGCTCTTAAATTCCATAATTTAGTGATGGGAAGATACAGTACCGTGTATGTGAGCGTATCTGCTCGCGTAAGTGTGAGTGTGCTGAGTGGCGTTACATGTACGTGTGCGTATGTGTAAGGGAGTGTACTTGACTTTATTCAACGTTTAAATTTAAATAAGAAGATCTAGTAATGATTAGTGTTAAGTCAGCGATGTATTCAAAAAGTGTTCGCAAATAGTCTCCAGAAAGACATAAGGAGCAAAGTGCAAGGAGTGTTTGTGTTAGTTATTGTAGGTTCATAACTTGCATGTGCATTTAAATACATGTAAATTATTAATAAACAGTCTTATACCAGCGTGTCTGATTGACCTTGTAGAGCACACCTTCCAAGCAATCTGTTTGAGAGCTTTCCTGATGTCTTTAGGCAAAGAGTTTCAGAGAAGCGAAAGAAGTTTCCGATAAAACGCTAGAGTGTAGTAAAGTGATCGATACCTTCTACCATCGCCAGCGCGAGATAATGTTTGTCGTCGGGGTCGACGTCGTCGTTGTCGTCACTGTCGGCGGTGTGTGCGGGCGCGCGGCACAGCAGCAGCGCGTTAGCGGCGCGGCTTCGGAACGACAGGCCCAGCGCACTGCGCCGCCGCAGCGCAGGTGCCGCTAGCTCGATGTACCCCGCTTCACTTACTATCGCCGAACGCAGCGTCTGCCAACATAACCCATCCTACTTATAAAATTTTCGTTTATATAATACGGGTGATAAACACGCACGCAGTCCACCTCATGGTAAGTTAATACTGGGTAATGTGGTGATAAACCTAAACAAATTCAGGTTTTTGGTCAAAAATTGCATTTGTTCAGGTTAATGATAAGATTAAATACTAACTTTGTCTTTTTCCGGTTCCAATCAACAAACTAATTTTATCATAAACCTGCGTCATATCGATATATAATCAAAATACCACTGACTCACTCATTCGTCACGAGATTTCCAAAACTATACGCCTGATTGTCTTGAAATTTGGCATATATACTTCTTTCTCAACGTAGACCTCCACTAACAACGGACTTTTGAAAATTCAGAACTTAAGAGAGTGAAATAGGGTGTTGAAATAGGTGCTTGTTTGGTATATAAAAGGCGATATACCTTAGCACCGCAAGAGCGCTCGACGCCGTGTCGGTAGGGCGTGTCCATGAGGTCGTAGCCCTGGCGGTCGACGGTGAGCGCGCCCAGGCAGCCCAGCAGCGGGCGCGCGGCGTGCGGGGCGCCGGGCGGCGCGCCGCCCACGAAGAAGCGCGCGGCCGGCTCGGGCAGCGCCGCCGCCTCCTGCACGGGCGGCGAGGGAGAGCCCAGCGTCTCCTCGCCGTTCACGCGCAAGCTGCCTGGGGACAGGCCGCGCTCAATCACCAACGGGCAAGAATCATTCATTCTTGTATTTTAAATTCAAATCACCGCTAGGAATAAGTATGAATTAGTGGTTCCTTCCTTAAGTCTGAAGAAGATAAACAACTCCTTTGCAGGAGAATGTGTCGCTTGTTCAATAAGATACCGAAAGAGAAAGTAAACTTACATTTAAATATTTTTATAAAATACATAAAATAATCACTTATAAAGAAAGCATATTTATTACACAGTCAATAACTACCTTGTAGATAAACATACTTGGTCTTAATGAATTTTAGTTTACCACATATACAATATTACTGCGTAAGCAGCCATGACTCTTTCATTAATACTGAGCTACTATTAAGAAATAAACGAACATAATTATTTATTACTGCAACTTGCAAAAAATCAAATTTACAAACAAATATATAATTAAAAAATATTAAAAACTACCTTGTATTGGGGATGTAAGAACATCCACTACCCCATCTCGTCCCGTGCGTGTCGTAAGAAGCGATAGAATATAATATAATAGAATGATTTTTATTCAATATAGATTACAATACATAATACTTATTGCAAGTCATTTTTTTCTTTTATCGCTGGTTCGCAAAAAAACCTCTGTCCTGGGAAAAACCAGCAAGAAACCCAACGGGACTTTTTTTTAAAAAGCACAATTTACAATATAATGTTTTATATAATTATTATGAAAACATTTAGAAACAGCATGGTAGCGATCACCTCACTCCCAGAGGTGTCATTATCAGTCATGTACTCTTTAGTACTATAATAAGCCTTTCTAGACAATTTTCGCTTATTAAATAATTTAAACCTTTTGATAGAAAAGATCTGCATATTCTATGGGACTTTGTTGTAAAACGGTATAAGTAACGGTATCCCATGAAGAAGCTACTGACTCTTTGGAGTCGAGTAACTGGTATATCTAACTTGTGCTTGTTCCTAGTATTTCAATTTTTTAAATAAATTTTTCTCCAAGGAATTCCTTCGGACCTAGGTTATAAATTGCTCCTATGGCTCTCTTTTGCAAAACAAAGATAGTTTCAATTTCAGTCGCATTACCCCAAGATTCCATATGATTTTATGCTAAGGAAATAACTAAAAAAAAATTAATCTAGCTGTTGCAACACATGTAAGGCATCTAATCTTTTTTACAGCGTGTGCTGCAGAACTAAGTTTGCTAGGTTTATATATATGAGGGCCCCATTGAAGCTTCACGTCAACAGTAATTCCAAGAAAAACAGTGGATTCAACAAACCCCAGCTCCTCCCCATTTAAAAGCACATTGGTATTCACAAGTTTAACATAGTGAATTTAATACATTTAATTTTATTACCGTCCAAAAGCAAATTATTTACGTTAAACCAGTGTACTGCTTTTGATATAGCATTATTCACTTCGTCATATTTCAATTATTTCCTTCTTAGTCGGAAAATCAACGAAGTATCATCAGCAAATAATACTATATCATGGTTATTCCCTACCAAGTAAGGTAAGTCATTAATATAAACTAAGAACAGAAAGGGACCAAGATCTGAGCCCTGAGGAACACCCATAGATACAAAGTCTGGGTAGCCAAATCCTTGGCTGAGTTCATAAGTAAGATACAAGTGTAGGTAAAGAAACTGAAGTATTACTGCTTGTCATATTATTAACACACACTGTCCCTAAAGAACCTGCCATTGAGCGCTGATATTCATTTTGATATTTTTTAATAAGGAGTCAAAACGTAATAGAGGGAAACAAATCAGGAGATGGCAGCAGGGTCATTCTAATAACGAAACTGCAGTTGCCAACCCGTTTGCCACCATGGCAACTATATCAAATATCCCTTCTATGAGGCCTATGTTCAGCAGTGGACTTAACAGGCTGTAACGGTAACGGTAAGACAATGAGAGTGAGAGAATAAAGAGTGCACGTGTGCTTGCGCAAATACTTGGGCACTATAATCCTGTCTTGTGCAGTAGCTAATCTCCGTTGAAACTGGTCGCCGTGACCGAAATTCGGTCTGGAGGACTATACTATTATATTAAGGCTAAATACATATTCGTTGTCGGAATGAGGGTACCTTTCTCAAGCTTGTTGGCGGCGAAGACGCGTATGGCCTGCACGTGTGCGGGCCGGCCGTCGCAGTGGCGGCCGCCCGCCGCGATCTCCAGCCGCGCGCGCGAGTACACCACGCGGAACACCACGCGGCACGACACCAGCTCCACCGACACCGACCGGTTCTGTCGCAACGTAGAGGGTTTTTATTTAGTGGTAGGGTGAATGGATATCTCAGTGTCATTAATATCCTAACTTACTGATCGATTAGGAATCAAAATTCAAATGCATTGTCAGCCCTGACGACTAATATGGAATGACATATATATATATATATATATATATATATATATGCAGTTAAAAGGGTCTTCGGAATTCTGTCCGAGCGTGTCCTTCCCCGGTGGAGTTAACGCATTAGTGCTGCAGCAATAACACGCCCTGGTCCTTTCCTGATCGAGTCGACCCATTCGTCATCATTCATCATCATTACAGCCCTTCAGAAGTCCACTGCTGAACATAGGCCTCCCCCAAAGAATGCCACAAAGCACGGTCCTGAGCCACCTGCATCCATCGACTTCCTGCATGTCTTACCAGGTCGTCACTCCATCTCGTGGGGGGACGCCCTACACTTCGCCTACCGGTACGAGGCCGCCACTCGAGAACCTTTCTTCCCCATCGGTCGTCGGTTCTTCGAGCTATATGGCCGGCCCACTGCCACTTCAGCTTACTAATCCGTTGGGCTATGTCGGTTACTCTGGTTCTACTGCGGATATACTCATTTCTAAGTTTATCACGCAGAGAAACTCCGAGCATAGCCCTCTCCATAGCTCGCTGAGCGACCTTGAGCTTCCTCATACGGCCAGCAGTGAAGGACCACGTCTCAGTTCCGTAAGTCATCACTGGCAACACGCACTGGTTGTACAATTTCGTTTTAAGGTTTTGAGGTATGTCTCACGAGAAGATGTGTCGTAGCTTCCCGAACGCTGCCCAGCCGAGTTAAATCCGTCGATTGACCTCTCGGTCGAAGTTGGACTTACCTAGTCGGACTATTTGTCCCAGGTAAACATACTCGTAACAACTTCGAACTTAGTGTTCCCAACAACTACCGGCATAGGTGTGACATGGACATTAAACATGATCTTTGTTTTGTCCATGTTCATCTTAAGACCTATCCGTTGGGAAACACTATTGAGGTCATTGAGCATAGTGCTTAGGTCCTCCAGCGATTCTGCCATAAGGACTATATCGTCGGCAAATCGAAGGTGAGTGATGTTCTCGCCATTGATGTTGATACCGTATCCCTTCCAGTCCAGAAGCTTGAAAACGTCTTTCAATGCAGCGGTGAAGAGTTTCGGGGATTTGACGTCACCCTGTCTTACACCTCTCTGCAATTGGATAGGTTTCGTACTCTGGTTCTGTACTCGGATAGCCATCGTAGCCCTACTGTACAAGCACTTCAACACTTCGATATACCGACAGTCAACTTGGCACCGCTGAAGGGACTGCAGCACCGCCCAAATTTCGACGGAATCAAAGGCTTTCTCATAGTCCACATAAGCCAGACATAGTGGCAAATTGTACTCTTCGGACTTCTTTACAATTTGCCGAAGGGTATGTATGTGGTCTATGGTGCTAAAGCCCTTTCGGAAACCGGCTTGTTCGGGAGGCTGGAAGTCGTCAAGTCTGCGCGCTTGACGATTCGTAATGACTCTCGAAAACAGCACGTAGACGCGGCTCAGAAGGGAAATCGGTCTGTAGTTCTTCAAGAGAGCGTTGTCACCTTTCTTGAAGAACAAGACCACCGCACTTCTGCTCCACGCCTCCGGTGTAATGCCACCATGGAGGACGGAATTAAAGAGCTTCTGAAGGACTTCAAGAACCGGTTTTCCACCCGCTTTCAGAAGCTCCGCTGTAATTCCATCATCGCCTGGGGCCTTACCGTTTTTAAGGTGCTGGAGAGCCATTCTAATCTCGCTCAGACTGACGTCCGGGATATCTTCGGAATAGTGTCGGATGAGACTCTCTCTTGGATCGTTACTCACACTTGCGTGTGGCTCCAACGATGACGTGTACAACTGCTCATAGAACCTCTCAATCTCACTCAAAATCTCAGGTGTCCCGGAAACGATGCTGCCGCATTCTGTCTTCAGCTTTGACAGTTGGCTCTTTCTGGCAGACAGATCTCTGGCAAAGACTTTGGAGCCTTGGTTCCGCTCGATCGCTTCTTCAATACTAGCTGTATTGAAGTTGTGTAAGTCCCGCCGCATGCATTTGGAGATCTGTCTGTTCAGATGCCTGTATGCTGTCAAGTCTGTTGAAGAATGTAGCTTCATCTCCCGTCTAACAGCTATGAGATTAAGAGTGTGATCGGAGAGTTTTTGTGTTCTTCTGCGGCGGGTCTTGCAGAACTTAGCTCCGACCGCATGGACAGTTTCCACGAGCTTGTCATTCATATCGTTCACTTCATTGCAGTCTTCTAGGCACTGAAAACGGTTTTGTAACTCGAGCTGAAAGGTTTCGGGACTTTGGAACAAAGCACGAGGGGGACGGAGCGTTGACTTCATTAGACGAGACCTCTCCAACTTAACGTTTAGGTTCAGTGTGCCTCTAACCATTCGGCGATCGCTACCAGTTTTCACCCTCGCGATCACGGAGACATCACTGAACAGTTGTCGTCTGGTCGTCATAATGAAGTCAATCTCATTTTTTGTCGAACCGTCGGGGCTCGACCAGGTCCACTTCCTGTGGGGCCGCTTCTGGAAGAAAGAGTTCATCATAAAGAGTCCCACTTTCTCCATGAAGTCGGCCAGCTGCTGGCCCCTTGGGTTCCGTTGCCCTATTCCAAATTTCCCTACTTTCAGCTAACCGTTCTCTCTTGTGCCTAGTTTTGCGTTGAAGTCTCCCATTAACACCGTATATTAGGTTTTGGAGGAATGCATGGCTCTAGAGATATCCTCATACATTTCCTCCACCTCCTGATCGGGGTGTGCCGAGGTTGGTGCGTAAACCTGTATGACCTTCAGCGAATACCGTTTGGTGATTCTGAGTATAAGGTACGCAACCCTCGTCGACACACTCCCGATCTTTACAACGTTGTTAACGAGAGACTTGTGGACGATAAATCCGACACCTCCTTGGGACAGATGGTCGCCCTCCCGGTGATAGAGCAGGTTGCCGGATTCGAGGATTACCGTGTCTTCCCCCTCTCTTCGGACTTCGGATAATCCTATAATATGCCAGCGCAACTTGTCTATCTCTTCTTCCAGCTCCACAATCTTCTCGTCAGTCCTCAGGGTGCGTGCGTTGTACGTTGCCAGGTCGAGTCGTCTAAGGTGGCAACCGAACCTCCACCGGAGATTCTTAGCACCCCCTGCCCCGCCGTAACCATGGTCGCCACCGTAGCCAGGAATAGCGGGGCCGCCGGGGACTGGGGGCCGTTTCTTTGTTACTGTCATTCATAGGGGGGTATTTGCCATAGTTGCCACGCTTGGCGAGCGGGTTGGCAACCGCAGTTTTTTTTATTGTTAGTTTGTTGTTATCAAGAAGATGCTGCTGCCCATCTCCTGCCTGTTTCCCTTTGTCGCATTCTACGACACTCACGGGAGGATATGGGGTAGTGGATATTCTTGACCGCCACTACACGGCATTCGTGCTACATCCTTAATATAGGTGTAACTTGGCTCTACCATGTACAGAAATCTATTGAGACTGCGCCAAAACATGCTGAAGCATGAATCTATTACGTACATAAGCAATTTAATTGATTCTGTGAGTGACTTACGTTGGCCTCGTCGAGCGCCATGAAGAGAAGTGCGTCCTCGTCGCGCGTACGGAATGTGAAAGAGAGGCTGAAGTGTCGTCGCTCGGCGGCGCGGGCGCCGGCTCGGCGCAGCTCGGCATAGCCGGCGCCGCCGAACCACGCCATGCCCGGCTCGCCGCGAGCGCCCGCGCTGTACCACCTGCGGGACACACCACACCACTCCAATAAGGGCTTTTTTATCGTGGCAAAATTCTAATAGCTTAATCCTAATGCGTGGGAAAATCCGGATAGCTTCGGGGATAGCGAAAAGGTTATACCCGACTTCTACATGCTACCTTTACTTTTACTTTTGTTCAGGTAAATTATATATGTATGCAATTATATTTATTTATTGGTTATTGGTACCCCATATCATCCCGTGGGTGTCGTAAGAAGAGACTGAGGTAAACAAATGAGGAGATGGGCAGCAGCGTCTTCCTAATAACGACTAAAAATTAAAATCTTCGGTTGCCAACCCGCTTGCCCAGAGTGGCAACTATCGCAAATATCCCCCCTATAAGGCAATTTATGGAGAAGGGCCTATGATCAGCGGTGGATATTAATAGGCTGTAACGGTAAAGGCATATATATTATACATTTTTTTATTATTATTATAGACAGGCAAGGCGCGCGTGCAGCGCATACACGCGCCCGCCAGCGGCGCCGCCGCCTCGCCCAGCCGCAGCACGCGAGGTTACCTGTGCGTGCAGGCGACGCAGCGTGCGGCGGGCGGCTGGCGCGCGAACGCCCACAGGCCGAGCGCGCGTTCGTCCGCGTGCAGCGCGTGCACGCAGCCCGCCAGCGGCGCCGCCGCCTCGCCCAGCCACAGCACGCCCGCCGCCAGCGAGCCCGCGCCCCCACCCGTGCTGTTGCTGCTCACCACCACGCTCGACCCCGCGCGCTCCACTCTCAAACGCACCGTGCTCCACACTCTGCAATTCAACAATTCGGTAAGTGGCTGACTTCAGAAATAGAAGAGGTTCTTAACTCGACTGTATTTTTATAGTATATGTAACAAGATATTTTCGTCAATTGTGAACCGATTGGTTTTTTTTTTAATTTAATATTCTTCACGAGTGACCTTATATAAATTTGGAGAAAAAATCCTACTCTAGCTTTAAATCGGGGCGCTAATTGTCTCTATCACAATTATCTCTATTTGTACACTATGTCTTAGAACAGACTTCAGAGAAACTTTCTTAAAAATTATTTTATTTTAAGATCTATGAAGTAGGCTATTATTTTTTATTAACATTTAATTTTCTTAACAATTCGGCCAAAAGAATAGACATGCACAAAACGTGTCATTGAAAAGAAATGAATTAAATGCGCGTGAAATGAATTTGTTGTTGAAAGCTAACTAACGTTAGCTTTTAGAAATTGCACTAAATGACAATTTTAAATAGAAAATGTCACTTAATTTCTTTGTGTACTTCAACGTACGTAAATGTACTTCATTTCTTTTCAATGACACATTATACGGGGTGGCGATAAAGTTATCACATTAAATGAAAAGACTTATCCTATATAACGTTCTTTGAATATACACAACTAAAAAAATATATAACAATTAACATTTTAGTCGCAATAGACTTTTTTCCGTTTTTTGGCTAATTACTTACGAACGGGAAAGTGTAGGTAAGTAATTATCTACGTCGATGCCGCGTGAGCACTGCGTACCTGCTGCACCGTTGCCGCTTTTACATGTCACTTCTGGTCAGTAAACTAATATTATCAAGGTGATTTATTGTATTCAGTATTTCGTGTCAATTTTTACTCTATTTATTTTAAAGATGCATTTTTTATTTTTGTTAGAATTGTTTATTTTATTATTTTAATCGATATGAACTTGTATATACCGCTGTGTTATTTAATGTAATAACCTAATTGCCACCCAGTATACACGTCTATTGTTTTTGCTACTATTAATAATAAAAAAAGCATGCGTGAGTGTCGTAGAACACTCGGTTGGAACGAAGTTCCTTTCGAAATTAATTACTAGCGTCTATTAAAATGAAGCGTCATTTAAAATAATATTTTTTTCATGGCAAGAAAAGAAAAAGTGCGAGGGAGATGGATATTATTCCATCTCGCTTCCTTATAGCCGCCAAAGCCGTCTACACTACGCAACAAGGGGTCGTGACGCAAAAAGCCGCCAAATTCGTACCGTCCGTTAAGGAACGGCATTCCAATAATCAATTACATTGCCAGGCAACAATTGTTACAAAATTTAAACTATATATAATTTAAGAACTAAAAGAACAAAATAATTACCACGTAATATCTTCTGCATTCGGTACTAAGACATAGTTCAAAGAAAAATTAGAACCACAGTTGAATTTAACTTTATACCAAAAGTTAAATTTTTTGACCCTTTAGAGTGAACTATAACTAAGACGACGTCTAAGTGGTTTAATATCTTCATCTCTTATTTTTCTACACAAAAATGATCGGTTCATAATTGACGAACATATGGCATAACATACATACAAAAAACATACAGTATAGTTGAAAGCCTCCTCTTCACAATGTTGTATATTTCAACAATAATATATAACATAACAGTAATAATGTTGAAACTTTTGTGTAATCTAATCCATTTACCTCTCAATTTCTATCCTGTAGGACATGTGGTCGGCATCGTCGTGGGTTGGTTGCAAAGGCTCGGGATGTGTGATCACACCTTCCCCAGAGCCCACGTCCCAAGTCAGCCTCAGTTTTTCCTTTTCCACTGATAGTTTTATGTAGCGTTCTGATTCCTGTAATATTATATGTATAGAAAGAGATTTAGAACAGAGAAAACACACACTCATACATTCATTCATTCATTACAGCATAGGCTCAGAATAAATAATACCACGTACAAAAGTTGCACTCCTTTGACGTTGACTGCTTGCCGACGTTTTAATAGCCTACATAATTATTATTAATCAGATAAATCGCGCATGCAAGCTAAATAAAACTTTATTGCTGCGCGCGAGTGTCCGTATTATTTTACATCTTGTCTCCTTCTTATGTCACAACGGACTTTCCGTGGTTACTAAGGTCTGTTAATAAAGAGTAAATACATACATTGTGAAATGGTAAGTTACTTAGGTAAAGTACCTATTCTGACTATGATCGACCATAATTCCGCTACTATGTGAGTTCTGTGATGTCCATCACATGCAACTTGCAATGCCGTTCGTCGGGAATAGCGCGATGCTTTGTTCGTAAGAATTAGGTAGATAGGGTAAGCAACAAATAAACCCGAAATACGATTCCTAATAGAAATGTGATCGTATTCTACTTAGTTAAAAATCTTCTAAACACAGTTTTAGGTTGAAATTTAGAATCGTTTGGCAGGAGGAGGGGGCAGTTGTTGAGGGTAGGGGAAGGGGAAGCGTCCCCTTACTCCCGACACCACTCCCATTAAAAGGTAGTACACCGTTCTTGAGAAAAATCAAAAAGAAAATCCCATAGACCTAGCCTGAAAGTAACATTTATCGTCCCTGGCAGGAGGGGGGAAGAGGGTAGCAGGAGTGTGTCCTATCAGGGAAAGCCCCTCTTCCTTTCCCTCATTGCGAAAAAGTATAGTTTATGAGTAATGTTTTTTTTTGTAAAATCATAACCTCACTTTTTTACACAGGAATATTGACCCAAAGTTACTTCTACAACGGCTTCGGCGCTGCGGGAAGTGCAGTCCCTTCGCCCTTGTGTAGCGAATCACAGGCACTAACTAAATTAATTGATTTGTACTTGAAAAAATTGGCAAAATTTTTGTAAAGTAAAATACAAAAAGTAGCTGTGTTTACAATCTAGAATTCGAATAAACAATAAAATAAGAAATAAGGTACAAAATCGATTGTATTAACACAATCGATATTATATTTATTCGGATCCAAAAAATAAAATGAAGTAGCTTGCAATATACTTTGAATGATATATTCATTTGGAGATAAAATATATTATTTGCTTATGGAAATAAGAAAATAAACATTTCATGGCAATAAATCGATTACCATAAAGAATATACTAGTGAAGTTATCATTTCTGAACGTTATCATCGAATAAAGGATTTCTCATTTTGAAAGATAAAAAATAAAATGAAGTAGCTTGCAATATACTTTGAATGATATATTTATTTGGAAATAAAATATATTATTTGCTTATGGAAATAAGAAAATAAACATTTCATGACAATAAATCGATTACCATAAAGAATATACTAGTGAAGTTATCGTTTCTGAACGTTATCATCGAATAAAGGATTTCTCATTTTGAAACTTAACACTTCAAACTTCAAACTATTCACATAAAAGAAAAAGTCGATTCTCGATTAAATTGAGCATTTTACTATCTATTTTCGATTATTTTTCTGTGTTAACTAGGGAGGTAAAAATAATTACGAACATATCTACAAAATAATAAGAAAAAATACAAAATATTAACATTCCAACAAGTAACAGTAACAACAACAATTCAAGTAATCGATCTCAGATCAGTGAAGTGAATATTATCCCTAATATTTACTAGCGATGTGTCGTTGACGGTTTTTCCGTTAACGTTAACTTTGATTTAGGTTTGTCAACTAGTTAGTTAACTAGTTGAATTCGTCAACGAGTTAACGTACTACTAATGTCAACTTGCAACGTAAACCGTTAAGTCGTTGAACAGTTTTAATTCAACGCTACGACGTTCAATTTTAAAAACAATTTGATTCAATGTATGTACTGGAAAACATTTGATTAATGGTTCTACTTAGATGACCTTTCCTTTATACTTTTTCTTTAGGCTTAGAACTGATTGAATACAATTAGCTATAAACAATATTCTACTCAGGAGTATTTAAAAGATCATCTGATTCTATGTGCGCAAATCAATTATTTACAATGTTTTTTATAGTTTTGTTCTTTTTTAAATATTTTTTGGATTTTTTATTTTTTTGAAATGCAGTCAGTCACAATTCATTGTTACGCCAGTACGTCCCGACATCGTCAATTTTGTACCTTGAGTAGTCTCTATTTTATTCAAATATACACAATTATATTAACACAAACAAATTTACACTGTTACTATAAACATTACTCTTAACATTTACGCACAACTTGTTACAAACTGTCAATCAAAAATTAAACTAGAATTAACCTATTTCTCTCGGACGGCACGAGCGGGGCGCGCCATTCCACCAATATCGTCATAAGTACTATTTTCAAAATAAATATTTCGAAAATAAACTCTTTTGTAGGTTACTTAGAGTTCAAATTGTATGACATGACCATCGCTCGCAATCTATGACGTTATTTTCAACGTAAGTTTTTTTAATTTGCTCAGTTTGTTGCGTTAACGAGACGCACGAGTTAAATTCATAAACGTCGTTGACGAATTCAACTAGTTGATTCATAAACGGTTAACGTTAATACGTTGACAGGAGATCAACGGTTGATTCAACTAGTTCGTTGATTCAACGCTCATCGCTAATACTCACTTCACTTATTTGTTGTTGTTTTAACTTTCGATAATCGTTTCATCATTTCGCTTCCTAATTAACCACAGCTTTTCTTTAGTGACTTAATACTGATCCTGCTTTTATATCTTTAAGTAATTATAGTGAAACAATCCTGTTACAGTGTAATAACAGTGAACATTCACCTGTTATAGTGTAGGTAATACATAATCTCCCTTTTACTTATTCTCCAAAAACTCAGCTCCTACATTGACAAATCGTGCTAGATTTTCAGCTATGAATTGCTTATATATACGCTTTCAAATGGTCCTACTTTCATCTTGTTAACACCTGGGCCCAAGAATGTATGGAGACGTCTCCTTCTCCTTTAGGGATAAACAGATGGCTGCGAATTTTTTCAAGAGGTACATTTTTTTTAGCCCCACTCATTTAGCTCAGGGGGTTCTTTACATGCTATTAAGGCATAAAAAACCAATTTTAAAATGTTTGTCTATGGCTGAACCGATTGTAATGAAACTTTACGAATAGAAAGAGAGCAATGCCAGAAAATATCTAAGCTATATTTTTCTAACTTGAATATTTGTTTTTTGAGAAAACTAAAAATTTATAAAATAAATGGTCTTTGATGATCATAAATCTAAATAACGCCACATAAATAAATGCTATCCAGTCGAGGCCAGGGCGGCTCGTTAGTATAAAGTATAATAACCAATACAATAAAAAAATAATAACAAATTATATTTAAAATATAATAAATTAATATGATACTTTTATATTGAATTCAAGTTCTTAAGAAAATTGATTTTGAATATGATTTTGTACCTAATTTTTTTTAAATTAAAAACGTTACCACACTAGGATTTTCTCCTGTATCGTGGAGGCAGTTTACACATAAATTTAGACCCTTAAATTGGTACAATTGTACACAACAGTAAATAACGTCATAGTTTCATATTAATACTTAAATATACAAAAAAAATTTACCAGGTCTTTTAGCAGTAGGAGCGTGCCATTCCGCACGCTGCCGTCGAAGGATACAGCGAGTGCGAGTCGAGTGACGCTGCTGCCACCGCTGACCGCAAACGCTCGAGCGCAGCCCGGGCCAGCCAGCGGAGACGTCACCGATACAGAAATCTGGCATAGATATTTGTACCGCTACCGTTACCTAGCCGTAGCCTATTAAAGTCCATAGCTGGAAATAGGCCTCTCCCCATAGACTGCCTCATATACGGAATATTTGCCAAGCTTCTCAAGCGGGTTGGCAACCTTGAGTCTTTATTTTTAGTCGTTACTAGGAAAATTCTGTAGCCCATCTCCTGATAAAGACGTGGTTAAAATGTGGCAATAAAAATTAAGACTGATAAACGAGCACACAATTAACTTGATGTTAAATGGATGCTGTGACCAACGGAGGCCTATGTTTACTCTCAATTAGGAATCAAAATGCATATGTGTTGTTGCCCCTTAGGACAAAGAAGGAATACATCACTTCTAGTTAAAAGGGTCTCCGATTCTCTACATTCTCTATACAAAACACATCAGTATTATGCTGTTATTTTACGTTGGTTTATTGTGTGAGTTTTCTCTGTGAGACGTTTGTTCCGTCATTAGTATCAACTTTGATTGATGATTATTCTTCGAATCCAAATTGTAGATGATGTTAGTTTAATCAAGGCATAGCCAATGCAAAAATCTTTTACGACAATGAGTGCATCTCATTATTTCCTATAATTTAAACAAAGAAATATCCATCTTGGTGGAATTTAATACGCGTACCCTCAATGCGCGCCGTGTTAAGTGTTGACAAGTGGTGCATTCGCGATGTACTGGCACCTTTTTTTCTTTGAAAAAAAAAACATAACTTGGACCGACACTTAACGTTGGTGCGAGTGTTGGGGTTAATGCTTTTTTATAGAATAAGGAGGAAAAACGAGCACACAGTCCACTTGATGGTTAGTGGATGCTGTGGCCCATAGACGTAAACATTTATCCTCGATTAAGAATCAAAATTCAGATGCGTTGTCACCTTTAAGGCCTAGATGGATATACGTTGTTTACAGTAAAAACAGTCTCCGGTTCTCTACACTCACTATACGAAAACTAGCAGCATTAAGCTGTTATTTTATTATGTGAAAGCGTGCTCGTTTGACTCTCTCCTATAAATAAAACGTGGCTCTAGCACGTGTGTATAAGAATGCTATTTTGTCGATCTAAATGTTGGATAAACAGTATGGAAGCGTCAGAGCCAAAGTGTGGAGTCGACCTAGCTGTGAACTCACGGAGGCTGCGGCGTGTCGTGCTCTGGCGGCGCGGTGCCGCAGTGCGGCGAGCGGCGCGTCGAGCGCGGCGGCCGCGACCTGGTGCTCGCGAGCGCGCGCCGCCGCCGCCGCAGCCAGTGCTTCCGCCACTTCGGCGCCGCGTATCGTGTTGCCGCGGATCTGCGACACTGGGAAGATACAAAGCTCATGAGAGTTCAAGGAAAACAAATATTGTGGACAATGCATCATGTTTGTAACAAATCATTATATTGACGTGAATACGACCGTGCTATTCTACCATGGAGCAACCAGAAGCTTGGCCAGTCTCCAAACTTTCGTTGTCGACTTACCACGTATTCGAACCAGACGATCTGTTATATTATTCGTCTAGCACGGCAAAGGATGAAAATAAGTTGCCAGCGTCTGTCTTTCCACCCGATTACAATGTGGGTATCTTCAAGGCAAGAGTAAATAGGCTTTTGTTAAGTCAGTGCGCTTCACCATGTTTAGCTGCATTACCACTTACCATCAGGTAAGATAATGGTTAAGCGCTGGCTTATTATAGAAAATTGATACAAGACTGTCAAACCACCGAAAATTTCGTCATTTCTTAGCCGAAAAAAATTAATTATGACTAAACAAAACAAAATTAAACTGCCATTTACATTCCATGGCTTCCCACATGATGGATGAAGAGTTTTAAAAATAGATTGAGTTGAACAATTGATATTTTCAAAACGTATCGTGTTTACGCCGCCATGCGGACTTTATAAATCCACACCATAAGCCACTAAAACTCTTTTTTGATTTAAAAATAGCCATTAATCGATTTAAAAAAAAATTAATAAGTTCAACAATCATTTATTTATTTATTTATTTATTTAAAACTTCATATACACATGTGGTATATAGGCGGACTTAATGCCTAAGGCATTCTCTACCAGTCTACCTTGGGATGATGCAGAGATATAATGAAGTAGGAGTAATAAAAAGGTAATATGTTAATACTAAACTAAAATAACAAAAAAAAAAGATTGTAGCACATCGAAATAAAATACATAAGATATAAATGTATAATATATAATTTATCTTTCTGGTAATGTGCTTTTTACATCATTTATATGTATAATATGATTGCTAGATACGATTACATGCGACAAAACGTTGGAATCTTAATTTTTAGGCCCTAGCACAACATACCTGCGCGCTTCGCGCTTAAGGCATGCAATATTAGAATTTACTTTCATCGTGGACGGCTGTGGATGGTCTCTGGTGAGAGTGACCGTTGATACTGGCCACAGTGACCGCTATTTACTGTAGAGGACGTCATTAGTTACCGTGCACGTGCGCCGCCCAGAGTGCAGTGTAAAATAATTGTCACTTTAAAAAATAGCATTAGCTGATTTTCGTTAACACTGGCCGTTAGCACTATTTAGTGTTGAGGACGTTACTAGTTACCGAAAAAAATAGCTGGTTTCCGTTAACACTGGTCGTTAGCAGTATTTAGTGTAGAGGAGGTCAGTAGTTACCGTGTTCCTGCGCCGCCCCCAGCGCGGTGTCGCCCAGGCGCTGCAGGTCGGCCAGGCGGCGGCGCAGCTGGTAGCGCGCGCGGCGCCGCAGCTCGGCCGCCTCGTCGTACAGCGCGCGCGCGCGCACGAACACGCGGTCCGCCTGCCCGCCCGCGCGCCCCACCACCTCGCGCACTGCGTTTGTTCCAAAAACTATACACATTTCATACGTGGTAGAGCCACGCTGCAGCTATGTTATGGCTGTAACACGAACGCGTCGGCTCGACCGGGGTAGGTACGCTCTCATAGAATACCAGCTCTCATAAAATAGTAGCTTAAGGCTGCTGTGTTTCGTAGGCCAAGTGTATAAAACCGGAGTCCCCTTTTATTGGAAACGAGGCATTCCATCTCCAATCGAGGATAAATGTAGATCTATATGAACCACAGCATCCATTTACCATCAGATGGACTGTGTGCTCGTTTATCACCCTTAAAAAAACGCCTATAAAAGCCCACTGCTGAACATGAGCCTCCCCTATAGATTGCCTCGTAGGGGAAATATTTGCCATAAGTGCCACGCAAGCAGCTTGATCGCTTATTACATTCAGCTGTTATCAGGAAGGCGCTGTTGCTCATCTCCTGGTTTAGTTTCCCTTTGTCGCCTCTTATGACGACCAGTTAATAATTGAGGGTAATGGACATTCTAACATCGCCACAACACTGTTAGTGAAATTAAAGTGAAAGAAAGAAACACTTCAATTATGCTTACTTATGCTGCTGTGTTTCTTGGGGCAAGCGTAGAGTATCGGAGACCCTTTTATACTTGTAACGAGACACCATCTTAGTCCTTAAGGGACAACAAAGCATCTACAATTTACATTATCTTCACGCACAATCCCTGACGGGGTAGCCAGAGAGAACAGATCGCCAAGTGTCACGATCCTTACATACCTCTTTCGCTTCTTTCAGATTCATTATCTTCTTCATACATGCACGTCTAGGTATCCGAGTACTCTTAACCCTACTCTCTTCGAGCAATTTGCTCACATCTACAATTTGATTCATAATTAATATTATATATAGGTGTCTAAGGGCTACAACACCCTCTTACGTTCAGATGGACTGTGTGCTCATGTGTCATCCTTATTCTGTACCTAATACACATATTTACACATATTTAAACTTGCTACCTTGTCCCCCAGATAATTAGGCAGATATTTCCATTTGGCACGTTCCTGACATAATTCTCTCGATTCTTTCACACCCATGATATATCTACGCTACCATGCTCCTCGATTCAAGGTACTCTGAATTGTCCTATCTTTAATGTATCGCTAATTTCGCGTTTAAACTTCCATCTAGGGCGCATTAATAGCGTCATCAATATAATCAATAACGTCACTTTTTTGGCGTCTATCGTGGCAACTCTGACATAAAGGTTGTGGATACTTGTAATATAATATTATTGATGCGTCTTTTAACTCTCCTACCTTCGCTTCCATCGCCACTCCCGCCCCCTCCCAAAGCGCGTTCCTTCCATCCCAGTGCTCTCAGCGCCACGCTCACTACGTCTGCACCTCTCCGTGCTTGCTCCAGTTGTCGACGAAGTTCTAAAGATCAAAATGTATTACTATAAGTCTGGGCTCAATAGAATCATATTTGGTATTTGTAATGTAGAATAATTAAAAAAGTAATTAACAATTTCAGACTAATAAACTCAAAAACGGCTCGAACGATCTTGCAAAAAAAAATGGTGTGGGTTGGAGTGGGTCCCTAGATGGTTTAGATTTACAATTGGACCCGGTAGGTGGCGTTGTTGTCGAGATCCAGAAATCACCCGTGCGAAGTGGAGTGGATCGCTTGGCAAACATTATTTTGTCCTTTTTATAATCTTGTTTTTTTTTAAACTTTACCGTCTACTAGGATTTTCTTCTGAACGGTGAGCAGTTGCATACGTAAATTTTACAAGGACACTCATCCAGACCAGTAATAATTATTCGTAGGCCCTACAAATATTTGTTCAGAGTTTGATTCGAACCTGCGACTTTTAAAACGTCTGCTATTCTTTCCGCTTTTGCCGTTATCTGTGTGTTGGTGTACTCACCATCAGCTCTAGCCAAGACCGCGGCACCCCTGACCTTCAGGTGCTCGGAGGCGCGCAGCTGTGCGTCGGCGGTGTGCAGCAGCGGGCTGGGCCCGCGCGCCAGCTTGCCGGCGGCCGAGGCGGCCACCGCGGCGGCGGACGCAGCGGCGGCCGCGGCTCCCACGCCCTCAGCCACTTCAGCCCACGCGTGGGCCGCCTGTACACCCGCTGACGCCAACGCTCGTGTGCCCGCGAATAGGCTAAGAGAAGTAGTTTATGATTGTTGTCACTTGGCGAAATTCCAGCTTTATTTTTGTGATAATTGAATAAAGACTTGTACTAGTTTCGCAATATTTATTTTAAACTAACTGATACCCAGTGTGTCGCTGCTGCAGAAAAAATTATTATGGAAATATCGTTTTAAATTTTGAAGAGTTATATAGTAAAAACTAATAAATCCGGGTGCCCGCGAATGGGCTAATAGAAACAACATACAGCGGGACGGATTTAAAAAAAAAACAGTAAAAATAAATAATATATACAAAAAAAAAATAAGACCAATAAAATAAAATAAAAATATTAAACAAGGTGAACCAATTAAAAACAATAGAAAAAAACATGTGTGAACACTCGGTTGGAAAGAAGTTCCTTTCTTAGGTACATAATATATTATTATTGATAAACGTATTATATTATTGATTAACAAATAGAAATAAATGAATTACTAGCGTTTATTAAAATGAAGCGTCATTTAAAGTAAAATAATATTTCTTTTGGCGACAATATAAGAAAAAGTGCGAGGGAGATGGATATTATCCCATCTCGCTCGCACTAAAGAAAGGGTCGTGACGGAAAAATCTTACACTTTTTCTCGCCTAGATCCTATCCGCCAAATTCCTATTGTGCGATAAGGAACTTCGTACAAAGAGTAACAAATAATGCAACATTAAAGTGTAATTCTGTTGACTAATATATCTAAGGTGGTAGAGCCAATTGGTAGTATAGTTGTAGCATGAATGGGTCGGCTCGACCGAGGAAGGACCACGCTCAAAACAATGCTGTGTTTCGTACGGTGAGTGTAGAGAACCGGAGAACTTTTTTTACTGAAAAAGAGGCATTCCATCTTAGTCCTCACGTCTGACAACGCATCTGCATTTTGATTAGCAAACGAGGATAGATGTAGATGTCTATGGGCCACAGCAACCACTTACCATCAAGTGAACTGTGTGCTCGTTTCTCACCCTATCCTATAAAAAAAGGATAATCCTAATCTTGGAATGGGGGTAATCAAAATTGGAGCAATCTTCGTGCTTACAGTTGAAGACTGAAGATTTCTTCTTAATTTTCAGTGTGGACATTGTGCTCTTCGAATGAATATTATTACAAACTTAATACAGTTCGTCTATTTTATAAGGTAGCGCATATTTTTATAGAGTGCGTGTGTTAAATTAAGGGAAAATTGGAATTTTAGGCGGAAAATGATAAAATCTTGTATTATATAATAATTTTTTCTTATTTTGTGTGATACGTAGCAAAACATACCTTTTATATTCTTTGGCCTTCTGTCCCAGCTCGGCGGCATGTCTCTCCACAGCTTCCAAATACTTTTGTTTGTATGTTGGTGTCAGGTTGTATAGTATTCCTTCTTTCTCTTCAGCAGCATTTGTCAGTGCTACCAACTGTTCATTAAGGGCGGGAAAACCAACTGCCAAATTTTGCGTTTGTAATAGCAGTGATCTAGTTTCATCCGTCATGTTGTGTGAGGAGAGATTAGGTATGTCCTAAAATATTAGAATACGGTGTAAATATGCAGTCCACGTTTTTTATAAAATATATTACAGTTTGTTATAAATATATAACAACAATGACAATATTGTGAGGATGCTAGTTCCTCCCGAAGGTACTTTCCGAACTAGTTGTAAATTAAATAAAGAAATGACTTTCAAAGTAAGTATTATTTACAATCTATATTGAAAAAAAGTTTCTACTTCTAAAAAATTGCAAAAAAAATATATTCATAATTTTGTCGTATTATAGGCGACACTTTCGCGAAAATTATTACACGTTAAAGGGCATGCTATTAAAAATGGAGATCTTATTGAGAACTATAGTTTAGCAATATAACTCTACAAGCTGCTGCTAAGATATTGGCAATATCTTAGAGCGCATATTTTGACAAAATTGCACTCAACCGTATCACCGGGCATTAAAGTTCAAAAACGTGAGGCAAAATTGAACTACATTTCGCGAAATTGACGGTAGTTAGGCAACACAATTGCATCTAGAAACTGCCAAAAAATAGCCAGCCACTACGAAACTAGCAAAATATATCTATATGAAAAGTGACTTGAAGTTTCAATTTGCTCTGAAGTCCTGTACTATCCATCGAATAATTTTGACTTACACACTTACATATAATTTTACGTGGGTAGAACCACGCTACAGCTATATTATGGTTGTTGCATGAATGGGTCGGCTTAATTGGGGTAGGACCACGCTCTCACAGAATACCAGCGTAAAATAGCAGCTTAATGCTGTTGTGTTTCGCACGGTGAGTGTAGAGAACCGGAGACTCTTTTACTAGAAACAAGGAATTCCATCTCAGTCCTCGGTGGTGACAACACTTCTGTATTTTGATTCTTAATTAAGGATAAATGTCTATGTGCCACAGCATCCACTTATCAGTTGGTGGACTGTCATCTTAATTCTATAAAAAAATGGAGTAACATATTTGTTGCTTACTTCCAACATAAGACGACAGCGCAATCCGATATCTCTCACATGAGCCAATCGTGGAGTCACATGTTTTCTCAGCTCGGATACAGTGTCCCCCGCAGTCCACACAATATCTGCCATGCGCGGTAGATCGTCTGCTTTCCTTTCCCATTCCTCAAGCGAAGACTGCAACTTGTGTAGGCGCTTGTACATATCTTCTATTCGGTATTTGTATTCTTGGATCGATGTCGATTGTAAGTTTGCCTGTTAAGCACAATGATCTGTTGTAGAGTAGAACTTGTTTTTTAAGGTCGTATATTTAAGGTGTTATATGATTATATCTATATAAATTTATTATATTTAGTTACTTAAGTCACCTGCCACTAATTTCTCACTACGCCATGGGTTGACTGGCAGAGACTGCTAACGGGCATTAAGTCCGCCCTTTGTAACCTTTACGGTTAGAACAATAAAGTTTTTAAATAAAAAAATAATAAAAATATATTCATCGCTTGGTAGCGTAATGACTTAGTGTTTGGTGCTAGAGCTTTAGTGGCTTACAAGTAATTGTTTCAGGTCAAATGTTTGCCCATGTGTAATTTATGAAAGTAAAATTCTACCAAGGTACAGACACAGTTTCCATAGAATTTTGTTTTAACAAATCGTAAAAAATAAGTATTATATGTGTGTGTTAACTATCTTATCATATAAAAACCGGCCAAGTGCGAGTCGGACTCGCGCACCGAGGGTTCCAAACAAATCCGTAGGTATATAAGTTTCAAATTATTAAAAATATTTTTATTATATTATGTAACTAAAAATTTATGCTTTTCACAATTTTTCCTTTATCTGTGATAATACGTTGCTTCGTACCAAATTTTAAGATTCTGAGTTCACAGGAAGTACCCTGTAGGTTTTGATTCCTTTGCGAATGTCGAAAATTTGCAGCATAAACGGCTGTATCTTTTGATTGCGTTGGATTAGATGTTTGATTTTTTAGTTTTTTTGACAGTAGGCTTGAGTATTTGATATAAATTTCAGCTTGATACCTCCACGTGTTCCTGAGAAAAAGGGTCTTGACAGACAGACAGACAGACGGACAACAAAGTGATCTTATAAGAGTTCCGTTTTTTCTCTTTGAGGTACGGAACCCTAAAAATGAACTTAATGAAAGTAAAAGTTGATATTAAAGAACTAAAAACAATAAATTAATTTTCACATAATAGCTTCTAAACTCGAAGTTAAAACATAGTGTATAGAAGAATTTAAGCTCCGTGTAGTGTTTTTAATAAATTATTAAATGCTTTGATTTGAGGCTACCAAGGCATTTGAGTAATTAACCATAACAGTTCAGCAATTATCAGTTAATCTTTTATATTCCCAAATCCAATCAGATCATTTATCAAGTATTTTCATATAAGTAGCCAGTGCACGTGCTTGGATGTTAAACGTTTTGTATAGTGAATTAAAATTGATTATATAAGTATGTTTAATGACATTAATTGCAGGTTTTATGAATCATTTTATGCTAGTCCTTTAGAGGTGTAGAAGCCACTTACCATCACATGGGATGTTTCTATTTATAATTTAAATATCAAATGACTAAAAATTAGAACTAACATCAAAAATATACGTAAGAGATACTTACAGAGTCAGACACGTCCGCAGCTCCAGCCATATAGTCCGATAATGTAATTTCTCTTATATTCTTCAACAAATGCCTGGCTTCCTTGATCGCTCTATGTGCACTCAAATGCTTCTCTCCTCTTGCGAATTCATCCAACGCAGCCACTTGTTCTCCTAGGAGCCTTCTTTGTTTTAAAACCTCTTCTAGCCAGCTCATGCTCTCTAAGCTTAAATATTGGGCTTCTTTTTCTCTTCTTACTGCTTCTAGTTTTACTCTATTTGCAATCGTGAACGTGCCATGTTCTCTTACCTCCATATCGTTAAGGGAGCTTTCTATGTTTCTCGATTGTTCTATATCTTTCTTTAAGTCAAAAAGATCGTTCCTTAGTGTAGAAGTATTGCGTGCGTATTCTCGGAGTGCTGGGAACGGCTGCGGTATTCTGCTTAGTTCCGTCAAGTCGGCTTTCATGCGTAGGTTGGTGGTGAGCCTTTCCATATCATCGAGCAGTGTTTGTGTGCAGTTGTCGCAAGCTTAAAAATATACAGCTATTAATAACAAAGTTAAGAACGTAAAATAACTTGTTAGGAGCTGTATTGATGATGATGATAAGGTTATAAACATTTCAATTTATACACGCACTCGTAAATACTCGTAAATATCGTAAGACTTTACAGCTCCTATACAAGTGTACTGCTGAACATAGGCCTCCCCCAAGGAATGCCACAAATCACGGTCCTGAGCCACCTGCATCTATCGATTTCTTGCATGTTCTTGCCAGATCATCACTCCATCTAGTGGAGGGTCACCCTACACTTCGCTTACCCTATAATCAATGTTATCGCATCTTTTCCGGTCCAGTAGCTTGAAAACATTTTCCAGTGCAGCGGTGAAGTGTCGGAGATATAATGTCACCCTGTCTTACATCTCTCTGCAGTTGGATGGGTTTCGTACTCTGATTCTGTACTCGGATAACGATCGTAGCCCTACTGTATCAACAACTCAGCACTTCGATGTACTGAAAGTCAATTTCGAACCGTAGAAGTGGCTGCAGCACTGGCCGACTTTCAACGCTATCAAGGGCTTCCTCATAGACCATATGTGCAAGACAAATTGGCAGATTGTACTTTTCAGTTTTATGTACAATTTGCCGGAGAGTATTAATGGTTATTACTCACGTTTGCAGCCGTCCTCGTGGAGGTAGTGTCGTGGCAGCGCGCAGCGGTCGCAGCTCTCGCCAGCCGCAAAGGGTCTACAGCGGCAGCGTGCGTGCGCGTCGCAGCGTGTCTGCAGTGCCCCGCGCGCGTCGCACGCGCACGCCGCGCACGCTCCAGCCGCCGTGCGCCGGTGCCCCACCGCGCACGCCTCGCATCGCACGCCCGTGTACCCTACCGGCACAGAGCGTTGCTGTTACTATCGCTTATCGTCTTTAAGACTAAGCGCGCACTACGAAAATGGTTACGGTTGATGACTCCATGGTGTAGTGGCTTGACATTGAGTTGCGACGCTGAAGGCTGCGGGTTCAAATCTCCCACGGAACAAAAATTATATATATATATATATATATATATATATATATATATATATAATTTTTCTGGGTAATGTATTAGTCCTTGTGAAATTTTTTTTATGTAAACTGCCCCCCGATACAGGTGAAAATTCTAGTGTGGAGGTAACGTTTTTTTTTTATAAAAACAACTCACTATAAAAATTATTCTATGAAGTAAGACCTAAGTCGTGTGGGGACGGTGTAAGAATATCCACTACCCCATATTGCCCCATGGGTTTTGTAAGAGGCGACAAAGGGAAACAAACCAGGAGATAGGCGGCAGCGTCTTCTAATAACAATTAAAAAAAACTATGGTTGACAATCTTCCTGCCAGGTGTGGCTACTATGCAAAAATATTCCCCCTATAAAGTAATCCATGAGTCCTAAGTTCAGCAGTGAACTTTTGCCGTTACAGCCGTAAAAGTTACAGGCTGATAATTACAGAAAAAGAAATCGTAGATCTAGGCTATTTCACATCTGGTATAGAAATAAAGAAAGAAAGACTACGATTTTTTTTCTGTAATTATCGGTCTGTAACTTTTACGGCTTAGGGTGTTATATATATATATATATATATATATATATATATATATATAACACGCTAACATACGCATTATATATATATATATATATATATATATATATAACACCCTAAGCCGTAAAAGTTACAGACCGATAATTACAGAAAAAAAATCGTAGTCTTTCTTTCTTCCGCAGTAGAACCAGAGTGACCGACATAGCCCAACGGATTAGTAAGCTGAAGTGGCAATGGGCCGGCCATATAGCTCGAAGAACCGACAACCGATGGGGAAGAAAGGTTCTCGAGTGGCAGCCTCGTACCGGCAGGCGAAGTGTAGGGCGTCCCCCCACTAGATGGAGTGACGACCTGGTAAGATTTGCAGGAAGTCGATGGATGCAGGTGGCTCAGGACCGTGCTTTGTGGCATTCTTTGGGGGAGGCCTATGTTCAGCAGTGGACTTGTGAAGGGCTGTACTGATGATGATGATGATATATATATATATATATATATATATATATATATATATATATATATATATATACACATTCAACATTTTAGCAGTTTTCTTACAATAATAACATAATATAAATTTGATAAATGGTTACTAAAAGGTACCCAGCTCAGCATAGTCTTGGTACTGACAAAGTACTTCCAAGCTGATCTTCCGTGGGTGCCAATAAAAATTAAACAAAAATTAAACTTAACAATACTCATTATTAGATAATCGGTTTTTTAAAGATCTTTCTACTATTGCCTATAATCGAATAAATAGGGTAATGGATTTTGTACGGTGCAGAATCAAAATACATTACCCATTGTATGAAACTCACCAGGCAAGCATCGACAGCGCAGGCTCCCCCCAACCATGGCACAGGAGCTCGCGAAGTTTCTTTCTCGTGAAGGACAGGCGCAGGGCTGGCAGCCGGCTGGCGCGTCTGGCGAGCCGAAGTACCCCGCAGCGCAGCGCTCACAGTGCGCGCCGTCCGTCCCGCCCGTGCAGTTCTGCAATGAACCAAACTTGTTGGAGAGGTTGTACATTTCGAAGTAGCTTCAAACACGCGTAGTCACTTTTACTATTACCCTAAACTACCAAGTATCCCTTATCACGTACTTTGATAAATCGTTTTGTGATTGATTCCACCATATAAATTAGACAGTGGTAGAGCCACGCGGCAGCTTTTGCTGTCGCACGGATGGGCTGGCTCGAACCGGGGTAGTACCACGAGCTCACAGAAAACCAGCGTGAAGTAGAGGTTTACCTCTGCGTTTCGCTTGGTGAGTGCAGGTGGCCGGAGGCCCTTTTTACTGGAAATGAGGCATTCCATCGGGTGACAACGCATCTACATTTTGATTTGTAACAAAGGATAGATGTAGAGGTCTATGGGCCGCAGCAACCACTACCATCAGGTGGACTGTGTGCTCGTTTGTCACCCTTATCCTATAAAAAAAATATATAAATTTCTTTTATTATTATTGTTACCAATAATTTATTTTCAGACTTAAGTCTTTATATGTTAGTAGAGTTACAATCTTTCTTGCATGCTATATTAGTAAAAACTGAACACACAAGTTATGCAAGACTATTAATGCAAAGACATGTAACTTCTGGCTTGACGGCTTATGAAACTCATAAAATATGTAGATCAATAAACAATACCCACACATATAAACTTTGGAGAAATTCGAAATACATATATTAGGTACACAAAGAAGCCTTTTTTTATTTATAACCTGACAGGCTCTTCATACCTTTCAAGCCGACACTAACAGTGGAAGCAATGCTGGCTTTGGTTGGAGCGATGCAAGAGATGCATATGGTTTTACATAGAATACCAGCGTAAAATAGCAGCTTAACACTGCTGTGTTCGTATGGTGAGTGTAGAGAACCGGAGACTTTTTACTGGAAAAGAGGCATTCCACCTTAGTCGTCACGGGTGACAACGCATCTGCATTTTGATTCGCAAACGAGGATAAATGTTGATGTCTATGGGCCACAGCAACCACTTACCAACAGGTGGACTGTGTGCTCGTTTGTCACCCTATCCTATAAAAAAAAGACATACTACTAGATAGTTAAGGTACCCTACTTCTAAGACAAAAACAAAACTGCTCGGGGCAAGCTGAGCAACAATACCAAGGCGACCCCTGCCACGCTATCCGTGAATTTCTGCAACATCAGGGGACTTCACTCTAACCTAAACGCCGTCCACTACCATCTCGAGACGGCGAAGCCGGCCTTGCTCTTTTTGACCGAGACGCAGGTTTCCTCTCCGACTGATATTTCGTATCTCTCCTACCCGGGGTACAAATTGGAGCACTCCTTTGTGCCTCGGGCTGGAGTTTGCGTGTATGTTAGAGAGGACATCTGTTCTCGACGCCTCGGCAGTCTTGAAGGTTCGGACCTGTCCATCCTTTGGCTACGCGTAGACAGCGACGACCATCCGCGCGTCTACGGGTGCCTCTATAGGTCCCATAGCGGTAATGCCGAAACAGACCGACTCATCGACCACGTCCAAATGGCTACAGATTCCTTGCTACAACAGGTCCCATCCGCAGAGATCGTGATCCTTGGCGATTTTAACGCCCACCATGCCGAATGGCTCGGTTCACGTTTAACCGATCATGCGGGGAGATCTGTTTATGACTTTGCCTTGGCATATGGTCTGACACAACTGGTTACTTCGCCTACGCGGATTCCAGATGTGGAGGATCATACACCTTCCCTGTTGGACCTTCTGCTGACCTCTCATCCGGACGGATATCAGGTTTCCGTCGATGCCCCTCTCGGCTCTTCGGACCATTGTCTGATCCGGAGTATGGTGCCACTCACGCTCCCTTCGCGGTTGCGTTCTGCAGGTTGCCGCCGTGTTTGGCATTACAGGTCGGCGGATTGGGACGGAATGCGGTCTTTCTTTGCATCCTACCCATGGGGGCGGGTTTGCTTCTCGCCGGATGATCCCAGTGCTGTTGCTGACTCTGTCACTGATGTGGTGCTACAGGGAATGGAACTATTTATTCCATCATCTGTGGTACCCATCGGAGGCAGATCTCAGCCTTGGTTTGGTCGCTCCTGTAAGACTGCATTGCGCAGTAAGCAGGAGTGTTATCAAGCCTGGGCTGCAGCTTCGGTGACTCGGGATGTAAACACCAGCACACTTAAAAAGAAGTATAACTTCGCCTCCAGGTCCTTCAAAAGAGTTATTGCCAAGGCAAAGTCAGAGCACATAGGCAGAATTGGCGAGAAACTAGTTCGCCTTCCTTCGGGAACCCGTGCATTCTGGTCTCTCGCCAAGGCTGTCCAAGGGAATTTCTGTAAGCCATCACTACCATCTCTGCACAGGGAGGACGACTCACTGGCCCAAGACGCAAAAGACAAAGCCGACCTTTTAGGCTCCCTTTTTGCGTCCAACTCGACTCTTGATGACGGGGGGAAAATACCGCCGACCATCCCGCGGTGTGAGTGCTCCATGCCGGATGTGCTATTCTCACAGCGCTCAGTTCGCAAAGCACTTCTCTCCCTGGACATCCAGAAGTCGAGTGGGCCTGACGGAATCCCCCCAATTGTGCTGAGGACGTGTGCTCCGGAGTTGGCACCGGTCCTAACGCGTCTTTTCCGGTACTCCTACTCCCAAGGCGTAGTCCCGAATTCATGGAAGACAGCTTTTGTCCACCCGATCCCTAAAAAAGGCGACCGCTCAGACCCGTCCAACTATAGGCCTATCGCGATCACCTCCTTGTTCTCCAAAATAATGGAATCCATTATTAACTGCCAGCTCATCCGGTACCTTGAGGATCACCAGCTGATTAGTGACCGCCAATACGGTTTTCGTCGGTGTCGATCAGCTGGTGATCTTCTGGTCTACCTGACCCATAGATGGGCGGAGGCAGTAGAGTCCAAGGGGGAGGCGTTGGCCGTTAGTCTGGACATTGCGAAGGCCTTTGATCGGGTTTGGCACAAAGCGCTTCTTTCAAAGCTGCCTTCCTATGGGCTTCCCGAGAAATTGTGCAATTGGATCACCAGCTTTCTTGCAGATCGGAGCATCAAGGTCGTTGTAGACGGTGCATGTTCTGACTACAAGCCTATTAACGCTGGTGTTCCACAAGGCTGTGTGCTATCACCAACGCTGTTTCTTCTGCATATCAATGATATGTTGCTAACTGGTAACATTCATTGCTATGCGGATGACAGCACTGGTGATGCTCTATACACCGGCCGGGCCAATATTTCTCGGGAAAACGTCGCCGAGTACCGGAACAAACTTGTGTCTGAAGTCGAGTCTTTGCTGGACAAAGTCTCGGATTGGGGGCGACTAAATCTAGTCCAGTTTAATCCTCAGAAGACACAAGTTTGCGCGTTTACCGCTAAAAAGAACCCCTTTGTCGTATCTCCTCAGTTTCAAGGCACTCCCCTTCTTGCCTCAGCCAGTATCGGTATCCTCGGAGTCGACATATCGAGTGACGTGCAGTTTCGTGGTCACTTGGAAGAGAAGGCCAAATTGGCCTCTAAAAAGCTTGGCGTGCTCAGCAGAGCGGGACAGTATTTCATGCCGGCACACCGCCTGCAACTTTACAAGGCGCAGGTTCGGCCTCACATGGAATACTGTTCCCATCTCTGGGCAGGGGCTCCCCAGTGCCAGCTCCTTCCACTTGACCGCATCCAGCGCAGAGCGACTCGAATCGTCGACGACCGAGCCCTTTCCGATCGGCTCGATTCATTGGCACTGCGAAGAGATGTTGCATCTCTTTGCATTTTCTTTCGCATCTACCATGGGGAGTGCTCTGAGGAATTGTTCGGATTAATCCCAGCCGCCAAATTTCACGAACGCACATCGCGGCAGAACTCCCGATACCATCCACACCATCTGGATGATTGGCGGTCCACCACTGTGCGATTTAGAAGATGTTTTCTTCCTCGTACAACTTCCTTGTGGAATAGTTTACCACCAGGGATTTTTCCGGACCGATACGACTTAGGGACCTTCAAGAAAAGAGCCTACTCCTTTTTAAAAGGCCGGCAACGCATCTGCAATTCCCCTGGTGTTGCGGTTGTTCATGGGCGGCGGTAGTCACTTACCATCAGGTGAGCCGCATGCTCGTTTGCCCCCTCTCCTATAAAAAAAAAAAAAAAAAAAAAAAAAGACCACGTTTAGCCATTTTTCTTTTTCGTATTTATCAGTCTGCAGAAGTTCACTGCTGGGAATGCTAAAATAAATAAATAAATGCTCTATTTCCGTTGAAATTAAGGGTTTGTCTTGATTGTCGCGCTTGGCAGGCACATTGAAAATCACAGTACCAGACGTCTCGCACCTGTGACACGGGTGCCCGTCGTCGGTCTGGCTATTTTACGATACGATTTCCAGAGTCCATAGGAATTAATGGCATTTTCCATATTCACTAACCGGGCGTGTGCCCGGGACGAAATGGAATAATGTATTCTCTTACACTGTCACCACGCGGTGGTTTAATCGTTAATCAAGGTAATGCTAAACACAGTTCCCGCTTAGACGCATCGACGCTGATGAAGATTACGCCGGCCACACTGTTGGCGCCTCGTTTCGGAATGCGTCGTTTCCAGCGAAAAGGGTCCTCGGTTCTCTACACTAACCATACGAAACACAGCAACATTGAGTTGCTTTCATGCTGGTATTCTGGGGGAGCGTGGTTCTCCTTTTCTAGCCGCACATTCGTGCTACAACCATAATATAGCTGCAGCGTGGCCCTACCACATAGCAAGTATTCGCGAGAATTAAACAAACTGTGTACTTATTTGTCACCCATATTTTATGTATATAATTCTTCTGTCCATGTGTATGTGACTGAACTCCTCCTAAACGACTGGACCGATTTTGATAAAATTTTGTGTGTGTGTGATTAAGTTGATTCGAGAATGGTTTAGATTCACAATTGGACGGTAGGTGGCGCTGTTGTCGATATCCAAGGATCACCCGTGTGAAGCTGGAGCGGATCGTTAGCATTCAATAAAAAACAAGTTACCAAGCAATGTCCAGTGTCGGGGTGGCAGGCGGCGGCGCGGCCGCCGCAGGCGCAGGGCCGCGCGACCGCGTCGACGCTGATGACGATGGTGCCGGCCACGCTGCTGGCGCGCGGCTCGCCGGCCGGCAGCCAGAAGCCGGCGGCGGCGCGCTGGCACGACGCGGCCGCGTAGCCGCGCGGGCACGCGCACCGCTCCACGCCCAGCGCCGGCGCGCCGCGGCTCAGCCCCGGCACCGCCGTCTCCAGCGACACCTTCAGCACCCTGACACACAGTTTTTGACGTGAATACGTCTTTAAATTTACTTCCATAGTGGAAGCAATCCAGAAAACTAATGATAAAAAAAATCAATTTCACACAAACGTGAGACTTAGTTACGATATTAGTCTTAGACTAACATCATCATCGTCATCATTGTCATCATCGTTTTCATTATTATCATTACACCCCTTCACAAGTCCGCAGCTGAACATATTCCTCCCCCAAGAAACATCACAAAACACGGCAACACTAACATAACTAACTTTCCACAAACATATAACCTCTTTTTTATCTGCAAATGAAATAAAATATATCCAAGTATTTCTTCGACGAAAGAAGATAAAATTTTATTTACCAGTGTCATTTTTTTTAAAACTACTAAACCTTTTACCGTTTCGAAAAATGAGGTTCCTATGACTGGAGAATATAAGTATATAACTAGGGAGGGGATCCCATCCCAATGGTGTAACTCACAAAACGTGTACGGGATCCTGATGAGCGGGCGCGCGAGTCGAGACCCGCAGCAGTACGCGCGTGAGACGCTGCAGTACCAGCATAAGAGCAGCACGCGACGCCGTGCCTTGCCCGTACTCCTGCCCGTAGCCTTGCCCTTGCCCGCGCACACGCCACAGCGACTCGTGCAGCCACACCGCGTGCGAACCGTTCACCGCCGGCACGCGCTGTAACATAGACAACACAGTTTTTTTTAAATAGAATAAGCGTGACAAGCGAGCACACAGTACAGTAAGCGCATGCTGTGGCACATAGACTACTACATCTATCCTCATCTATGAATCGAAATGCAGATGCGTTGAGGAGTTTTGGCGGGAACTTGACCGGCGGCGGTTTGCTGCTCCTGTTTTATTGTTTAAATAATTGTTTGTATTGAATTTTGATATGTAAAAGTGGTGCGATTTTGTGTATTAAGGGTCGCATGTGAACTATTAGTGGAAACTGTGAAACAAGTGCTCTGACAAGACAGGCACCTTATTTTGAGAATCACATCACTAGATGTGATTCTCAAAATAAGGTGCCTGTCTGCTTAGGCGCCTTGAGATACCATCGCTAACCGTCAGCTGTCTGCTGGCTCAAGTTGCCGTCAAAATCTCCCATTGACTGCACAATGTGACGCATCAACATATTGTGAAGCAGTATACTATGAAGAATAATTATTATAATATAATATTGTAACTTCAGGCTCAGAAGGGCTAGATCCCAGAACCGTAAAGCCAGTTATTAAGAAGAAGAAGATAAATAATATATATCATTTATAAGATAAATAATATATAATATATATCAATATATTATATATTATTTATATATTATATATCAATAATAATATATATCAATTATAAATCATTATATCTGGGGTGTCAACGCATCTGCGTTGACACCCCAGATATAATGATTTATTTCCAGTAAAAAGAGAATCCGAGTAGCGCTGCTATTCTGTGAGAGCGTGTTACTACCCCAGTTGAGCCGACCCATTCTTGCAATAACCACAATATAGTTGCAGCATGGCTTTACTACGTATTAACACCGAACACCAATTAACACCAGAGGATATCCGGGCTGCAAGAAATTTGAACACAAGGCTTTTAACGATCTTTTCTTTTCTTATAAAGAATAAAATACTATTCACATTACTAATATTCCGTGTATCCACATCTGGTATGCTTAAAATGCTTGTTCTAGGAGCGGTTCACGACAGTAGTCGAACGGCGGATTCGAACCCACGATCTTTTGAGTTCGCGGTCCGTATTCTGCTATTAGGCTACTGTCGCTTATTCTATTGTTGTCGCGTTGTGCCCGAACGACTGGTTATACAATTTAAAAGTTCTCTACACTCACCATACGAAATACAGCAAGCATTAAGCCGCTATTTTACGCTGGTATTCTGTGAGAGCGTGCTCCTTCCCCGGTCGAGCCAACCCATTCGTGCTACTACTATACAATTAATATAGCTGCAGTATGGCTCAACCACGTGCGATAAGAGTGGCAAGCGAGCAAACAGTCCACCTGATGGTAAGTGGTTGCTGTGACCCCTAGACATCTTCATCGTTCCTGGATTAAGAATCAAAATACATCTGCGCTAACAGGTCTCAGGGGTAACACCCCTGAGGACTATGATGCAATGCCTTGCTTCCAGTGAAAAATGTCAGTGGTCACTGACCTCTATTATACAAGTACGGTACATATAGATTGCATGAAAGAAATCTTTGGTCTTGTGATCCAGGGATAAAACAGAGGAACGTATTTGTATACACTAAATGTAGCTCTTATTTTCTGTTGCTTACTTCATAATAATCCAACACGAGATTGCGTCCATACAGCCTGACAAGCGGGAACTTATCAAGGGACTCGGCTGATAGTTCCCCACCGCCTTCTTCTTCGACACTGAACCTTAATGCTCCGCCATACGACATTACGCGGTCACCAAGGAACAACTCGCCGAGCTCCACGTACACTGGCACGGGTGGCCAGGGAACGGCTATAGTTGCCTCGGGGAATCGGGTGTGCACGGCAAGCAGGGAGTCTTGATCCACCTGGAAAAATTGATAATCGACAATGTTGTATGTAGGAGATTTGATTAAGAGGATCTTTCAAATGTATCTCAAAGACTTCCTTATTAAAACACTATTGTTGCAAACGAGCTTTTCATTTCTTTTGACGCATTTATACTGAATATCTAAGGTTCCCATCGTTTTGCATCTCCATTATTTTATTTTATTATTTTGATAAGATCTTTCTCGAATATAAAAATGTAGCGTACACACGCGTATCCTCGCGATCGAGTCCAACCTCAAGAGGCATTGCTGAAAACTAAAGCTACTGTAACCGTGCAATAGCATTATGTTGAGTCAGTGCCCTTTCACCCTTTCAGCATCACATCACTCATGCAGTCAGATTATTTTATGTTTGTTTTCTCTAATTTATTTTTATCTTTGATGTTTTTGTGTAGGTATCATTTTATTTTCTGTATCAAAGCTGTATGAGTGTAAGTTGCTGAATAAATGCATGTCAATAAAGATTACATGTAATGAGGGCCTACACGACTTTTTCTGACACCAGGACGGCACCACTTAAAATTGAGGTGTAATATTTGACAACTTTTATAGCGGGGAAGTCAATTTGTTCGAAATCAAAATATAAAATTAATGTTTCTTTCTATATGTTCTGTTAGTTATATTTTATATTAATTAGATCAAGAGTAAATAAACCAAACTACAGATATTCATAAAAGTAGAAGAATTAAATAAAAATAGTTAAAAAAGTGCAAAAAATTAAAGAGCAAACCACTGAGGCATTGTTTTGTGTATTAATATAATACTCTAGAAATTAATAAACTTTTATTTAAAACTATATATAAAAAAAACTTCACCTCAGTGTCAACTAGCGACATCTGGTGAGCGGAAGATTATTAGCCCTCATTCTTATTGAAAATAATCTTTTACTTTACCACTGGTTCGGAAAAAACCTCTGTCCTGCGAAGAACCAGCAAGAAACCCAGCGGGACTTTTTTTAAAAAAAGTATAAATTATACTTATCTTCACGCACAATCCCTAACGGGGTAGCCAGAGAGAACAGATCGCCAAGTGTCACGATCCTTACAAACCTCTTTCGCTTCTTTCAGATTCATTATCTTCTTCATGCATGCACGTCTAGGTATCCGAGTACTCTTGACCCTACCCTCTTCGAGCAATTTGCTCACATGGTCTTCGAAAGTTAGTCTCGGTCTACCTCGACACCTTTTAATATTAACTTTCGCGCTATATATTTTCTTCACCATTCGGTCTTCACTCATTCGCTCAACGTGCCCAAACCACCGAAGCACGCCCTTATCAATTTTTGTGATAAGGTCATCTTTCAAACCTGCCATATTGCGAATCTCTTCGTTTCGCTTTCGGTCGGCCATGGTAACGCCGCACATTTTACGAAGAGATCGCATCTCCACTGCATTCAACTTACTTTTATGCTTCTTCTGGCATACCCAGGTTTCGCTGCCATATAACAAAGTCGGTACCAACACTGCGTTATGTATTGCAAGGCGTGCACTCTTCGCTACGCCTTGCCTTTTGACTAACGCAGTCAGGGCACCATTGACTTTGTTCCCGGCAGCGACACGCCTGTCCACATCTAAATCACATCTTCCATCCCGGCTAAAAGCACTCCCCAAGTATACAATTTCATTTACCTGTTCTAGACATTCCTGATTTACCCATATTTCACACTTCGTTCTCTCTTCGTCCATTTCAAATACCAGAACCTTAGTTTTATTAGCATTCAAACGGAGACCTTTAATTTCACATTCCTCTTTCATACACGTGACTAATGCCTGCAGTTCTGTCTCTGATTGTGCAATAAGCACTGCATCATCAGCATACAGCAGACAATTTACTTTTATGTCACCCAATTTCACACCCAAACAGCTATCTTTCAGCTTCTGTAAACAGCTGTCGAGATACAGTATGAACAGCCAGGAAGACATGACACAACCCTGCTTTACGCCCGTTTGGACGTTAAACATGGGTGACAGGTCATGCCCTACCCGCACACAGGCTTTACAGTCACAGTAAAGAGACTGCACAGCCCTTAGCAATCGACCATCCACACCATACCCCGGCAACAGTTCCCACATTTTCTTCCTTACAACCTTATCAAATGCTTTCTCAAGATCCACAAAAGCACAGAAAATCTTCTGGTTAGCAGCCAGAAGCTTCTCCGTGATCATGCGGAGAGAAAACATTTGATCCGTGCATCCTCTTCCAGGTCTAAATCCGCATTGTGCCTCCCATAGAAATCTTTCCGATTTCTCTTGCATCCTACGTGTCAAAACCTTCGAGTAAACTTTACTTGCTAAACTGGTCAAGCTGATCGCCCGATAGCACCCGCAGTCAAAATGTGAACCTTTACCTTTATATAAAGGCACAATGACTGCGGATCGCCAATCATCCGGGACATCCCCCGTCCGCCAGCACAAATTGCACAGCAGATGAAAGCTGTCCCAGACGCGAGGCCCACCATACTTGACCATTTCAGCAGTAACTCTGTCTAGTCCCGCAGCTTTACCACATTTCAAACTTCGAATCGCACGTTCAATCTCTTTCATACTGATGACCTCAGTGTCATCGAGGTCCGGGTCTGGCGTACCAGTCACGGCGTCATCCCCGGATCCCTCACTAAGATCATCACACGCATACATTTCTCTATAAAATTCGCTCCATCGCTGCATGACGTCCGATTTTTCTGAGAGGACGTCATTAGTTCTCGAAAGCACTTTGTTCATTCTTAAGGCCGTCGCACCACTTCGGGTCCTTCCAACCTCTTTCCAGAAGAGTTTGGAGTTCTCCTTAAAGTTGTACGACAACCTTTCGTCTGCTTCCATTCTACACTTTCACGCACTTCCTCAATCAGTGCTTTCGTGTGAACTTTCTGCAGCCTATATCTTTCTTTCATCTTCTCTCTCATATCCTTATCATTACTAGAGGCCAAGTAGTCTAACCATGCTTTCTTCTTCTTCTTTACAGCTTCTTTCACTTCATCATTCCACCATGCATCTCTTCTTTTACTACTGCCTCTTTTTATTGTTCCACACACTTCTTCCGCTGCACTTACCATTCCATCCCTAAGGTTCTGCCATGTTCTTTCTACACATTCATTTCTGCCATCGATGGTGTCAAGCTTTATATATAATTATACTATATGAAAAGTTTATTTTAGGAAGCGACCACCTCATTCCCAGGGGTTATTATCAAACATGCATTAATTTATAATATAATAACCATTGAGTTATATGTACTACGTACTAGAGAAGCCATTCCGAACATTGACTGTGTTCAACTGAACTGTAGTGCAATCCATACAAACTAAATATTGCGTAAATTGAAGATTTGTGAATACCATATAATAATTATTATTACATTTTACATAGACATAGAGACATAGAGTAGGACACAATTTTTGTTTGGAATGGCTTCTCTAGTACGTAGTACATATAACTCAATGATAATAATCCTTTTTATACAGTTTTTTTTAATATAATATTTAAACTTGTTAATAGAAAGACGTTTTAAACCTTCTGGGACTTTGTTGTAATAGCGTATACATATCCCCAAGAATGTATTTCTGATTCTGTGGAGTCGAGAAACTGGTATCACTAGCTTGTGTTTGTTCCTAGTGGTTACAGAGTGGATATCACTTTTTTTTACTAAAATATACTAAGAGGCCGAAGTTAAAGCATAATTTTTTTTAATTTTTCTCTGACAGATTGGCTTTGTTTTAGGTTGTAAATAGCTCTTATGTGTCTCTTCTCAAAACAAAACTATTTTATAAATAGCACACCACTGTAGCCCATTACCAAAAGAAGTCTACGACTTCGTTGCCACTTATACGGACTTTACCAAATTAAAAGTTTACTTTACCCCCTTTTTTTTAAAGAATAAGGGTGTCAAACAGACACACAGTCCACCTGATGGTCAGTGGATGTTGTAGCCCATAGGCACCTACATATATCCTCGATTAAAAATCGAAATGCCTGTCACCCCTGAGGACTAAGATGGAATGCCTCGTTTCCAGTAAAGGGTCTCCGGTTCTCTACACTCATCGTACGAAACACAGCAACATGAAGCTGCTGTTTTATTTTGGTATTCTACGAGAGCCCGGTCCTTCCCCGGTCGCGGCGATCCATTCCTGCTACAACCATAATGCAGCGCGGCTCTACCACGTAAAAAGTTTGACTCACAGTAGTGATGGAGTCGCCGCGCAGCAGTGTTAGGTGCAGTGGAGCAGGCGCGTGCAATGCTGCTCGTGTCACTTCCGCCTGCGTGCACTGCGCGCTGCGCCCGAAGCAGAAACACGCCGTACACCCCGACGGATTGTCCTCCGATAGACCAAACGTACCTTCTAGGCACATGTCGCATTTGTCGCCGACTACGTTCTCCTGTAAAGAAATACAAGCTTTCAAACATATTTTTGGGGTGTAAGAGAGAGTGTTGTAAGAGATAACAGAGAAAAGAAAACAGATGACAGAGATGGGCAGCATCATCTTTATAATAACAACTAAAAATTAAAAAAAAACTGCAGTTGAACTCCGCCTGTTAAGCACGGAAATTATGACACATATCTTCCTTATGAGGCAATCCATGTGGAGGCCTATGTTCAGCAGTGGAATTGAACAGGTTGAAAGAATGAATGGTAGTTGAAACTAACTCTCCAATGTAACCAATAGCTAACAGTGTGTACCTCGTTACTACAGCCAATGGATACAGCCAACTTCAAAGGGGGTTATAGTTGCGGTATCAACTCTGAAGACTAAAATAGATGGCCTCATAACTTGTACTTTTACTGACTCTGTATCCTTTTTGGAGTTTACTGTTTAAGAATCGTTTCATATATAGCGCACGATATGTAAAATATATGGGTAGTGAAATCAAGCGTGAACAAAATGTGAAGCTGTTATGGTTTTCCTCCGCGAAACATATTCGCGCATCAAATAGCGCGAAATGAACAGTGTAATATACGGTGGAGGTTCGGTTGCCAACTAAGACGACTCGACCTGGCAATGTACAATGCACGCACCCTGAGGAGTGACGAGAAGATCCTCGAGCTGGAAGAAGAGATAGACACACATATAAGATTATCCGCGGTCTGAAGAGAGGGAGAGGAGGAGGGAGGGTGACCATCTGTCACAAGGATGTGTCGGATTTATCGTCCACAAATCTCTTGTTAGCAACGTTGCAAAGATTGTGAGTGTGTCGACGAGGGTTGCGTACCGTATACTCAGAATTACCAAACGGTAATCGTTGAAGGTCATACAGGTTTACGCATCAACCTCGGCACATCCCGATTACGGGGTAGATGTATGTATGAGGATATCTCTAAAGCCATGCATTCCTCCAAAACCTACTATACGGTGTTAATGGGAGACTTCAATACAAAACTAGGTACAAGAGAGAACGGTGAGCTGAAGGTAGAGAAATTTGAAATAGGGCAACGGAACCCAAGGGGCCAGCAGCTGGCTGACTTCATGGAGAATGAGGGACTCTTTCTGATGAACTCTTTCTTCCAGAAGTGGCCCCACAGGAAGTGGATCTGGTCGAGCCCCGACGGTTCGACAAAAAATGCCTGATATAACATAAACGGCCTTATAATAGGCAATACTGGAAACCGCTTAGCCATGTTTTAAATTTTCTAGTAGCCACAACTACAGACGAACCAATAGGTTATAAATAAAGTGTTTAATTAACTTAATCTATACATCATAATCAAACATTGCTTTTTCTAACGACATATCAAACCATAGCTATAAATCTTTTTTAATTATGTCAGAACTGAATCAACCTTTTTTTTGCCTTTTAACTCTGGCGCTCGAATGGATTTTTTTAACAACCTGCCAATCAAATTGTCGTCTGATAAAATTCAAACAACTTTTCCAGTTTGACACCTACGTTGTTGGCGGGAAAAGCAAAAAACGAACGTGTCTGAACTGTCAAAATTGATATTCACAGCGGTACACGCGCTAGATGTGCGATCACGCGACTCTTTTACAGTGGTTGATAGACCAGTTAAATTTATTTTATACTAGCTACACTCCCCGGTTTCGCTTTTGTGGGATCTATTAATGTGGTATCATTTAGATTATTTAAAGTAATTATCAATTACCGATTAATTTATATCTTCAAGTTCTTTTTGGATAAGATTTGACCTAGATCACTCCTGGTATTACTCTCTATTTGTTCATGAAGTTTCATCGCAATCGGTTTTGTAATACACGACCAGTTCTCCTTTATCGGCCTTCGAAATTCCACTGCTAGACGAGGGTAGACAGGATTTGCCTTAATCTACGCAGCTGGATTGACTCGCACTTTTGACCCTGCTGCCCGTTTGCAGTCTGGGTTTTTTTTTATAGGATAAGAGTGACAAACGAGCACACAGTCCACCTGATTGTAAGTGAGAAGACATCTACATCTATCTTTTATTACAAACCAAAATTCAGATGCGTTGTCACCCGTGGGGACTAAGTTGGAATGCCTCATTTCCAGTGAACCACAGCAGCGTTAACCTGCTATTTTACGCTGGTATTCAGTGAGAGCGTGGTCCTTCCCCGGTCGAGCCGACCCATTCGTGCTACAACTATACTACTAAATTAGCTGCAGCATGGCTCTACCACGTATAAAAACCATTATATTTTTTGGTATTTTACGTATTACCACCATATACCAAGAGCCATAAGACCTTTCTGGTATTTCCCGTAATCGCCTCTTACAACACCCACGGGACGAAATGGGGTCATAGATCCTCTTATGATGTCATCACACGGCTAGTTACCGGTGTTCATTGTTTTGAAATTGACTCATTGTCCCTGATATTAGGCTATCTAAGTCGTAGGTTACTTCGATCGAGCGTCGAGGGTAGATGAATGGACAATGTCGAATGAGTTATCGCCATCTGTCTTTCCATCCAATCATAATGTGGGTATCATCAAGGCAAGAGTGTATACTTACTTGGCTTTCATTATGCCTTTTTTATTGTGGGCAAATTCTCATGGATATTTTCAGCTGTGGGGACAGGAAAAGACTTGCCAAGGTTTGTCAGTTGCTTATTTTTTGTTAAGCTAAAGTCATTTGGTTTTAACACCCTCGGCTGCATTACCACTTACCATCAGGTGAGATAGTAGTCAAGCACTAGCAACTGGGTAACAATAGTTAAAAAAAATATAGTTTCCAAATAGTTGATATCGATCTGAGAGCAGCGTATCTTACAAGAATAGCGTTCCTTGCATGGGCAGCCTAACGTGCACGGGTAGCGTACTTTACACGGGCAGTGTATCATACACGGGTAGCGTAGTTCGCACGGTTAGCGTACATTGCACAGGCAGCGTGCCTTACAAGGGTAGCGTACCTTACACGGGCACCGTCCGTTTCCGTCGCATGGACAGACTCCGTCCCGGCAGTGGAGTGTTCCGGCACTGACGCAGCCGCAAGGACGGCAGCGAGGTCCGAAGTGACCCTCCGCGCACCGCTCGCAGTTCCTGCCGCTCCAGCCTGGACGGCACGCACACTGCCCCGACACTGGGTCACATGTCACTATAACATAGATAATAAATACTATCATTTTAATGTAATACATGTATGAGAGGGCTATGTTTAGAGTTTCTCTGAGCGATATACTTAGAAATGAACATATTTGTAATATAACAATAGTAATGAACAAAGCCCAACGGATAAGAATTGCCTCTTCAATTTGGCCTTCAAGAACCGACTACTGATGGCGAAGAAAGGTTCTCAAGTAGCAGTCTCGTAACAGTAAGCGAAGTGTAGGGCATAATCGACAAATACAGGACTGCTGCGAACTAAGATGGAATACCTTACAGCGTGCAATTATATTAGCTCTTTATAACAAAGCAATGCGTACACTGCTTTGTGTCGTTCCGACACAGGTCGGCTGCTAAACAGAAAAGGAAAGCTACCACCTAGTCTCTTTACACACACAGTATGGATATGTTTGCTTAAAAGAGAGGGCGTCAGGGCTACAAGTATAGGGCAAGCAGCCGTGAACCCGGTCCCAAAAGCCGCGTGCACACTGAGAGCAGCCTGGCCCGTAGTCCGCGAAAGCTACCTTATAGTTCGTTTGGGGTCTTTAAGGTATGAATTTGTTTGCTTACACGAGAGAGCGCCAGGTCCGCAAGTACAGGGTAAACAGCCGTGAGCCCGGCCCCAAAAGCCGCGTGCACACTGAGAGCAGCCAGGTCCTCGAGTCCGCGCCGGACAAACGCACCGGCCGTTCGCCGTGGAGCACACCTTGCCGTCGCTACACTTCGGACAGGCTGTCGGAGTAAAAAAAAAATTAGCAAGCTGTTTCTAAAATAATTAATTTCAATAAAACTAAAGTAAAAAAAAATGAAATATTGTACGTGGAATTACTATAACGGAATCGTTGTATTACTTTAGTACAATGAAAATCTAGAAAAAAAAGCCAGTTCTTTTGTATGGTATACTGTTTTCAATTTAGTCAAATTTTTGAAATACGTAAATTCCGCGAAAAATATTCGAAAAAAAAGAATGTTAAGTACGAAATTTGACAGTAAATAGTAAGTGTATACGTGGTAGAACCATGCCGCAGCTATATTATGGTTGTAGCACTAATGGGTTGGCTCGACCAGGGAGGGACCACGCCCTCAAAGATCACAGAATATCAGCGTAAAATTGCAGTTGCTGTATTTCATATGGTGAGTGTAGGGAACCTACACTCACCATACGAAACACAGCACCTGCGAAACGGAGACTATTTTAACTGGAAACAAGGCATTAGGCTTAGTCCTCGGGGGTGTCAACGCATCTGGATTTTGATTATGATTTCAGATAGACTTAGATGTCCATGGGCCACAGCATCTACTCACCATCAGGTGGACTGCATTCCCGTTTTCACACTTATTCTATAAAAAAAAACATAAATGTGTCTCCCGAGCTTGTTTGTTACCTATTGCCTCCCACTACGAAAGTAAATTTAAAGACGTATTCACGTCAAAAATATTCTATTCTAGCCAGAAGCACTTACGCAGGCATCCTGTGGGTCCGAAGCCGTAGTACCCTGGCAGGCAGCGGTCGCAACGCGTGCCGCCAACGCCCAGTGCGCACGCGCACGCGCCCGTCGCCGGCTCGCACGCCGCCGCACCCGCGCCGCACTCGCATCGCCGACACCCGCCGTGATCCAGCCCCCAGTAGCCTTCCTGTGAAAAAAACACCATTGAACCAAAAAATTTTTTTTATAGGATAAGGTGACAAACTGCTAATCAAAATGCCACCCACTCGTGAGGTCGAGGTTCGTCCTCACCCGTGAGGACTAACATAGAATGCCTCTTTTCCAGGTCTCCGGTTCTCTACACTCACCATACGAAACACAGAAGCGTTAAACTGCTATTTTACGCTGGTATTCTGTGAGAGCGTGGTCCTAACCCGGTCGAGCCGACCCATTCGTGCTACAACTATATTATTAATATAGCTGCAGCATGGCTCTACTACGTTTAACTTCTATAATGATTTCTTATATTTACGTGAATACTACACATTAAATTAAACTAATTTTACGGATTTTATCGCGTTTACATTTTACTTTTTAACTCCCGACGTTTCGGTACTTTCAGCTTTTTAATAATAATTTTGGTCCGATCTACGCAGAACGAGCTTACAGTATCTTGAAGTGTTGCAGCGGTATGCTTGGGTTTGGATTTAATTTTATTAATTAAAGGATTCCTTTTTTTTTTTCAAAAACGTTACCCCCACACTAGGATGTTCTCCTGTGTCGTGGAGGCAGTTTACAAAGACAAATTACACAAGGACAAACATCCAGACCCGGAACAATTACTTGTAGGCCATACAAATACTTGTTCCGTGCGGGATCTCTAGCAGATGGTAGTACCCATCCATCTTCTCATATCTCGGTCCCCCTGTGACCATGGGTGCTGTAAAGTACCTGAAAAGTTGGCAATTAAACGCGATAGAATTCGTATTGTTATTTTAATTTAACAAACACTTCTATGCTGCTACTTTTATACGATTATAAGGGATCTGCAGCCTTAACACATTGCGGACTAAGTTACTTCTACTATTATCTATTTATTCTGTGCTTACGCTCAATTCTCCGTAACTGTCCACAATCGTGCGTCTTACAAGGAATTTTCTGCTACTGCCAAATTGTAGAATTTACTGTCGACAGCGGTTTTACGTATCGATACTATTTAAGGACCTTCAAGAAAGAGCCTACTACTTTCTAAAAGGCCGGCAACGCAATTGCAATTCTTTTTGGTTTTGCTTTTACAATGCAATTCCTCTGGTGTTTCTGACGTTCATGGGCGACGGAAATGACTTACTATCAGGTGATTCGTATGATTGTTTTCCTCCTCTTCTATTAAAAAAAACACTCTAAAAAGCACTCAAACAACTCAAAACTCTAGCTTGTTCAATTTAAAATGAACAACTAGAAGACATAAGCGAATAAATAAAAAAGAACGCGAAAGAAAATCATACACTTTGAGTTATTAAATGAGTAAATCTGTCCCGATGGACAATCGTTAATATCTCACTATATCATGCAGATTTTATTAAAGTAAATAAAAGGTTGCTGTGACTATTTAAGATACAATTTGAATCAATTCAAAATACAGTCCAGTCACAGTCACAGTGTGTAGACCAAAGAGTATAATATAGTCACTATAGTGTGAACTACACCACCTACCGCACACAGCGATCGATCTTAGTTGCTGTCACGATGCATTACGCAAAGTGTAATTCATATCCTTTTGATTGTCTGCCGAGGATGAAGCATTTTAAATGAAATGTATGTGCCATATCCTCAACCTTTAGGGAATTTAAATTGCGATCAACTAAGGTAACATTTTTGTTAATTTAAGTACTTCTCTCTATGTCTAATCTATTTCACAAATATATTGACTGTTTATCCTTTGTTCAGTGGGTCTTCCTTCTATATTGCAATCTATATATCTATACATATAAATAAATTAGAAGTGTCTGTCGAATATCGAAATAATTACCTTTAATTGAGTTAAGGGAGTTATTTGCATGTTATTAAGACATGAATAACCGTTTTTAATTTTTGTCTGTCTGTTTGTCTATCTGTCTGTCCGGAATAATATTTGAAATGGCTGAACTGATTGTAATGGAACTTGACGAACAGACATATAGCAATGGCAGGAGTGCGCTAGGCTATATTTTATTCAAGAAACTTAGAGATATTTTTGAGAAATTTATAAAATAAATTGCACAAGTATGGACCCAGGCGAAACCAGGATGGGTTGCAAGTTTCATCAAATTCTGAAAAAGGTAGTTTTAAAGTTCACAACCAAAGAGTTTCTATATAGTTCATATCCAAAGAGTTTCTATATAGTTCATAACTAAAGAGATTCTTATATAATATTAAAAGGACTTGGGCAACTTCTTAGAAATGTCTAGTTGACATTTTCCCGGTTATAAAGCACGACGCGGTTGTAACGGTCCGCGGGATTTACGGCGGCTCCATGTAATTGTAGCGATAATTGGCAAAGGCCTTTCCCGCCCAGTATTACGCGCCATTTTGAATTATATTAGAGAGAACTCGCAACACCATTTTCAAAGCAGTTAAATTAGGCGAATCAGGTAAATTAAATGTCATATGCTACGAAGGAACACTAGAATGATCAACAAAGTACCGGAATAATGTGGATTTACTAATATTAGACGAAAAGCTATTCGCTGCCGGACATTTTTCGGGTTGGGTTTACAATTAAGTTGCCTGAATTTGAGGAGTGTCACCGTGGGGGGCTCAAGGGGGCTTATCTCAAGCACCTCCATGCAATTTTAGCTGCCGGAGCTGCGTCGAGATATTTACAATCATTTTGTAAAAATATTCATAACTCACTAATTAATACCTGAAACGGAACTTAAATTACTCTAAATTCTTACTTTTTTAAGTTTTTTAAGTTAACATTAACAGTGACACCACCCCTCCCCCCTCCTACCCTCCCTAAAAATATTAATCTACAACATATAATATAAAAAAATAGCCACGTCCAGCGGGAGAAAAAGGTGGGGGTCAAATCTAGCCCTCCCCTACCTCTTTCCTCGCGCCGCCACCCCCCTATTAAGGCGACTTGATTCTAAACCTTAACCCATTTTTCTATTCATCATCATCATCATCATTACAGCCATTCACAAGTCCACTGCTGAACATAGGCCTCCCCCAAGGAATGCCACAAAGCACGGTCATTTTTCTATTATACCTATATAGAAATATTTAAAAGTGCTTGTGTTCCCAGTTATATTTAGTTTCTTTATTTTCTTCTATTTCTACACTTGGTGTCCACAGTAACACACGTCTTGACTCTTGACGAAGGATTTTTAGAAATTATCATCTATACAAATAAATAAAATTGAAGTGTATGTTCGTAAATGCAACTAAATAGTCAAGCATGTGAATTGTGACTGAACATCAAAACTGACCAAAGTTTCATTGTCAGCGAGATGTAGGTCTTTTATCTCACTGACAAAATGGTTGTGTAAATGTATGTGTGTACTAACAAAGTTCAAGATCGTCCCCGTCATTACATTAGATTTGATAGACCACAAATCTTCGCAAAAGAACACCGATTCCTACCAAGGATGATTCGCGAGGCTATTAAAATTAAAAAAAAAACACCCTAATTTCAATAGATACGATGGATGGGTGCTGCCATCTGCTTGGGATCTTATAGTTAATATAATTCAATCCTAACCCAAGCATACCACTGCAAAAATTCAAACTTCTTTCCTAGTGTAGCGGTGTTGGGACTAGTGGTGGAGGATGGTGGAGCTGGAATTAGTGGAGCAGGGATAGTGCACGCGATTGAAGGAGGGTGTGCTCTTCAAACTAACTACGACCCATAAATTTTTTAATATCTTTAAAATTTCGTTTGTCAGTTAGTCGAACGTCATCATGTTTAGTAATCTGCTGTAGTTTCAAAATGAGGTCCCACTCTCCAGAGAAGAAACGGCGAAAGAAACTCCGTTGCGTTAATCGTTTGGTTGATTTTGTGTTTACGTATGTATATTTAATTTTAAATTGTCATAGGTACATTATGACTTATTATCGTTGAATGCATTTTGCCCTGAACAGTGAGTTCTTAGTTATAGGTACGCTAATGGCTGGTTGATTTACGTAAATAGGTCGCACTGATTTGTAAGGCCGCGTTGCAGTGTACCTACGCGGTGCCGTCTGACGCATTTCGTTACTTAACAAGAATGATGAATACAAATTATGACGAGAGATGCATTGAGCTAATGTTAGTTACTTCTGATGACGAAACGAAAGCAAGATATTTTGAAGAAGTAACTATAGTTTTTTTATAGGATAAGGTGACAAATGAGCACACAGTCCACCTGATGGTAAGTGGTTACTGTGTCCCATAAACATCTACATCTATCCTCAATAAAGACTCAAGATGCAGATGCGTTGTCACCCGTGAGGACTAAGACGGAATGCCTCTTTGCCAGTAAAAAGGGTCTCCGGTTCTCTACACTCACCATACGAAACACAGCAGTGTTAAGCTGCTATTTTACGCTGGTATTCTGTGAGGTATCCCATTCGTGCTACAACTATACTACTAATATAGCTGCAGCATGGCTCTACCACGTAAAATAAATATAGTAAAAAGGTTTTGGGAACAAAAGTTATTTATTATATTTCTTTTCACCGGATGGTAAACGGTTACACAGACAAAAATAGCAAAGCTTAGAAAAATTCTATTCAATTGTCTCTCTTAATTCCAGTTTATGGCTTGATTAACATCATTAGTAATGTTAAAAAATCCGTAGATTATACTGAAAGTTAGCATGAAAATATGAACCAATAAAAGTTTAGGAAATTTAAGTGTTACGGCGTAAAAGAAATCGCGATAATACAAGACCTAGAATCTTGGACGATGGTGACGCTGGACCACTGGAAGCATTATTTAAGGTCCTATATGCGATAATAGCGATTGTCAACACTAACCTCCAGTCCAATCATATCCGTAAGATATGGCGACGACTCTAAATCAATCTCCACTAGTTGACTAGATAATCCATTTATTTTATCATTATTCCATAAAGTATATGTCTGAACATGACCTTCCCCCAAAGATTGCCTTATAGGGGGAATTACGCCATAGTTGCCACGCTTGGCAGGCACTTTGGAATCGGCATTTTTTTTTTTAATTTTAAGTTGTTATCAAAAAGGTGCTGTTGCCCATCTGCTGTCTCAGTTTACCTCTGTCGCCTCTTACGTGATCCACGATTCTTTATATTATTAATTATCTCACATAATAGAGCCACGCTGCAACTGTAAAATGCCTCCACCACTTTTACCTTATAAGCGTAAAACAGCATATTGTTGCTGTATTTAGCATGGATAGTGACAAGAACCAGGGACCCTTCTCACTGGTGATGAGACATAATATTTTAATCATCAGGAGTAATGATACATACATTTTGACCCATAATCGAGGACACATGTAGGTTTCAATGGGCTGTAGCATTCACTAAACGTCAATTGGAGTGTGAACTTACCTTGTCACTTTAACTTGATTAAAAAAAACATAAATTTTTCATAATATGCCACTGTTTTGTGTCAACACACATGATGGCAAAATATATTTTAATTTGTTGGTCATCAAAAAACTTCCATCCAATAATGAAATAGTCCAGCTGAATCAAGTCAGTCGGTTAAAAAGCTTTATACGTGGTAGAGCCATGCTGCAGCTATATTATGGTTGTAGCACGAATGGGTTGGTTGGACCAAGGAAGGACTACGTTCTCACAGTATGCCAACGTGAAATAGCAGATCGATTCTGCTGTGGTTTTGTATGGTGAGTGTAGAGAATCGGAGAGCTTCTCCTGGAAACTGGGCATTTCTTATTCAGTCCTCACGTATGACAACGCATCTGCATTTTGATTTGCAATCGATGATATAAGTAGATGTTGTGAGGTCACAGCATGCAATTACTATCAGGTGGGCTGTGTGCTCGCTTGTCAACCCTATTCTATAAAAAAGTGAGTTACCTCGCACGTGTCACAGGCGCGGCCGGTGACGTGAGGCTTGCAGCGACATTGTCCGGTGCGAATATCGCAGGCGTTGCTCTCTGACCCCAACGCTGAACAGTTGCAACCTGCAACAAATAAATAAAATGTTGTTAGTTGTTGTCCGTAATCCTTCTCATCAGTCCCTAAAAGACTATTACTATTTATAGACAAATCGCGTTGTAAGAAACAGAAACAGAAACTTTTTTATTTAATCTTTATATATAAAAATTACGTGTCACATTGTTTGTCCGCGATGAACTCCTAAATTACTAAACTGATTTCAATGAAATTTTGTACACTGTGTGCAGTTTGGCGAAACTTGAGAGATAAGATACTTTTTATCCCGATAAGTGACCTTCAATATGTTTTTATTGTGAATTTAAGGATTTTTTCATAGGAAGGGTCGTCGGAAATGACAGAACAACGTCTGCCTGGCCAGTTGATAAAGGTTATAATATATATATACCACTGGTTTGAAAAATACTTGTATATTGGGAAGAATCAGCAAGAAACCTAGCGAGACTTTAGCTTACAATCATTAAATTTACACAATAATTAACTATAATAATTTACCATAACCGCTGTGGTTCACAGGTGGTTTGGCGATCACAGTAGCGTCGTTTTGCACATTAGACGTTGCTTCATGTGACTGGGTAGATTATTTTATGTCTGACACAAACGAGACGGTTATATTGTCATCCATCAAATCGAATATTTATGTCATCTTTGTGACCATCAGTCGCATCTTGCGATATCTACAGGACGACAGTTTACTTTGCTTACTTCGCCACCATATGGCAAGGTATAACTGCTAATATAACTGCCTAGGAGTGAGCCTTGGTAGGTACCAACATCATTACTATTTCTACCGCCAAATAGCAGTGCTTCTACTGTGAGTTTCGATCTGAAGAGTAGTGATCCGGTATAACTACAGGCTGTGAGGCATTCCATCTTAGCCTTCAGAGGTGATGACGTATCTGTATCCTACTTTGTTTGAAATTGGCTGCTGGTGTCCAGGGACTGCGATAACCAATTACTATCTGGCGGTTCGTTTGTCACTTAAGTTTTATAAAAAATACACGATTTAACTAAACACATATACACTTTTTATTTTAACATTCCCGTCAGCACCTTTTACTGGATACAATTACAGCTTATGAAAGTCCACTGCTGAACATAGGCCGCCCCCATAGATTGCACCATAAGGGTGATCATGCCATAGTAGCCACGCTCATCGATATATATTGCGCATTCCGTACATACACTATGTTCAACTGAACTGTACCGCAATCCGTACAGTGTGTCATTTAATGTGGTTTCAAAAGTTTCAATCTACTAGTTAGTCTGTGGTTTCAATATTCATGCAGTGTGGAACGGCTCTAACAATACAAGATTTCAAATTAAAGTTTAAACCTGGACGTAAATAACAATTCAGTAGTCAAGTAAGTAAAATTATTTGTTGTTCAAGTGAATAAATAGGTAATAATATCGTAATATTACAAAACAAAAAATCATGAAAAAATATATTTCTTTATATAAAGTGACCGCGCAGGCGCAACGCGCTTGAATAAACTGCGCATGCGCGAATTTTCTATCTCCCGCGCATGCGCGAAGTCATAGAGTAGTGCACATTTTTTTGTTTAGAAAAGCTTCTCTAGTACGTAGTACATATAACTCAATGACCACGCTTGACAGGTGGGTTAACAATCACAGTTTTTTATAATTTCAAGTTGTTATCAGAAAGATGCTGCTGCCTATATATATAGGACGATATGGAGTAGTGGATATTACACCGCCTCTGCACGGTTGTTTTACTGAATTGATAGAGGCTATTTTAGCCCAGCGACTAAAATATCAGGCAAAATGATCTGTGAATCTCTAACAAGTAGGTCAATTAGCTTACGACACCGCACATTTCGTTTTCTACTCTTTGTGTGTACAAAATGAAGCATAATTAATGATGCAATGAAAAGCAAACGCCTGCTTTGGAGAGCACGTGATCAGCTTCGTAACAAACGTTAAAATTAGTTTTAATTACAACTTGGCTAGGATCTATTAACTTGGCGTAATTTTGATTTATGATAATCATCAAAGACTATTTATTTTATCAGTTTTTGCGTTTCCCAAAAAATCTATATTTTTGTTTGAAAATATATAACCTAGACGACTCCTGGCATCGGTCATCATTCCGAGAATTGGAAAGACGGATAACAATTTTAAAAATGTTTAATAGTATGCACATTCACATAACACGCTGAGCTTAAAGTAAGACAGTTATTTTTACATTACAAACAGACACTTCAATTTTATTTATATGTACAGCATTAGCTCGGATCTAGGCGCTCGATTTAAATTATAATGAAATCGTACAGTCATAGTTTGATTGCCGACATAACCACTGAAATTGACGACGGATGATTGTCAGGAAAAACTTAATGACACTATTCATTAAACATAACATAACTAACATAAACTGTCACGTATGTTACCATAAGAGGTACAGAGACTGGACTTTCATTGGGCACGATCCTGACACACCTTTCTCGCTTATTTCATATCCATATACCTACCTATACATGCCCGTCGGTTAACTCTTAATTTGGCTGTTATATTTTACTTTATAAACCAATAACCATAAACCAATTTGGTCGATAAACTTCCATTTTCGGTATGCCCTAATACCTTGCTGACTTTGACACTCACTTCTGCTCATTCTATGTTCATTCATTCTTTCTACGTGTCCAAACCACCAAATAACAATATATTGAATATAGCAGCATGATGCCGCTATATACGTAGATACGATTTTAATTGCTGAAGAAGTAGGTATTCTATTTAATACTTTAGTGGTAAAGGTCGAAATCGAGAATAAATGGAGTTGTCTATGGGTCACAGTTGCAGCATCCATTTACTATTTGATAGACTGCTTCTTCGTTTGTTAACTTTAGATGTATCAAACCCACTAAGATATAAGGAAATACTTCGAGGATTTATTTAGTTCGCTAATTCGCGCAGATGCAAGTTTTCTTCCTTCATAACCGTATGCTACTGCTGAAAGCACCGCTGCAGGAAGCCGATGGATGCAACTGGCTCAGGACCGCGCTTTGCGGCATTCCTTAAGGTAGGCTTATGTTCAGCAATGGCCTTGTGAAGGGCTGTAATGATGATGATAATAAATAAAAAAAATGTGTACTCTACACCAATTTCGGTCACATCCGAGACAAGCTACCTGTGCAGGACAGGATTATAGGTGCCCAAGTGTATGCGCAAACACAGCTGCACTCTCTATTCCCTCACTTTCATAGTCCGATGAGATGGTAATCCGACACGACCGAAAAGAGATTAGGCGCAGGACCAACGGCTTTACGTGCTTTCCGAAGCACGGCGGTGAAACACCGCCAACTTCCTGACTCTGCATTACTACCTACTGAGAATTTCTTGATATATATTATAATTTAAATAGGTTATTAATTTTAACCTATTTAAATTATAAACAAAAGTTAATATTCAAGAGCTGAAAGTAACCTAACTAAGTCATCGGAATGTAAAATATCTCAGACTCTCCGTAACCGTTAGAGGTGTCGGGAATTCAAAAGTTAAAATTAAATACGATAATAACAGTATAATTAATTTTATTTATCTAATGTCTAATCTGGCGAGGGCTCTTTTGTGACAAGACTTAAAAACACGAGCCTATCAATAAATCACGTTTTGTAATAAAACTAGGGTTTAATTTCGTAATACACAGTTCCTACATGCAATATACTATTCCTAACATACATTAAATATACATGTCGACAAGTAGTGAATCGATTAAGCATGTTAAACGAAATCTAGTTTAGCAAGCTGAGTTATCTCTCGATACAGTAGTCAGCAAAACTAATGCAACAGATAATCTTATCTCATCGTTAATGTAGCAACGAACAAAATGCGTGATTACAAACTAATTTTGCGATTAATGGACTAGTAGCAATTTACTAGATGTAGTATGATAATTATTCAATTATTTATCAATCGAATTATTACAAATATTGCCATGCAGTGCCAGTGGCGGTATGTCGAATTGTAGTTAGCATTATTTTATACTATTCTGAGTGTGTCGTAAGAGGTTTCAGATAGAAAGAAACAGGAGATGCGCAGCAGAATTTTGCTCATAACCACTATTTTATTTTTTATTTCCTTGCAGCTAATTTACAAAAATAATATGATTGTACAAAAGTGAAGGCCATTTAACTTATAGAATACTTAATTTAACAAGAAAGGATATGTCATAAGAGTTATATACAAATAACAATACACTTTAGTAAACAGAACTTTATCAAAAAAGAAAAGAATTTATTAGAAAGTGAAGGCCTAAGTTGGAGAACGTTGGAATTAAATAAATCAATATCTACGTTATGTATACGCATATGTGTACAAGCATTAACAGATCTGCATGATCGAATAATAAGAAAATATTGCTTGTAATACTTTTTCACGTACGGTATAGATAAAAGTGTAGGCTTCCGCAAACCAGATGACGAGGTACGTAGACCTATTTTACCCAGTAGTTCAGGAAAATCAACGTTTTCGTTCACAATTTTAAGTAGGAAAGGTTTGCAATGTTTCCTCTCTCATATTAAGGATATATGTGATTTTTTTTATATCGAAGAGTGTTGCTGGGTTTATACTTTTTTGATTTAAATTGATGAAAGGGCAAAAACCTTTTTTTGCGCTGTTTCCTATCATCATATTTTATTTACTTATTTATTTATTCTTTATTGCATTCCTTAAAACAAAGGAATACAAAGGGCGGACTTAATGCTTTGAGGCATTCTCTACCAGTCAACCCATGGAGTGGTGAGAATTTGACGTAGGTGCGGCAATAAAATAAAACTACACAAAATAATAATTAACTACATAATACATACAATTTACTAATAAATAAACTATACATATATGACGTATACAAACATATATACAAATATATACATACAAATATACATATTTAAATACATAATAAATAATTAGTATACATACAAATACCTATGAATATATGCGTCTGTTTAGCAATACATATCAAATGGATTAATCACGTAAAATGCGT